CTGAGACGATGCACGGCGGTAGCGGCAGGCACGGCGGGATGGGACCGGGCTCCGACCCCTTCGGGCACCGGCACCACGACGAGGTCTGGCACTTCGACAAGCAGGGCCACGAGCGGACACAGAGGCACGAGGACCGCCGGCGGTGGGAGAGGGGCCGCCGCGCCGTCGACGACGACGGGGTCGAGTTCGAGCCCCAGATGAGCCTGGGGGCGCACTTCCTCGTCGTGCTGGGCATCCTGGCCACCAGCTTCGTCGTGCCCGTCGTGTATCTGCAGTTCTCGCGCCTGGGGCGTAGGAAGCAGGATGGATACTGAAAAAATACCCTACCTGTATTTCCTTTGCGATATAGAGTCGAGGGTTGGGGGAATCGGTCTGGAGTTCCCGATATCTGTATATAGAAGCTTACTCCCCCAGGTCCATCACGCTACTGGTCACGCCATATAATACACCTAGATAAGTAGGAGGCAGGGTAGAATTTACGATCGCTCCAAGACACCATGCATTGAGCCGCGACAAAATACGTCATTTCTTTTTTTTGGCATTGAAGTCCTATCTCTACATCGTCCGCAGCGAAGACCAGCTATAATGCAAGATTCGAATCCATTATAAAGCGACACCAACTGGGCATCGGCCTTTCTTTTTTCATCCGGTATGTCCATCTAGATGGGATAGTTGATAATATTACACAGCTTAACCCTCGAAGGTGAAGCTGGCGCCGACCTTGTGGGAGGCCTGGTCGAGCTTCTGGGTGTCGAAAGAGCCACCGAGACCCAGGGTAACACCCTCGCGGAGGAGAACGTTGTAGGAGACAGCAGCGATACCGCGGTCGTTGACCTTGGCCTTTAAAGAAAAAACAGTCAGCAAATTGCAACGTCCAAAAAAAGACACACGAAACTACAAACCTTGGCGAAGGAGACAGGGTCGATGCGGTACTTGCTGGCAACCTCGAGGCCGACAGTGTTGCCGGTCTTGGAGTTCCAGGTAGCCTTGGCACCAGCCTCGACCTGGCTGTTGACCTTGTGGTAGTACGAGGCAGCGAAGACGCTGAGGTTATCAGAGGCAGTGATGGCGGCACTGTACTGGGGGGCGGTGTAGCCAACGGCGGCGCTGTAGGCAGTCAGGGCAGCCTTGTTGACGTCGTAGCCGGCGCTGCCACCGGCGACGAAGCCCTCGTGGCCGATGACGGCGTCGACGTTGGCGGTGGGGCCCTTCAGGAGGTCGAAGAAGGCACGGCCGTGGAAGCCGGGCTGCTTGAAGTGGAGGTTGAACTTGGCACCCTTGGCGTTAGTGGCGGGGAGGAAGTTGAAGAGACCCTCGAGCTTGAGGCCCTTGGCGAGGGTGTCGTTGACCTCGAGCTTGGTGTCGAGAGCGTTGGCGGTGTTCCAGGTCTGGGTGAGGGTCAGGCCTGCGCGCGAATATAGCATTAGCAGCTGAGCATAGCCATTGTTTCCTGGCTGGAACATGGCCGCAAATTCTAGCGGCCAGCCAGTTCTGGGGCCAAGAATGCGTCCCAGTCTAAGAGAAGGGGAAGAAGAAGAGTGTGGTGATTTGCGAGGTTTTCGCTTGGGTGGTGATGGTTTGGAGCTGGGGTCATGATTTGGGGGTGATGCCGTACCAGTAGGCTTGTCGGTGTATTTTCCCTCAATCTGCGCATCGAATTGATCAGTATTGCCATCCAGACTGTGGTGAAGAGGGTGGGGGAGAAAACTTACAGCACCGGCGGTGACCTTGTCGTGGCTGGACTTGCCAGTGACCTTGAAGGCAACGCCATTGGGGGCAGTGTCCTTGAACTCGAAGGTGGTGGCGGACAGGTGGTAGAAATCCTTGTTGAGGAGCTAAATAGACAACAGGATGCAAAGGTCAGTCCAAAAGCTGCGCCAATGGGCATTTTCAACGGCATTGACGAAATCCGGTGGGAGGGACACAGCTCGCCCAACGGCTCGTGTGAGCGAATTGAAAATGCGGGCAGGGAGGGAAGCATACATCGTTGGCCGACTTGGCGATATCAGCGAAGGCAGGGACAGACATGATGGCGGCTGTTTGTGATGGAGATGGAGCTAGAGAAGGAGACGAAGAGGTTTGTGAAAGACGCGGATGTGAGGATAGAGAGCAATCGAATCGGGGGGGAAGGCGGGATCCAGTAATGTTATTAGGTGCTGCTGAGCTGGTGAGCTCGGCCGGGGCTGCAGCACGGCTCAGCGCCTCGTCGGGTAAAGGAAAAATGTTTTTGGCGGCGCCAGCCAATGAGCTGTCGCCCAAACGCTGGGCGGTCACTGGGCAAAATCGCCCTAGGCAACCTGCGCCAGCCCAATCCTCCAGTCGAGTCGGCTGATGTCGGGAAATTGGCCCAGTACCACAGAACTCGCTGGCCGTTACTAGGTCCACGTGGTGAACGCTGGCGTTGCTTTTGGGCTCTCTTAGCGGAGTTCAGGCCGTCTCTGGCGCTGCAGTGCCAGAGCAGGTCATGCCCCAACGAGGAACCGTCCCCATCTTGGGCGGCATTTCTGCAAGGTACTCATCCTAACCTGGACATGCAAACCTCCGTGTTCAGGCTATGTCGTATTCTCATGCCGTCCTACGTAGCCGTTCCTGTCCTCTCCAAGCATTGCGTGCAATTATAGGACGGGATGGCATAAACGAGACCATCCCAAACTCACCGCCACGCATAGCATAATAGCTCCTACACCCTTCATGTTCCCTTCAAGCGACTCCAATGCACGGAGCCTGTTTCGTCGTAGACATGGATGGATCACCTCTAAGATTGCAGAACCCCGCGACTAGTGCACTCAATTTGTTGGGAAGGGCCACCCGTACACATCACATCCATTTCTCCATCCACCATCCTTAGAGGTCAGCTGCCCGCCTCGTTGGGATGACCATCATGCCAACCTCTCCGTGATGCTGGCCACCATCTTCAGACACCATCTGTAAACCATGACGCCCACCATGACTCTCTCGTCCCTGCATTGATATGGCATAGCTCGGCGAGACACCGAGCCTCTAGGGTTACATTGCACACAACACAACGGGAAACCGCTAAAGTAGTCAAATGACGTTCATGCTTCGCTCCAGCAACTCAAATGACATATGGCCGTTGAAACGACCGGTAACTCGGTATCGTTTAGCCAATGCCTGCTTTGGCTGGATTGGATTTATATCCATCAGACGAAAATAGTATTCACGTATTAAACTGCCGTGAAGCTGGTCCTTGCTCGTGCTTGGATTTGCAAAAGAAGTGATTGGCTGATCGGCGTCTATCTGAACAGTGTAATTTCGCCAGCCCTCCTCTCTTAAAAACTGACAAGTCTGCTCATGTGGTCGTATCACTTCACGATATTGTGCCAGCGGATAGCAAAATAGGTATTGTACTAACAGTAAACTTTCATCTCGAGATTCTTAGACATAGGTTACACTGAAAAAATAGGGTGACTATCCATTACTATTTTTTCTCTCTACTCTCATTTTCCCTTTTCCCCTTTTTCTCTCCACGATTTCTTCTTCTAGCTTTTAGGTTAAACCGTATAAAACTCCGGTCGATCGTGTGAAAGCATAAACAAAAATCCCGGTACACTCAAGGGCATACTTTAAACAGCGTTGTCGTACTTGTGCTCGTGGGTGGCAATAGCTCTGCGCCATCATGTTAGTTCATCCGACATGCATGCTCTGGTTGTACTGCTCAATTGTTACTACTAACCTGCCACTTGGGTCGGTCTGCTGGGACCAGGTTGGGGTCCAGCGCTGGACTGTTGAGCCGCAACGGGGAGGGAAGAGCTCATCGAACATCAAGCGGTACCAGTAACTAGATACCTGTTAGTCACGATCAACACGTTCTACACGGCAATGGCTCATACCCTTCCTTGGTATCAGGAACATCAGTTCCCCACTCGGCCTTAGGGTTGGCCATCATGGCATCAGAGACATGGAGCTCAGCGTTGTCCTTGAGAGCGTCGATCCAACCGTAGCCGACACCGTCCGAGAACTGCTCCTTTTGTCTCCACAGGATGTGCTCGGGGAGGTATGGCTGGTTGTCAGGCTCGTCGGTAGTGTCGAATGCCTTTCGGAGGATGTACTTCTCCATCTTCTCCTTGGTGATCATCTTATCGGCGGGGTCGATATCCATAGCCAAGGTAAGGAACTGTTTTTCAATTAGTGAGCATGTTGGGTTGCTTCAATCTACATGGGAATCAAGTCATAGTCACTCACTTCCTTGTCTAAGAATGGGACACGGGCCTCAAGACCCCAGGCAGAAGTAGACTTGTTGGCTCGGAGACAGTCGGCATAGTGAAGGTTCTTCACACGGCGGACAGTCTCGTCGTGGAAAGCGTCCTTGTCTGGGGCGGCGTGGAAGTAGAGGTATCCACCAAAGATCTCGTCGCTACCCTCACCACTCAGCACCATCTTGACACCCATGGCCTTGATCTTGCGGGACAAGAGGAACATGGGAGTAGATGCGCGGATAGTGGTAACATCGTAGGTCTCCAAGTGGTAGATGACATCGGACAGCGCGTTGAGACCGTCCTCGATTGTGAAGGTCATGACGTGATGCTTAGTGCCAAGGAACTTGGCCACCTCAAGGGCAGCCTTGTTATCAGGGGAGCCGGGGAGACCGATGGAGAAACTGTGTAATTGAGGGAAATAAGTCGAGGTTGAGAGACTGCCATCGTCGTCGATACCAACAAGGCCCTCTCCACGGTCAACGGCGTCGGCGTCGGGCTCTTGGTTGAGCTTGTTCTTGTCAGCGGCCTCCTTCTGAAGTCTCAAGTTCTCCCTCTGTGCAATAGAAGCGACCAAGCTGGAATCAAGTCCGCCGGACAGAAGAACACCAAAAGGCACCTCGGCCATCAGTCGTTTTCTTACTGACTTCTCCAGGGCGGCTCGGAGGGCCTTCAGGTCGACTGGTGTGGAAGGAACGTTGGTAGGATCCCACCACTTGGGGTTGAAGTAGCGGGTGGTCTCTCCGGTCAAAGAGTCATAGACATGACCAGGAGGGAAGGGAACAATCTTGTCGCACACGGGGTGGAGGCACTTCAGCTCGGAAGCGAAGTACACAGCTCCGGGCTCCTTCCAGCTCCATCCCTGGTAGAATGTGGTGACACCGATCGGGTCTCGGGCGGCAATGGTACGGTCCTTGGTCTTGTCATAGAGGATGAACGAGAACATGCCGTCAAGGTGAGCTGGGGCGTCGAGGCCGTGTTCCATGTACTACACAAGTAGCCTGTGAGTCTAAATCCACAGCCAAATCATCATGTTGCTGGGGGTAGGGACGTACCAGTGGGATGATAACCTCACAGTCTGAATGGGTCTTGAAGTGGTACTTGTGGTTGAGATGTTTGCGGATCAATCGGTGGTTGTAGATCTCTCCGTTGACGGCAAGGACGATGGATTCATCGGCGTTGGTGAGAGGCTGGGCGCCAGACTCTATATCCTCATGTTAGACTAGGATGTTCTCAGTGAATAAAATCGAGGTCGACCGTCACTTACCGACACCGACGATACTGAGACGCTCATGGCAGAGAACTATCACGAGTCAGTGGGAAAACCCCTGGATGTCGGGTTCGTAGAAATCGGCGTACTGGTGTTGTTGGAAATGACGTTTCCGCCTAGAAATTGTCAGACATAATTCTCCAATCGCTCGAGCTCGGCAGACAATCGTGTACTCACTCCAGTCGGGGCCACGATGGCGAATTCTTTCAAGGGCCAAGGTCAGTTTTCCATGCGCACGTGGGGAGCGTCCGACGCGATCGACTTACTGCTTTGCAAGCTTCAGCGCTGTAGGCTTAAACTTGTGCACATCGGGGTGGCTAGAGAGTAAAGAAATTGTCAGTCCTAGGATGCTCCTCAATGGATGCTACCGCGAGGCTCAATGGCATGTTCTCGCGGCTCATGGTGGGGTGTCTTTTTTTTTCCCGTTGCCCCTCCATGGTGTCCAACTTGTGCGATTGAGAGAGGGAGGGGCAGGCGCTGGGGTCCTTACTTGTGACAACCAAAGATTCCACACATTGTTGCGGTCGGCGATGGTCAGGGAGGCTGCTAAGGTGCAATTCGGACGGGTGACGGAAGGGACAATGCAGACGGGAGAGGAGCAGTCGTGGATCCGACTGCGGCAGTGATTTTAAGTAACGCCGTTCGAGTTGTGCCTTCGCAGGCCGATGGAAGGAGTCATCAGCAGGCGCGCCGAAAACCGCACGCCCCCACCATCCATCCCAGCCTGCGACTCGGGCTGGGGCCACTATACTCGATGCAGACTCTACTCCCTCTGCTATTGGCGGCTCAAATAAAACCCTGAGGGCTTATCATGGCATCCCACCCGTCGCATGCATGCAGGCTGCTCCGGCCAGGCAGGGACATGTGCATGCCCATACAGGTTATCACCTTTTCCAATCCGATAGGAGGACGCCAGCCCGACCCTTTTTCTCAACGGCCAGGCGGTAAGGGCCATCGTCCATCTCTTGGCGCCATCCTATGACTCCCTACTGTAGAGGCCGGGCCGGGGCATGGTATCTCCCAGACGGATATCAAAACGGGTACCTGAATAGTCAATTGCAGCTTATATTGCTATTCGTACGTAAAATGCATTTTATCCATCACACCAGCACCTCGGTAATACTTGCGACCGTCCTAAGCCCGTACCTACCTATTTACATCGTGCCTGTAGAACCAATGACAGAGATGGGAGCAATTTGAGGGGCCTCTCTGTACGTAATGGAAAATCTTCTAGCGACATTTCTGGTGTTTTTTATTTTCTTTATTTTAGACTAGAAACCAAGCAAGTCAGCAACGCATGGCCGCATCATGCTGTTCCATGCGGCTTGCATTGCATCCCGTCGCCAGACCACCTGAGAGCCCAAATAGGTGGCTCCCCTTGCAGGAGGTGCCAGTAAGCTAGAACTCATATAACCTCCGAGATCGAACGACAAAGCAAACTGGAAAAGGAAAGCGAGTCTCGCAATGAAAGAGAGTCATTGATCATTTCTTGTGTTTTTCCCCAGACGCCGCAGACATGGTATAGCTCGTAGTAGTGTCAATCATGGCCGTCGTATCCCAAATTCCGATCCCTGTTTCGCCATCTATCGTGTCGTCGAAATTCATTTTTCCCTTGCCTTCCCTTGTTGTCTCCCGCCTCCCACGCACGATGTGCATTTTTACGGTGCCGGGTTCTCACGGACCACGCGCTTGATTCTTCTCTCGTATTCGACCCGGTCTCTCTTGAAAAGGTTGTACGCCTCCGCCTGGGCAGGCGATTCGGGGTTCGGATCATTCAGAAGGTCCTGGATGCCAAGCAGGATCTGCTTCACTGTGATGGCGGGTTTCCAGGCCTCCTCCTCATTCAGAATCGAAAGGCAGACGGTGCCTGAAGGATAGACGTTGGGGTGGAACAGCGGGGGTGTAAATTTGCCTGAAAATAACGAGTGTCAGCATCGGTATCGACAGTATAAAGATCTTGGATATCGGGGAAGCATGCGTACACTTGGGAGGCTTCGTTGGGTATTCTGCGACGGGAAAAAGTTAATCTCGTGACCTGGAGTGAAACGCAAGTTGAGGAAAGAACGAACCATCAGGAAAAGCGACGTTGAGCTTCAGGAGGCAGCCCTCCCAAATCGTCTTCTCCTTGCCCGGAATACCACATTCCCAGTTCTTCAAGTCCAGAACGCCTTCCTTTGTTCGAGTAGGCTTCGCATAGAATCCGAACGGGTGGTCTTTCCGCCACTGCTTCCTGAGCCGGCAAGGGTTAGCATCTCAAAAGCGAGCGCGGGCGGGATGCGATAAATCTGATGTAGCTCACCTCTCCTCCCCGAGACGGTTCTGGCACAGGGCCATTCTGGATGGTTCGTGGTTCTAGTCGCTTTCGAAAAAAAAAATCACTTTAGGTGCCTGACGTATTTCCTAGCGGTCGCAAGCGTTTCGCAGGCCCGATGACGGAGCAGATGGTGGAAAGGGAGAGAAGTTCGAAGGAAAAAAAGAAGGTGTGCAGGTAGAAAGAGTGCTTCCAGAGGCTTGAGGCAGAGAACAAAGAAAGGTGAGCGCGGCTGGGGGGATTTATAAGCTGGGCGCTTGCTCGCTGTTAGGCTGACCGTCACGAACGAGAATGCGACTCACGTTGCGATCAGCTGTTGTTCGCCTGTTGGTGAGTGGGTAGGTGAACTGCATGAGTACGGAAGTACCTCCAGGGTCAACAGGCACTACAATGGCACTTGGCACGCAATCCGAATAGCAATTGTTCAGTTGAACTTCGCAGATGTGCAGGTTATGCATTTTATGAAGGCTGCATAACTCGCACGGTGTGTCGCGGGGGACAAGACGTGGGGTAATTTGCACACAGACACAGTCACACGGAGCGGCATGGACATGGGACTGTCCGATCCCTCGGTTCAACTCAAGCCGCAGCCCAAGACAAGCCGACGGACCTGTCTCTCTCTGCCCGGGAGCACCTACATGCCTTGATTCTCCCATCTTCCTCTTTCCGTACCGCTTACTAGTTTCATTGTTCACCATTGGAGATTTAGTGCCGACCACGCCACACAGAAGATCTACTGGAACGCTGTCCCTCACTAACCTAATATTATCAGCATCAACCTTTCACCACCAACTGTCCTCTTGAAATGCGACAGACTCTCGCATAGCCACCCACGGAGTACTGATATAGATTTGCTGGTTCATTTACCATCGTAATCGATTGGACCAACTCCAAAGCATGTTCTTGGGCATTTCAGAGGCACATTAAACATCATGAGCACAACAGAAGACATCAAAAAGGAGGGAGCGGGGGCTGGGTCAGAGCATGTGATACCCACGGCGAGCTCAGGGAGTACCGCCCAAAAGACGGAAGAGCCGGAGGTTGAGAGCTTCCCAGATCCAGATGAGGATGATCTGGATGATTTAGATGGTATGGGACATCTACACCCCTTGTTGCTGCAGGCTCGGGCCACTCACCGTATCGCCAGACATGCTTGATGAGTTTTCGTCAGTCAAGCTGGACGCAAAGCCAGCTGCGGCACCGTCAAATCCACCACCGCCAACAGCAAGCGCGGCTCCTAAACCAGAACCTGCGCCGACGGCTGCCCCGGTGCCTGAGCCAAGTGTCGAGGAAGACCTCTCAGAGGAGGAGTTTGCCAAGCAGTTGCAGGCTGGCATGGCCGACTTACTTGGTCAATTAGACAGCTCTGTCAGCTCATCACCCCTCCCACACGCATCCCCCCACAATCTACTAACTATCAGCAGCCCGACATGCAGGCGCAGTTTGAGGACATGTTCAAGAAAATGAACGAAGCAGCAGAGGATGCAGGGCTAGGCGAGGAGGCTGGCAAATCTACCGAGGGCAATGCCAAGTCAACCCCGGCCCCCCCGGTGAACGATGCATCATTCCAGGACACCATCCGCCGCACTATGGAGCGGATGCAAAACTCGGGAGACCAGGCCACCGCTGCTGCTACTTCGGCTGGTGAGAACGATTTCATGAGTGAGATGCTCAAGCAACTGTCTTCTGGCGAGCTCGGTGGAGAAGGTGGCGATGAGGAGTTCTCCAAGATGCTAATGGGCATGATGGAGCAGTTAACGAATAAGGAGATTCTCTACGAACCCATGAAGGAGCTGCACGAAAAATTCCCCGCGTGGCTGGAGAAGAACAGAGCCTCAACGCCAGCAGATGATCTGAAGAGATATGACTTACAACAAAAGCTTGTGAACGAGATTGTAGCCAAGTTCGAAGAGCGGACCTACTCAGACTCCAACGCTGCAGACAGAGAATACATCGTGGACAGAATGCAAAAGGTAAGCGTTTGATGGCGAATGGTTTCCCCCACTTCTATTCATTTCTTGTGGCTTACAACGCACAGATGCAAGAGGCAGGTTCGCCGCCATCAGATCTGGTTGGAAGCATGCCCTCCGCGCAGGAGGCTTTAAGCATGCCAGACGACCAGTGCAATCCACAATAATATACAATCGGACATAGTACTTTGATACATATCATTTCTTCCAATGCCCAGTGGACTCAATTCCAAACATATTCCAAACCTGAACATCCAAACGCCATTTCCGAGTGCCGTTCCCTATCCCCCAAAACTCCATTATCAAAATCAAAGCATGCGCGCTATAAACGAATCGGATCAGAAGATCATTTCATCATCTTCATCCATAGCATCCCCGTGGTTTATTACTTGGTTGTATTGTTGTTGCTCGTGTTGTTGCTGCTGCAATTGTTCTTCATGTGCGACAAATTCTGCAAATAGTTGGTCGTACTCCTCGTCTGACATTTCTGATGAAGCGCACTCAGCCTCGGCTTGTTCGTCTTGGTAGGACGCCACCATAGCCTCCAGCTCAGCCTCCTCATCAGCAGCAGAATCAACCATCATGTCATCTTTTTGGTATGATGGGCCGGCCTGTTGGTGAAAGGCCACTGCGTCGTCGATGTCTGCCTCCGAGATCTCGGGGGCGCCTTCAGCTGACAGTTCCAGTCGAGCGAGGAAGCTTGCTTTCAATAACTATCAAGGGTTAGCATTTGGATTACACAAGTACTGTATGATGGTCTGCCTTACCTGTCCTTCTACATCTCGTCGCAGCCATGCCTTGTCCTCGGACTTTTGGCGTACGCTCTGTAGGAAGTTCTTGCGTCTCATCTCCTGTGCATCTTCACGGCGCCGTACCACGGGGTTTCGGCGGGCCGGTCGCGACGCGTATTTGAACTTTGGCTGCTGGATTGGAGAAGATTGCACCTGGCGTTGTGGTAGAGAATTGGTCTCAATCGGCGATAGAGGGGAAGACGCGCGAATTGGTGACGACGAGAGAGGTGATGAGACGGCTGGCCGATATGGCCCCCAGTGTTCGCTGGGAATAGGGGTGGGAGCGAATGAAAGCATTTTGTTTGAAGTGACTGAATCTTTTCCTTTTTGCATATGTGATAGGCTCGGTAAAGGAGAGTTCTGTTGAAGATATAGGAATTGGATGTTGTTGCGCGGGGACAAGAAGCGTGGGATGGGAGACGTGCCGGCGGGCTTAAAGCTACCTCTTAACACGGCCTGGGCGTCATGCTCTCAACGCGGTCGCGAAATCACGTGTGGGATTGGCGTCGGGCAATCAAAGACCCCGCTGCAGGCTTATCTAATAGCCACATCCCTGCGCTAGACGATTAGCAGTTACTAGTGGGTCCGCATGCAGGCAAAGTAGCCTCCGGTTCTTAATTTTTTTTTTGACCGGCGTGGCGACGAGGGAAGGCACACCCGTACCCAGCCGAGACTGTTGGGGGAGGACCTGTTGATCGGCAAATCGCAGCTCCGAGGTCTCTTACGAGTAAATTATTCAATACTCCGGCCCTAGGCCAGTCTAGTCAATTAATTAATATCCTAGCATCATCGTCTGCATGGTGTTCTTTGTTTAGCTGCAGTGCATCTTGCCGTTTCTAATTTTTCTTCTTCTCATATTCCAGAGCGATGACTGGTCCATTCCCCTGATTGCTCCATTTACAAGCCTTCTGCTGCTACGCCATTCAGCAAGGGCGGCCGTCCAAATGAACACCCTCACCATCTCGGCCTCCTTTGCTACCAGAAGCGGTGTTCGCTCTTGGACATGCTCAACATGCCGCAGCCAGCTACTGCAAAGTAAACCGATCCGCCTCCCCAATTCGAGACGGAGGTTCACGTCGGGACGTGGATCTTCACATGAAAAAGGCTCGGGTGGGAGGAAATCATCGCAACGGTTCCCACTATATGCCTCGACGGGTGCCACTGTGGCGGGCGTCACCGCGCTCGCATTCACGGACGAGATCAAGAGCGGCTATGAATCGGCAGAGCGTACGGGGAGAGTAGCAATTGGCTTGGCGGTCTGCATCAATGAGTGAGTTTGCGCAAAGCACCATCTCGACGATTCCTGCTAACAGACGCCTTCAGTTACCGCAGGACATTGAAGAAGAGAGAAACAATCGAAGACCCGGACGAGCGAGAGCGCATTCTCAGCGCATGCCATCAACGGTGCGCACATCGAACGCTCAAGGTTTTGGAAAAGAATGGCGGTATCTTTATCAAGCTCGGCCAACACTTGGTAAGCCCTCGAGAACAATATCCTGGCCCATAGATTTCCTCTAATATGTGTTCAGAGTGCCATGAACTACCTCCTTCCCACTGAATGGACGACGACATTTATCCCCCTCCAAGACAAGTGCCCGGTCTCTCCTTTCCACTTGATCCAAGACATGTACCAGCATGATACCGGTGTCGACCTCTGGGACTACTTTTCCGAGTTCTCGACAGATCCCATAGGTGCGGCTTCGCTTGCGCAGGTGCACCTGGCGACGATCAGAGAAACAGGTCGCAAAGTGGCTGTCAAGGTCCAGCATCCGGAGCTGGAGGCTTTTGTACCTCTGGATGTCGCTCTCACGAAATACACGTTCTCAACCTTGAAACGGTTCTTCCCCGAGTATGATCTGGAATGGCTCTCGTCCGAGGTAGAAGTATCTTTGCCCAAGGAGCTTGACTTCCAAGAAGAAGCAAAGAATGCTGCGAGAATGCGGGCGCATTTCGATGCTCATGCACCACAACTACCTCTGGTGATCCCTGAAGTCCTCTGGGCCAAGAAACGAATCCTCGTTATGGCATGTGAGTCTGGCAACCGCCCAGATGATCTGGAATATCTTGACCGCAATGGTATCGATCGCGATGAGGTTTCTGCGACCATGGCTCGGATTTTCAACGAGATGATTTTCGGAGATGGCGCGCCACTGCACTGTGATCCTCACGGCGGGAATATTGCCATTCGCAAGAACACCTCTCGCCGGGGTCTCGGCCGTGGTCCCAACTTCGACATTATTCTCTATGACCACGGCTTATACCGTGATATCCCTCTGGATCTCAGGCGTTCGTATGCCAAGATGTGGCTCTCTGTCATTGACGGTGATATGAAATCCATGAGGAAATACGCCCACGAGGTTGCGGGTATCGAGGACAAGGACTTCCCCCTTTTTGCCTCGGCAATCACTGGGCGAGACTACAGCGTCGTCAGCACTGAGGGCTCGATTCTCAAAAACCGAAGTTCAAACGAGCAGAAGAGTATGAGCTCCCAGCTCCAGGAAGGCCTCATCGTCGACCTTGTCCAGCTCCTCGCGCGTGTCCCTCGAATCATCCTTCTTATCCTAAAGACCAACGACCTCACTCGCAGTCTCGACGAAAACCTCCACACAAGCCAGGGACCTATTCGAAGCTTCTTGATTCTCGCCCGATTCTGCACCCGCACCGTTTTCCTCGAGCAGGTGGAGAAGATCCGCGAGCAGGGTTCGCTTCTCTGGCCACCACACGCTGCCCGACTGCTTGTGGCCTGGTTGGGGTACATGAGGGTTGAGCTCAAGGTGGAGGCATTTGAGCTATGGCTTGGTATTAAGAGGCTTCTTGGGCTACGTCGCGTGGAGTTTGGCGGTAGCCCTCTGGCAACTAACTAGCTAGATTAAAATGGTAATCATGATAGACGTATATACATCACACATGTAGATAATATGAACCTCGTTTCAACTCTTACCATGGCTCGCTGCTCGTCCTCACAACAAGCAGTTGTCGTTGAATGATGTCGATTTTTTATGTTTGCCTGTGGCTTATCTTGTTATATTTCAGGTTCTCTTCTTGTATCGTCTCGAGAGTACACTGAGATTAGTTTCTGCTAGGAGATCATGGCAGCCGGCATACCGCAACATTCCAAATCAAGACAAGTTCAACGCTACCATAGCCCGCTATCAACCAGAAGGCAATTGCACAAACAGAACCCTCACCCCAGAGAATCAACCAAGGATATATATCGTACATTAAAACGTCACCTCGCTTGGGGAGTTGGTGAATTACTTCTGATTAGTACTGCCACGAGGCATTGTTTAGGGTAGGGAACCCCCGAAATAGCAGTTCCTGGGCGAAATCAATACCTCACGCCTGCCAATTAAAGAAATTGACCAGAGTAAACGAAAAGCTTACATGACTAGGTATGGAACTCTATCAAAAAGGAATGAAGCATCCCAACTGGCGAGATATATCATAGGAAGGCTGAACTGACAGCAAAAAGTGTGGTTTCGCCCGGGCTCGAACCGGGGACCGTCTCGGGGAAATCAAGATGATTGTTAGCGAGAAATCATGACCAACTAGACCACGAAACCGAAGGATGTTTTATTCCTGTCAGGGGGCAAAGAAAATCCACACCATGAACACAGAGCGAATGCTGCATCGGCAGACCACCTGAATTTCAAACTCCTCACCAACTAACATGCTTCCCGAGAGCTACAGTCGAGACAAGTACCTCCACTCAGCCGCGATGGGAATAGGATCGCCATTGCGAAGCCGCTGGGCATCCGCAACCCTCAGCATCGGTTTCGTGGTCTAGTTGGTCATGATTTCTCGCTAACAACATCTCCTGTTGCTCCGAGACGGTCCCCGGTTCGAGCCCGGGCGAAACCACACTTTTGCCGGTTATGGTATCATTGGCTGGCTGGAGGAAACATATTTCATCCAAATCAATTGCTGGGACCTCCAATTTACTTTTTGCTTCATAGGTAGATTGAATGATATCGTCAGATTCGCTACATGTGTATCCTGGCCCAATGTAAAGTAATACCCTAAAAATCAACTCGAGACCTTGACGCCTGACACTTTCCCCGGTCATTGATGTTCCCTTCCCTTTCCACAACGCCTGTTAAACCAATCCCATTAATCATTGAAATGCATTCTTTCCAAGCAGGCCGCCCACCACTCCAAGCCTGTTCTCCGCCCCTCGGGCCTTCTTCTCCTGCCTCCTTCGTTCGTTTTCTTGAATCTTTGCCCGCCTTTCCGTCTCCCTGGCAAAGGCGTTAATGCCACTCTTCTTGCTGGCCGTCTTCTTGATTTTGGCTTCATTGCCAAAACCGCTGGCGCTGCTGCCGCCCATAGTGGGCGTCGAGGCACCAGAGCTGCTTGCAGATGTTGACTGGAGTGAGTTGGTAGTCGCACGACGCAGTAAAGCGGGCACCTTGAATGACGACGACGAGTTCTGCACCGCAAACGCCATTCGCGACCCCGAGTCGCTCATCATTGACGATGAGTTGCGCTTGAGGCTAATGCGATCGACCACGGCCGCACCTCGGCGGCGAGGGTTTGGTGCGCGGTTCTCCTTGTCACTCCGCGCTGAAGGAGTTGGTTCCACATCCTCATTCTCGCTGTCCGAGCCAGCTTCTGTCGCAGGGATGATTGACATCTCTCGGCCGTCTTCGAGCAGACTGGACAACGTTTCACGCACCTCACCGATATTGGTGGGCTTCCTTCCAGCCTTGGTTCGTCGCATGTGAGCCGGGGGTCTGTTCGAGGGAGCACTCCCCAAGACAGACCGTGGCTGGCTATCAGGCACAACCTGGAACTTCTCGCTTTGCTCTTCTTGTGACTGTGATTCGGGAGACTCCCTGGGTTCCTCGGTGACATCGAGGAAATCCATCTCCTCATCGCTGCCGTGATCCTCAATGGTGCGGAGGAATGCCTGGTTACCTGGATTCTCGGCCATCTTCTTCACTCGCTCATCAGCGAACAGAGCCTTCTGCATTTTGGCGAATTGGCGACGCTTCATCTTTCTGCGAGCCTCACCACCATCGTCGGAGTCGGATAGATCGTAGTCGGCACCACGTTTGCGGCGCAGCATACCACTCGTGATATCCTTGAAAAGCTTCTCGACCTGCTTTTCATCACTGGCTCGTGCTTGATCACTACATTTCGTTAGCCACAAGTCCTTATCGGGGACGGTTGGGGGTTAGTCCTTACGCATAATAGGCCGCAAGCTTGCTCTCGTCCAGGTCGTTGCCAGCCGCATCATCAATCATCTCCTTCACGGATGCCACTGATTCATCGTCGCTGTCTTCACCATCAGCACCACCCAGGCCGCGGTACTCGTCCTCGGATTCTTCAGCCTGCTCCTCCACCATCTCCTTGGCCTTGCTCTTCTTTTTGTTGAATTCATCGGCGAGCTTTTGCTTCCTGGCCTTCTTTGCACCGTCCAACATGGCACCAAAAGCGTTCGAAACTGCTTCCTCTGTCTCGGGTGCTGTTGGAGGAACCTCATCTACTTCGGCCACACTTTCCATCTTGCGTCGTAGTCTACCTCGGCGAATCATAGGCGACCCGTTCATAATGTCATCTGGGTTCGCAACGACTGTTTCAACTGTGGAGTGGGGGGCATCAATGAATCGATCCTTCAAGGGCGTATGGTCTTGGAATCCACCGTCCTGAGAGGGCTCCATCATTTCTGAATATTGCGTAGCTGGCACTTCGCGCAGCAAACTGTCAAGACCTCGCATCTGAGACTGGGAAAGGTTTAATTGGATGCCCTGGGTCTCAGGATTTTGAGTCTGTGTCATGATGTCCGCAGGCTCGTCCATTGTGGCAGAGAAATTGGAGTTGGGGAAGTTATCAAAGTCAGGCATCATGGATTGAGTAGGCCCATTGGTTGGTGACATTTGGCTGTCATCCATGGTTCCTGCGAAGATTTGAGTGAGACCCAGGCCAGCAGGACCCTTGACGGGGAGACCAGGGATGAAGTTCTTCCTGGCTGAACGAAGAACAGAGCCAGGAGTGGTCGAACCTTTAGTGTTTGGAGTGGCTTGCGGAATTGATTTGGGTCGTGGTGTTGCTTGTGATGTCGCTTTTGGTCTGGGCGTAGCCTCTGGATCCGCCTCATCATCCTCATCATCATCCGAGACTATCATGACCTGCTTGCGGGATCTTCGTTTGCTTGACGTTGGTAAGCCGTCGTCATCGTCCGCCATGGTAGCATCTTCCATGCCATCATCCGACTGTTCGATGGTTTCATCTCCCGATTCACCATCTTCAGCTGCCAGTCCCTCAACTAATGATTCGCCTGCAGCCTCCATATCTTCGCCCTCATCGCTTTCGCCGTTCTCCTCCTCCGACCCAGAGAGCTCGACATCGGCAAGCTCTTCCCCTTCATCAACGGATGCTTGGTATTCCTCATCATCACTCTCATCCCAATCCAATGGGTCATCGTTTTCGCCCTTGTTCTTCTTGGCCTCTTCACGCTCCTGAGCCATGATCTGTTCGGCTTCTTCCCTCGCTTTCGCTACGATGTCCTCGACTTCTTGCATTTGGCGCTCGCGCTCTTCGGCAGTCTGAACGACAATACCCTGAGCCTTGAGCATTTCCATGCGCTTCTCACGTTCCACCTTGGCCTGTTGTCGAGCCTTTTGATGAAGGTTAAACTGAAGTTCGCCGACACTCATATCCGAGGCCTTCTTCTTTCGTCGAACGTCCTTCCCAGGAGATCTGAGCTGAGCAAGAGCACGTAAAGCCTGCATGGAGTGAGATGCCACAGTGGTCTGTTTAGGAACATTGTTGAAGACTGCATCAACTTTCCCCCGCTTCAAGTCGGTGATCTCTAGCTCGTCATCGGAGTCGAAGGTAAGCAAGTTCACAGCCTGAGGTGGCATCTTGACGCGAACATTGCGCTTGGGAGGAGCGATAGGCTGTTCAACCTTGGGGGGCAAGACTTCTTTGCCCTTTCCCTTATCCAATGCTGAGGTTTCTTCCTCCGCTGCGGGAGAAATCTCACTGGTGGCTGTTGTTTGAACAACCTCTAGTTCCTTCTCACCAACAGGGGGCGAACTTGGAGGGGTATCGCTGTTTTGCTTTTCCGCATCTGTTGGGGGTGTCGTCGGACGGCTTGAGCTCGCTATCTTTGGTGCTGGAGCACCGGCGGGTCGGAAGTTGAATCGCTCAAAGAGGCTGGACTTAGAAATCTTCTTCCTGGTCTTCGCTTCGTGGGCCAATTGCATATTTCTGGCCATACGCTGTGTCTCACGATTCATATCCTCCACAGCCTTTTTGCTTGCTTTTCTCGTCGGCCGGGCGCCCTGTGTCAGTTTCAGTCCACCTTCGTCATCTTCGATATCTGAAACGTTGCTGTGGTCTGAGTCGAGCTGTTCAAGTTCTGAGGCAAGCTTCTCTTGCATGGCTCGGCGCTCTGCATTGCGTTCCTCCTCAGCAGCTTCGCGAGCACGGCGCTCTTGCTTCTTGCGTTCTACAAGGGCCTTGAAACGATCGGATTTGAGAGCTGGTAGAAATTCCTCGGTATCCGATACATTGCCTTGGCTCTTGGTAGGGGATGGTCGTGCCGGGGAAGATACGAATAGACCGGGGCTTGGGGAACGCGGAGCAGGAGCATCTTCTGTCTCGGCCACCCCGTCCTGAGCTGTGCGACGAACTAGCCGTCGTGGAGCTACGGGTAGAATATCGTCTTCGTCCTCGTCATTTCCCTGGGGTTGTGTCATCTCGATGTCCTCTTGAACGTTCGATTCGGGCTGGTCTCGGGTTTCAGTAGCTGGCTTGTGTTTTTCGGTAGGAGCAGCTGCAGCATGCATCCGAGCTGCTAGTCTGCCCCTGGGTCTGATTTCTTCATCAGACTCTTCGTCGGTGGCGTCTGTTTCCTGTGTGCTGCCCAGATTGTTGGGTTTTGAGAAAGGTCCTTGGAGGATTTTCGAAATCTGGGGGCCGGATGCCTCATCGTCACTGTTGTCCACAGCTGCGAGGAGGGCTTTGATCTTGGAGCGTGGGGTCAATGGCTCTGGTGACTCGCGGCCAGACGCGGGAGTCGAGGCGCGTGAGGACCCCATTGTGTATGAGGAACTGGAAGATGGGTATCAAACAAGAATCAAATCCAAAAAGAAAAAGAGATTGAAATCTGACAGGGACGCTCAACAGCAAAAAGGGTATGTTGCATTGGTTGACAAAATCCCAAGTCAATTGTGGGAGAGAGTTGGATGTGGTGTAGAAATGGAAGGGGACGTGTAAATTGGTGGAGGTGGTTAATTAATGGAGCTTGACGCGTAAAGAGTTGACGCGCGACTCCCGCATCCATTTGGCGGGAACCACGCCCCCCTGCAGCGCGCATTGGGTTAGGCTCTGCCAGCACCTGAGCCAGCCCCCCCAGCATTGATGCTCATCATAAGTGCCGGTGGTAGGCCCACTGTAGATAGGCCCTCGATCAATCATGTAGCAGGCGCTCAGGGCACCTTCTCTGTGGGCGAGCGCTGAAACGTTCTGGTTGCCGCCCGTCTTTATTGAAATTTTCTGATACGTCGTCATTCCTCAAAGATGCCGAGGCTCAACATTACTCTTCGCGGCTCTGCCTCCATGACTCTTGCTATTGGGCCTTTATCGGACCACTCATTCGCTCGCTTGCCGTCGGTATCGCAGCACGGGAGCCCCGAATCCCGAGACCTCTGCAGATTCGGTTCTTTGCGTTGTTGAGGACCCGTAGATGTCTTGTAATTAATTACGACCACGGCCATGGGTTGGTGTCATTGGTCCCACATGCAACTCCTTCTGTGCTACAACATGTTGAACCAATAACTTAGCCCCTCGATGATTCTCACCCTTCCAGCATCCTTCGTCATAAGCCCCTTTCCCTCTGGTAGAGCGATTTTTCAATCTGGCCTCTAGAGTAAGACAGTAGACGACCAACCATCCACTGACAGCTAAAGTTGATTCTTTGCGCTCCTTGGGTTGGAGTTCCAGTAGCCAACATGGACTGGTTTGGACGAGCTAAGATTGATTTTGTTCATGCACCATCCCCAAGGACGATAAATGATAAAGATGGAAAATATATCAATCTCCTCGATATCTGCGAGAAAACAACGCCGCCATGTCAGATGAACCCTCTACTCTTCAACGGCCACATGCAAACCATGTGGACGGTGACAAAGCCACACGGCCCTTCTGTTCATTACAAGCGCAGAATTTTCGAGGCCGAGCATGAGCTTTACGCAGGCACATTTGCCGTTGATTTTGCGGTAGACGCTCACGATGAGCAAGACGAGACGCTTCCCCACCGGACAGCTTATTACAGCGACGAGGAGTTTGAAAGCCTGGGCTCCAGTGACACCAAGCCAATGCTTGTGGTATTGCACGGACTCTCTGGCGGGTCTCATGAGGTTTACCTCAGACATACGATTGCGCCGCTTCTTGGCGAAGGGGGTTGGGATGTGTGTGTTGTGAACTCGAGGGGTTGTGCGATGAGCAAGATTACCACCGGAGTGCTGTACAATGCCCGTGCGACATGGGATGTGCGACAAGTGGTTAAATGGATGAAGAAGACATACCCAAACCGACCTTTGTTCGGCCTGGGATTTTCTCTTGGCGCCAACATGCTCACAAACGTACAATACCATGAAGGCCCTTGTGTATTTGATCGAGCTGCTAACATTCATTCTAGTACTGCGGCGAGGAGGGCTCGGGGTGTCTTCTCAAGGCTGCCGTTGTGTGCTCAAATCCTTGGAATCTGGAGGTCTCGAATAAATTCCTTCAAAGCACGTATATTGGAAAAGAACTGTATCTGCGATACATGGGTTGTAAGTTGGGTAATTCCCCTAGAACTTCGGCGACAGGTGTGCTAATTGTTGGATATTCAGCCACCATGAAGCAACTTATCGAGAATCATAAGAAAGAAATCACAGAATACACCGATCTGGACGTGAAGGCCATTGAGAACGTCACCTACTTGCACGAATTTGATCGTGAGATTCAGTATGACTCCCTTCCAATGATACTGAAGTACAATACTAAGACTTCTCAAGGTGTGCAACCTGGGGATACCCTACTGAGGATGCGTACTACCGTGATGCGTCATCTTCGGATGCTATCCTTTCTATCAGGATACCATTTTTCGCATATCATGCTACTGACGATCCTGTATGTCCCTGAATTGTTGTTGAATGTGAAGCTCTCAGCTGACTTAATAACTAGATTGCCGTGAAAGAGGCCATCCCATACCTCGAATTTCGCCAGAACCCCAACACGATGCTTGTAACCACTTCTCTTGGGGGGCATCTTTGTTGGTTCGAGGCCGGTGGCACGCGATGGCACGCACGAGCGGTAAGTCAACATGGTGATACCCATCACTTCGCCCACCTACATGCTGACTCTGTTTAGGTCCCGAATCTGCTTAATTTCATGGCCTTCAACACCGACCTTGACACTCTAGAGCCATCGAAGGAGCCAGAAGCCGCCAAATCGGCAGCTGGCGGTTGCACTTACACTCCAATGCGACGCAAATTGTTCATGACCGGACATGGAATATGATTATTTTCTCCTTGTCATACATCGATATGGGTAAAGAATAGAAATGAGACGGAATAGATATGAATTTTTAGTTAGAACCACATATATGAAGCGCAACATGGCTAGAATTATCTCAAACCAAGTCTCCGATCTGCACAACCCATGTTCTTTTCCTTCACCGGGATTCTAACGAGGTTGATGAGGAACAAAGATGTTTTCGCCAAAAGAAATACCAACTCCAAGCGCCTGTAAAATGCCTTTGATCTCGCCGCCAAACTGCACCTAGGCAAATGAAACACTCTTCTTCTTTGGCTTGGTGGCCTTTGTGCCCGTTGAGCTGACCTCGGTCAGACTCTCGTCCTCCTTGCCCGAGCTCTTGCGATTGCGTTTCTTCCTCAGCGAATCCTTCATGTTCTCCAGCTTGGTCTTCTTCTCCTCTTCCTTCTTCTCAGCCTCGACCCTGCGCGCTTCTCGGATTTCTTCTAATTGCCGTGCCTTGATCATCTTGGATTCGATTTGGCCTTCCTTCTCGGCTTGTACTAGAGACAGAATCGTATTCATTCCCTCCTGCAATTGAAAGTAGATTAGCACGCTGGGTTCTAATGACTGTATAATAACAATTAAACGTGCTGAAGAGCTTACCTTGTCGTCGACAAAGATCTTGCCCTTCTTCTTGCCCCTAGGCTTGACCACACCAACGGGCGTGATCATGTTGAGCTTGGGGATGTTGAGCTCCTCCGCAGTGTACACCTTCTTCTTAGGCTTCTGCAGCAATGCGGCGCGATTCTTCTCCTTGACCTGCTGGGAGACGACGGGGCCCTGCTTGCCCTTCTTCGACTTGGAGACGCCGCTGGCGGCCGATCTTTTCGTGTCTCCGCTGGCGCTGGATGTCTTTGGCCCGGCATTCTTGTTTTTCATGGTCCGAGTGCGTGAGGGAGCCATCTTGAAGAAACAGTCCCGCTTTGTAGGGGGGGACACCAGGGGTTCTTAATTGGATTGGGAGTTTGGTGGTCGGCCTGGCGTTCGTTGCGCGGGCGCGAGAGGGCTGGTGATGAGCTGATCGATGGACCTTTCAGAAGCATGGAAATTTTTTGGAGGTTTTCCCCCGATAAGAGTGATCGAGGGGCGATAGGCACGGTAGACTTCCGCGGTGGGGCTGAAGTGGCAGGCACAGGTGCAGCATGTGCGATTGGCGATCTCATTCCTTTGCAACAGGCGATCCTTTAGGAGAGGCGATTCCTTACAAAGCTATATATGTATAGGCAGTGAATTGGCCTGATTCTATCTTGAAGCTTGAATACATGCATCATATCTCGGAATTGGTCGCGTGGTGAATTGCGTGATAATTCTGGTGCACAATCTGTTGGAACACAGGAGGTACCTGAGGTACTCGTGATGCTAGCAGGAGAGTTCAAAGCGCCGCCAATGTTATGTGGAACTTCGAAGAAGCAATCCGGTTGGCTTCGAGGGCCATGTGCACGCATTGTTGCAGAAGAAAAAGAAAGGGGCCAATCACCAACACCCGTGTCACGTATCAAAATGCGGCACTGGACACGGCACTGGGCGCGGATCTCTCTGTCGAACGCTGTCGAACGCCACCAGCGCTGCCCTTGCGGAGGCTGGCGCTACAATCTGGATGGCCCCTACCACATCTGCCCTGACATGATGTTCCAGTCTGAAATCCAAAGAAAAATGTCTGAGGATTACCGAATAATAGTTCGTCGCTGTGCATGCTGCATACCATCCGTCCCCAGACCATCAGATGCACTAGCTGCAAGTCTCCCTTGCATGTCCCTGACCTCTTATTGGAGGTGAGAGGTAGCCACACGTCACGACACACTTGCACCACCCTCGGACGCTAGGGAGTGATATAGAAAAAAGAAAAAAAAGTGATAGAATGGCCATGTCAACGGCCAGTTGCGATGGAGGGAACTATTCCTTCAGAAAGCTACTGAGGTAAGGTAGTAAGTAGTAAGGTTGGATTCAATATTGCGGCGGTAGCACAGTGGAGGGCTACTCGGCTTAAGACTCGAGACTCGAGAGTACATGGCGCAAGCGTCAGTCTGTACCACAGTGGCAGGTACTTTATGTAGCAATAGGCCGTTGAGGCTAGAAGGCTCTTCAGTCTTCACAGGGCTAGCACCACTATTCTTCAGGGAATTATTAGTCGGGTCGAGGTAAGCGACCCATCATAAGGCCCCATCGCAGGCCCCATCGACGCACTCTCCATGTCAGTCATGTCAATCTGCTCGAGGGAACCTACGTACCTGTTATTATTACCACCAGGCTAAACCTCGTGCCTGAATTTTTACCACCATCAACCACACATCCTCCTCCCCAACTCGACGCCCCCGACCAACTAGACCGCAAAACCTTCGCCTGCCCGCACCCTCTCTCCCAGCAAGAAGCACACTCAACCAACCAGCCCGACAGTCTGATCATCTCGCGTTGCCACCTCCGCCGACTGCAGAATTATAGACAGATTTAGCCCCCCCACCATTGCATCGCTACTCCTCGACACATATACCCGCCGCACCGCACCGACTCCTCGAGTACCAGAAGACAAGACCATACCAGTCCTCGATTCATCACCTTTCCCGCGCAGCAGCTGGGAACAGTTTGGCTCGCTGCAGTGCTTTTACATTTCTTAGGTCACCACGACCGCCCTTGTGCGTTGGTTGTACCTGGCAAACCTCCTCGTGTATTATTGGGCTTCAATCCCCCGACTCGACAACACCCTCTCCTTCTCGCCTTCTGGCTCCGGCTTTGTACATTATAACAAGAGTATTTCTTATCTGTCTCCATGGAGAACATATGGGCCCGTCGCGCAAAGTAGGAGCTGGCACCTTCCTGAGACCTTCCGCAAACCTGAAGCTAACATGTGTCTTTCACAGTACTAACAAGCTTTCTCTGACCACTCCTAATACGATTCCCAACGGGCCCGAAGTCTTTTCCCAAAATGCCTCCTCGGCCAGGCGCCAAGGAGGCAACACACCGTCGCACGTAAAACCGAACCCTTTCAACAGTACCACCCCCGGGGCCGGTGTGTCCTCACCGACCACCGCTGGGGCATCGAGTGCATTTGGACTGGGCTCTGGGGCATTCGCCTCGTTCGGCTCTGCCAAGACCCCCAAGTCTATGGGCAGTAATCCCTTCGATACCGCGATGGCATCGGCCGTTTCCAAGTCCATCCAGCCCAAAGAAGGGCAGAAGCCTGTGGTCAAGGCGCCAAGCATGGCCTCAATCTCTGAGATGAAGAGATCGGTCGATGGCGTCTCACATCCATTGAAGGATGCGTGGTCTTTCTGGTACAGGCCACCGATCTCCAAGGCCCACGGTTTTATCGAGTACGAGCAGACGTTGCATGGAATTGCCACGATCACTACAGGGGAGGAGTTCTGGGACATCTACACACATCTGAAACGACCTTCGATGCTCCCAGTCGTTTCCGACTATCACCTTTTCAAGAGGGACATCCGGCCTATCTGGGAGGATGAGATTAATCGCAAGGGAGGCAAATGGGTGGTCCGCATGAAGAAGGGGGTGGCTGACCGTTATTGGGAGGATCTTTTACTGGCTCTTATTGGCGACCAATTTGGCGAATCTGGCGAGGAGGTCTGCGGCGCTGTTCTGAGTGTTAGGAATGGGGAGGATATCTTGAGCATCTGGACCAAGACTGACGGCGGTCGTGTGCTCAAGATTCGGTAAGTCGTCCCTTGCAGCCCCCTCAAAAAAAAGCAATTTGACGCTAATACGTTACCCATAGTGAGACCATGAAGAAGATCCTCAACTTCCCCAACAACACGCGTATCGATTTCAAGTCGCATGACTCCAGCATCCAACAACGCACAGCGATAGACGAGCAGCGCCGCGAGAAGGCCAACCAACACCACCACGAGAAGCGACAGCCTACGATGGGATCAAGACAGCATCACCAAGAGTGATCTGGAGGAACATGTCGCCCCTTTATTCTGTCGCCCATGAAATCATCCATCCACTTCCCCCATCGTGATTTGTACACTATTGGTCTGAGCACTTGGTTTTTTTCTTCCCTTCTTCTCGTCACGATTTTCTATTTTGCCTCATTTGGATGATTCTATGGATGGGATAGCACCTATCGCAGCATTGCGAAGGCGGATGAGATATTTATGTGGGAATGCTAAGCAGCTATATTGAGGGCCTATGGGATGGTGTATTGTGTAGCTTTGCGTTTGGGTTTGGTTCGGGGAGCCATGATACGAATTATGGCCGGGCTACAATCTTGCGTCTATCCAGCGTGCACTTAATTCGAAAGAATAAAGAGAAGATGAAAATTCCTCAAGTGGCTTTGTAGCGGTATACGGTTTCCCGCAACTCGTGAACGATTTATTATGGCTACTATACTCTTTTCTTTCTTTCTTGTCCTTTTTTTTTTTAAACTCTTGTTAGGCACTCGGTTTGCCCTTGGGTTCTCGCCTCCGCTCCCAGACCTGCAAGTACGTCTCGCCAAGATACAGCAGTTCGCTCTGAACCTTGTCCACGAAGAGGTCCTGGCAGACCACCCACTCGCCGGTGGCCTTGTCCTTGACCTGGACCTTCCACGTCTTGCGCTCCTCGCCGGTGTCGGCGACGTCCTCCCGCGTGCGCACCGCCTCGTGCACCACGTTGGCGACGAGGTCGTACCAGATGGGCTCCCCCGCGGGCCACTCCTTGGGGTTGGGCTCGACGTAGGGCGACACGTCGAGGTTGCGGTCGTTGAAGGTGACGATGGTGGGGTTGCGCTCCGAGACGAACTTGTTCTGGGAGAAGCGCTTGACGTGGAAGACGAGGAAAGGCGGCAGGGGGTGGAGGAGGCGGTAGCGCTTACGCTGGGCGTGATGCTCCTGGGCGCTGCGGCCGTCGTACTTGGAGAGGATGGCGGAGAGGGGCACCTGGGGGATGATGTTCTTCTCGAGCTCGTCCTGGAAGAGGGGCGCGGAGGGGAGGTCGAGGGTGAGGAGGAGGAAGCGGACGACGTCGACTTTCACCTCGGCAGCCTCCTCGAAGCGGAGGCGGTCGCCGGCGTCGGCGCGGGCGGTGATGGCCTGGGACTCGACCTTGAGCCTGCCCTGGAAGGTGCGCTGGATCATGGAGCTGCCGGGCTTCGTCTTGCTGCCGCCGAGGCCGAGGTGGAGGTTGTTGAGGAACCAGGAGAGGAAGTCGACGGGGTCCGACTGCGCGGTGAGGGTGAAGCGCTTATTGGAGCGGAGGGAGACCTCCTGGAGGAGCTCGTGGGGGGAGACGTGCGACTTGAAGGCGCGCGGGTTCCAGATCTTGCGGAACAGGATGCTGCACCGTTTGACTAGCTCTGACTTGTTTGAGAAGTCCTCCAGCAGGAGGTAGTTCCTTAGGGGGGAGACGTGGGACAGCGCTTGGACGATAACGTTGAAGTAGTCGTTCTCCTTGATGTTGTTCATGCCCACGAAGCCTGGCGTGTATTCTTTGCCGGCGAGGGTCCGGCTCTTGCGTGGCTCGCGATCCAGCTTCAGTGCCTCTTGCTTTGTGTATTTAGGATCGGAGACATACTTAATGTCTTCCAGAGCCTGGCTCTTGACCTCGTAGCCTTCGGGGAGCACGTAGACCTTTTGCGATTCGAGATTGATGTAGACGTGGTGGTCCTCGTCGAGGGCGTGAAAGTAGGCGTGTGACTTGGGACCGCGGCCCTGGAAGTACTTGCCGCATACGAGGCATGCGTAAACGTTCAGGTTGGTAAGGGAGATGGAGCAGAGCTTCTCGAAATCGAAATCGAGGACGTTGCGATCGATGGTATCGAGGTATAGGTCGTCGTATCCAGCCGTGGGCGCTAATTGGCGTACTGGAGCAGCAGGCTCCTCATCGTCGAAGTCGTCGTCATCATCATCTTCGTCGCCCGCTTTCTCGCCGTTGTTGGGCGCTTGATCTTGGTCCTCGAAGGAAGCTTCAAAGGGTGAGTCCATGTCGCCAATTCGTGATCTCTTTGATGCGGGCGACCCAACGCCGCTGAGCTCCTCGAGAGCTTCTGAAGCTTGCCGTTTTGACATGATACCCTGCCGCACTCTGATCACCAAGGGCTGTTCTTCTTTACACGTGCGGTGGGTTGTCGTCTGGCGCGTCGCTCGGGCTGTGATCGTGCTGGGTGATGTTGTAGAAAAGATTGCTGGCGATCCTGTAGTGGCGCTGACAGGCGTCATTGTGGGGTCTTAGGCGCAACTCCAGGCACCAGTCCGCTATAAGGGACGAGGCCCCGTTAGACTAATGACAATATTCCGTCAGAGGCCTGAGGGAATGTGTAAATTTTGATACTGGTCATAAAATAAATATAACTAAAAACGATCACGATGAATAAGATTTTGGATGCCATTCTCACCTTCATATCACGTAATGAAAGAGCGCGAGTCTTAAGCAGGTCGATCAATGGATTGTCAATGCTTCATTGTACAGAGCTTACTTTTCCTTGTTCAGAACCTCTATAAAGTATAAACAGAATCAAACACATGCATTCTAATATTAAACCAAGAAGTTTAGCCAACCATGATGGCGTCCTCACTTTCACCAGCCTCGTTCATTAATATATCGTCAGAGTCTTCTGGCAATGTCAAGGCCAGGCTGTCCATCTCTTGCAGGGTATACTCGACCAGATAACTCTCGTCCATCAACTCCTCCACTCGCTTGTAGTGTCTTTCCGTATACGCCTTGAGCGCGTGAAGCACCTCTTGGAGACTTTTCTGACCCTTGGCACCCCGTACTGACAAGTGAGAAAACTTGGAAGCAGGGTAGCTGCGCACTAATGTCCAAAGGATTTTTTGTGCTACCGGCGCTGTCCGGGCATTGGTGTTCCAGTCGCGCAGTCTTAATAGCAACAGGAAGATTTGCTCATCTGATAGGCTTCCGAGAACCTCGTCGACAGCCTTCACACCACTCAGGCTGCCCTGATCCGGTGGAGACTTGGTGACGACCGAGGTGAACAGACTCAAGAGCCGGCCAGGATGGTTGAGCTGCAAGGCCAGCGTGATAGCTTCTCGGTATGAACCAGCACGGATGTGATTTTGTAATTCCTGTTCTTGCTCCACCAGCTGAAGGGCCGCTTGTGACGCCGCCGCCTGGGTTTCTGAGCTGGTGTCGTTCCAGAAAGAGACTGTAGAGTCACCACTGCCTGAGACGATGGTGTTCTTTTCGGGGTGGACGGCGAGCGCCCAGACACGGTCCTCATGGTTGTCTAAGGTGCATTCCGTCTCTCCAGAGTTGGCATCCCACACCTTGACGAGACCGTCACCTCCAGCACTTGCGAACTGGACTGGCTTCTTGCCTTTGCCCTGCTCTTCTGGCATATTGAGCCAGTAAACCTTCAACACGCTGTTTGTGTGACCTTCAAAGGTCCTCACGCAGGTGTAGTCCGCCAGGCTCCAAATCTTCACCGTCTTATCACCGCTACCGGTGAGAATTACACCCTTGCTAGTGACTGGGCCATCGTCGGCCTGCAGAGCTGGCATACCAGCGGGGGAAAACTGTACGGACCAGACGCCGCGCCTATGGCCACGAAGGATTCCTTGTACTTCGCCTTCTCCGACCGACCAGACTTTGACAGTCTTATCTTGTGAAGCCGACGCAAAAAGGGCGCCCGAGCTCTGGACGTTAATGGCATTGATGTCCTTGTCGTGCGCTTTGCGTGTGAAGGTGGCTCTGGAACCTGTCTTGTGGCCCTTTTCTTGTGGAACTCGCGGAATTTCCCATTTTTTGATGGTCTGATCTTGAGAGCCGGTGATGAGGAAGGAGGGCGGGTGGTTGAGGGGGTCGGTTCGGGCGGCCGATGATTCCTGCGGAACAGTCTTTGGGAGTGCTACTGCACCAAGCGATTCGGCGTGACCAGAGAATGTAGCCCAGCATGTGAATTGATTGTTTGCCGGGTCGATGCGCCAAAGCTTCGCTGTATTGTCCTTTGCTCCGGTCGCGACCCAATGACCAGACCAGTTCACATCGAGAGTGATGACGATTTCGTCGTGGCCCTTTAGTAGCCCGATGTCCTGGCCAAAATGGGGTGTCGTCTGGGGTTCCCATTCTTGACCCTCCTTGGCTGAGGCTGCCTCCGAAACAGACACGATGCGGATATCCTCCGAATTTGTAGCTAGCGCCATTAATGAATTGTCGGGTAGGAGATATGCCAGGTCGATAATTTCATCATGAGTTCCTGAAATGCGACGAAGAGGCTCGGGGACTGCTAGTGATCCAGTATCCGTCTTCTTTGGGACTGGGAAGAGGACCAGTGTATGGTCAACTTGAACGAGAAGAATAAAAGGTAAACCTGGCCGGTAGATTCCAGTCACGAAAGCCTCCTCTTCGCTCTTGGCGGGCTGCTTGGGTGTGACTTCGCGGCCGGTATCTGTCTCCCAGACTCGTAGAGAGCCATTCGCGCCAGCCGACCAAGTGAGCTGACCGTCATCGGAGAATCCGGCTGCCTCCAAGAGCTCCAGGGATGGGACTACCTTGCGGATCTTCCATGACTTCGTATCCCACCAGACAAGGGTCTTGTCTCTGCTGGCGGTGACTATGGCGTTCTGAGCCGGCGAGTAATCCAGTCCCTGGACGTCGGACACGTGGGAGTTCAGTGTTGCAACGCAGCTGCGCTTATTCAAGTCCCAGATCTTGACCTGACCGTCCTGGCTACCTGATGCGAGCCTGAAGCTTGTCGTTGATTCTGCCTCGTCTTCCTCCTCCTCAGCGGCGCCCTTGGAACCTCGCTTCCCCTTGCTGCGCCCAGCATCGGCTGCCCGCGCAGCAACCTCGAAAAAGTGCAGTGCCGAAACCAAGACAGAGGGGCCACGGAATGTGTGCGTCACGTATCCGGCCACGATGTCCCAAACCTTGATCGTCCCGTCAGTCCCTCCAGTAGCCAGCAGAGTGCTGGTGCGGTCAACAGCTAGAACCACGACAGGCGTGGAATGAGGCTTCAATGTACGAAGTAGGACGGGTTCAATGGTGTTGCCATCATCTGAGCGCTTAAGCGAAAAGATCCTCATGGATAGCGAGCGAGAGCAGGCGATGAGATGAGATCCATTTGGAGTTACTGGCCTGCTGGTTAGTTTCGGTAATATCGAGAAAGACCTCCTAATACATTTAACTGACATGCCAAGGTTGAGATGTTTTCTCCATCCTTTCAAAGGTGTTAGCTGAGGTGTTAACGATGTCACGGTCTCGGGGTACATACTCCTTCAATACTGCCCAGATGCTTCCCGCTGCCGGGTTCAGTGAGAATCACATCCTCACTGATTGTTGTCGCAAGAATCCGAGCATCGTTGTCAATTGACACCGACCCGCCGGTGAAAATAGGTCTCAAGACGCGACCGACATCAAATGTCGTTTTCAAGGCATGTTTGGTAGCCATTATTTCGTCGTACGGTCATAATAATTTGATGGCACTGCTGTTGGCCGTCCATGCTAGAAACTTTTTTTCTGTTCGCGACAGTGTTATCTTATCGCAGATAAGATAACGCTTATCGAACATCTGTGGCAGAGAACGCTGACTCAGCCTCTCCTGCTCTTCCAGCACGACGAGCTGAGTCTGTGACGTCCAAGCATCAAGCACACCTGGAAAATTATCAGAGAGGCGTCGTCTTTATCTTCAACCGAAGCCCTTCCATGCATTTTGATAGATTGGACCCGATAATGCTGCCATAATGGGAATGCAAGGCCCTCTGACCGCCCAGGCTTTGGTGAGTTCGATGGGGCAATGGTAGTGGTTATTTGATTGGGAACTAGACTGCTGACAACCAAAGGGTCGGTCGCCTTACGATGATGTCGTACAGGGCGAAGGAGAAGACGAAAACCATGAGCCGAGGCAACAGTATGATCACCGTGGCCGGCCAATCAACCCCGAGTCCAAACGCATCAACAGGGACATGATCAGATCTCACAATGAAGTCATGCTGGTCGTAGGCGTCGCTGAACCGGAAACTCCATCCGCTGCTCCGGGAGAGGCTGAGTTGAAGAGACAACATAGCGAGTATGAAGAAAGCACAGGTTCACGATTGGCTTGGACTGCCAAGGCGCTCATCCACGGTATTGGCCTATTTGGCTTGACTGGTGCAAGGGAGCGGGTTCTTGTTGGTAGCATTTCTTCCCTTCATCCTTCCCATACACGACTAACATGTCGCTCATAGGTATTCAAACGATACTCAGATACCCCTTTCCGGGATCTCTACAGGATGACGAGAATGAACTTCTCCGTCTCTCAGTATGTGTTTCCTGGGTCCCCAGCTGGGATTCTCGCTGGGTGGTGCCAGCATCGTTTCACCCCGCCTTGGCACGATTATGATGATTTCAATTTTAAAATTTATTGGTAAGTTTTCATATCCTAAGGTGAGGGCGCTGTAGAGACTAATGTTCCCCTGCTGCAAGTATGCACGAGGCCTGGTATTATGTTATTGATCACCTTCAGTTGTATGCCTCATTTCAACGACTGGGGCTGGTCTCAAGCACTCAGCTTCTTCCTTCGTGGAAATATTTTATACCCTTTACCGATGATTCTCCCATCCAATGCCCGCCACCCCTGGAAGATTTTACCCTTCAGTCAGTCCTTCAATGGGTCGGGGGCGTCTTGGTTTCAGTAACTCCATTCCTCCTCTGGACGATTACCCAACGACTCGTTAGAGACTGGAGACCTATCATATGGCGGCGCATGATAGAGCGCATTCCCAATCCTATAGCTTTCGGCGCTACTATCGCGCCTCCACCAGCGCCGCCAACTCCTACCCCAGTAGCCATAGAGGTAGAGAGTGAACAGGAACCCCCGGGGCAAGATCCCGGCCCTGATGAGAATGGGCCCGCAATGGAACGTAGCCAAAGTCCTCAGCCCAGCCGGCGAAACGGGCTAGATCGACGGCAGAGTGTCCATTCAACCGGCGTCGTTGAAGAATTTGCCAGCGACGACGATGATCACGACGTGGTTAGTGCTACCTTGATCAGCTTTGATGTGGAGGCGACAGATGCTACCGATGTGCCGCAAGGCTTATGGTCCGCGGAACTTAGGCCGAGCACTGGCCCGGACAGACGAATGCTGACCGGGTCGCCCATATACCTATCAACAATGCTCACCAGGCTGCCGTCTTTGATGGCAGCTAATATTTTCAACGATCAAGTCATTCGTCTCATGATAGCACCATATGAGGCGATGGCTCTCCGGCTTTCGGCTCGTGCTTTCTGCATTGGCCGGGGATTGCCTTGTGACAATATATTCAGTGTTCACCCGCTTAGTGGTCTTAATGTGACCTGGCTGGTAAACTTTTTGGGCTTTGAGCTGTTGCATTTGATGCTATCTGGCGAAGTTTGGAGTTTATTCGCCTACCTCGCTCAGAGCTTCCACAAATCCGAGGAGGAATGGAAGGAGTTGAAGGAAAACGAGGGAAAAGAGCAGGGAGTTTAGGTGGGAGTGTTTAACACAAGCGAGGAACCGGGATCGAGGAGCATTTGGCCCGGGGTATACTATTTTAGACTCATTGCATCTCTAAAAAGAGGCTTCTCTGTACTAGTATAATTAATATTTCGTTAATGCAAAAAACCATTTCATCTGGTTGAGAAATTACTATCGACTTTCTACCTCCTGCCTCCTCTATATTACCATGAGCCTGTCCCAGGGCTAGATATTAGGCTTCTCTCCGATCCGATTTAAATATCCTAGGTAGTGTGACAGGGTGTTCACTTCTGATTGTTTATAGTCATATCTGAGTGAGTCCAGGACCGCATATCTCGGCACTGATTGCGCTTATTGTTGGAACGTCATATCTAAACCGAAATGGTGATTGTGAATGTCTATACACCTGGAAAAAGCAGTCAAGGCCCCGATTTACTTATTCTTTTATTCTTTTTTCTTTTTTTCCATTTTTTTTTATGGATGAATGAAGGTGTTGGAAGCATAGCGACATCAACCATCTTCATAAGCCCATTGCTGTACGCTGCGAAGATGGATTAGATTAGTGATATATTTCCATGAGAAACCTATATAAACTGATGCAGAACTATTTGAGGTTGAGAGAATGAGAAAGAAGAGATAGAACTAATGGATTTTAATTTTATTCTTCTGTTCCAGATTAATTCTGGCGTAGACTAACGAAACACCTTTTTCAAGCATCGAGGTTCAGGGTACCTTATGTGGGTTGCTTCAAGAAAGGTAAGTGCCTACGTAGACCCAAGATTATGCATGGCTCTTATTTAGAGTGCTTAGACATGGAGCATGATTGCTATGGAGTCATTCTTCGATCAGCTGAAATCAATTTTAGGTTGGAGGTGCACGCTGCCAAATGGAGGCTCGCCATTGGATAGCGCCCGGCGGCCTGCATCTTGAGCTGAGGCCGTTAGCGGCTCGCGTGCATCGTATCGCTCGCATTTGCGAATTCGCGACCGTTGAGCCCTTCAACGCGGAGGATCGATTGCCGGGGTCTATGCATTGCTGGCAGGCAGCCTTTCATCTCTACAAAATGCCATCAATGTCTTGGGGGTCTTAGCCAAGACTGATCGTCTTTACTATGTGAATGACCGAGTGGAAGCTTTAGTTTCTTGGTCTGGTAGAGCCTCATAGCCTCAGCCGCACCACCAGCCACAGCCATGGACATTTCAACCAAGACCAACTCTCCCCGTTTCAAGGAGAAGACGCTGGCTCAACAGATCAATTCAGAAGACCCGTCGCCGGTTAAAACTCTGAACCTGTATAAGCGCATATGGCCCGGAAAGAAGTGTCTCTTCGCACCATCCGGGGGCGAGCCAGCACAGTACTTCATCAAGAACCCGGTACCGCACAAGCACGCAAGCCAGTGGAAGCCTGTGTTTTATCGCGGCGATAATCCTAAATACGATCAGGACTCCATTGCCATTTCCCGTGGTTTCCGCACGGGCTTCTGGAACTCGTTTCGTTTTGAACATGGAGATGGCGTGGACATGGTGTTGAAGAACAAGCGGAGGGTCTCGGCGCGCAAATCGCACAGGCGCAAGACCAAGATGCGAGGTTGGTTTGGCAAGCCGGAAAAGCCGCCCAAGAAGCCCCTCGAAGACGAGGAGGAGGTCGAGGGGTTGGTCATGGAGTTTAGGATGCACCGGCCGCGCTTCATCACCCGCACCCTGTCCTTCGAGCTGAATGGTGAGAAGTATCGATGGAGTGGGACGAGGAGGTTTCTCCCTAACTGGGCGAAGCGATTTAAAGGAATCTCGCATGACTTCAAAGTATGTAATAATTGGAAAACGGCTCAGCAATACTTGATGTCGATTGTACTAACCACACTTCTAGCTCGTCAACTCCAAGAACCAGCTCGTTGCGACTTTTGAAAAGGACCGGTGGGCGATATTCAAGCCATCTGAGAAGTGGCCGGATACAGCAAACAAGAGAAAACACTACATTGGTACTCTGACTATGTATGCGGTGAATCGTGTTGATGGCAACACCCCGGAAGAAGAATTAGTCGACGAAAGCCCATCGCCAGAAATAATGAGCGAGAACAGCGGAGAGAAGTCGAAGAAGAAGACCAAAAAGCCCAACAAAAACCTGAACCCCGGTGGACACCACGCGGGAAATCTCACCGAAGAGGCTATTGTATTCACGTGCTGGGCGGCGGTAGAGGCGGAACATCGCCTTCGGCACAAACTTGAGGATCTTGCTGAGGAAATTGGAGAGATTGCAGGAGGCTGATTTATATGATACCCGCACACAACTGAGCAGTTGAGCTGTCAAATGATCTCTTATGTAGGAATATTGATAGGTATGTCTAAAATTTTTAGCCCTTGTTCAAGGTATATGCATCGACTCTAATACAAATACAACGAATGCTGTTTTGAAACGCCTTACCACCCATTACACAGTTTTGATGATCTCTGAGGTCTAGGCTATCCGAATCTTGCTCTAACACTTATTATTATTTAGCTATGGACTATGAAGTTTCATAAAGGCTCCCAGTTCGTATTGATGGGGATACTCTCTCCCAATGCTGCTGGGGTTTTCCCTGGATGTAGCATGTCGAATGCTAGTGGAACCGCGATCTAGATGCTGAAGTTTGACGTGAAAGACACATATACGTGCCATGAGGTTTCGCTAGCTGGCCATCGTTCTGAAAGGATCTGGAGCGCACCAATTTAAAGTTATTAAAGCATAGAGGCCCTTTCTGGATATGAACCCCTGAGCAGATCGCTTGGAAGTCCTGATCACGGAGCGCGGATAACGAAAGATTTTGGCCCTTGTTTTCGTCTATCATCGAAATATATTCATTGAATTTGCAGCATCAGATTGAATAAGATCGAAAAGCTCTAAGAAGGCACATGCGAAAGTTTCCGTCTTTTGCTCTCGAAATAGAAAGCTATTGTTGAGATGAAACCTGCCGACAGTCGATCACTATCGGATGGGGTCGCAGCTTGGCTCGTTGGGAGGGACACCAGGTAAGATGGCTGGGTAGACCCCGCCCAGGGATTCTTCGAAGTCTTTGTAGGTATTCCCTAGATCATCTTCTACACATATTGTTTTCAAAACGTGACCAAATGCGACCGACTCGCAAGCGCCGGTTGCTAAGTGTTGCAGGCTATGGCCGGCAACAAGCACCTTACCACCACGCATGACAAGCTCGATATCTTCTTCTGCGGCATAGATGGCCTGACCGAAAGGATCCTTTGTGTTGTCGCCACCAAATATGACTATGTCGGCTAGTTTCCCCACCTCAATCGATCCTAACATTGTGTCGAAGCCAGCCACCTTTGCACCATTGATTGTCATCATGTCCCAAAGAGTTTTGGATTCCAGGGTATGGCCGTAGCTGATGTGGGTAGCACTGAGGCCACATAAAGCTTCTCTTCCCATGGTGGCGGAGCCAGATGGAAGCCAATCAGTGCCGAGAGCAACAGTGATTCCAGCTTCTAGGAGGTAAGTCACGTTCAGGGTTTTACCATAGAGGGCGACATTGCTCCTCGGCGACCAGACTACTGTTGCATTCCGTTCGGCAACAAGATCGAAATCAGCCTCTGAGAGGCCTAGGGCATGGACGAGACCAACATTTGGGGCGATAATGTCCGTGCTTCTCCCTCCGCCAGAGGAAAGCGGCCGCGTGTCGTAGTTGATATCCGATAAGCATCTGAACTCATTCTGAGCTTCCGCACTAATGCCCTCTGCGACATGGCTGATATAGCGATGTAGTCCCTTGACGGTCTTTTGGTCGATAGGGTTGGGGCCGTAATCGCAGTCTCCTTCACGAATGATCCCGGGAGCGTCGTCTAGAGGGAAAATTGCGTACGTATCAGCGGAAGATTCCAGGCCATCTTCTAACCCAGAAACAAAATCCAGGTTCCGTGCGAGGCCAAGAGCCATGTGATTCCCGACGATGGAGGTTGTGCCGGAGAAGATGTGCCTCAGCTCGCCCCATTTGATGGCATCAGTCTGTGAGCCATTGACGGGGGCAGGCAGCATTGGGCGATCGTTTAAGCCCACTCGCCACTCATGGCGATGATCGTATAGGGTCCCGGTGGTGGGAAATGGGTTGATAGTTGAGCAGTCGATGTGCTCGTGGGTGTTGATAAACCCTGGCGAGATGACTGACCCCTTGCATTCGACAACGCTGGCCTCTCCAATGGCTCGACAAGCGGCGTCATTTCCCATGCGCACAATCTTTCCTGACTGTACTAAAATATACCCGGGCTCTAGAGGACCCTCACTGGTAAGTACTGTCCCTACGAATAGGACATCCTGCGAAGATCCTTGGTGGACGACGGTACAATCGGCGGCGGTAGTGCTGACGCAAAGGGCGAGAAAGAGAGCCAAGGCTCTCCAGAGTCGTGGCATGTACATGATTGACTGGTCTGGACACCACCACCGCGGTACATTTGCGTCGCTAGCTCTTCATAGAGCGGCCCGAGACTTAATTGCTAATATGGTGCAAGCGCTCGAAATCAGGGGAAGGGAAAGTGTTTTAGGGGAAAGCAATCCAATTGTGAATTGGGTCTCTGTTCAGACGCCGCAATTGACCCACCTGCGCCACACCGAGCGCTTTATCTGGCGAGATTCAATGTCGAAGTGATGCTGAAAATAATATATATGGATTGATATTGCATCAATCAATTGGAGGTTTTGTTCCTTTTCCAAGATCACTTCTATTATCATCTGGATTTCATGACTAAACGACGTTTGCATTTGTGTTGGCGGATGTGATGGTGGCGAGGCCACTCAAACAGCGAATAACTGTAGCATGACTGGGCAGTGTAAATAAATCTTGATACCATCGTTTCTTATTATTAAACAATAGATATTGTTCATATACAATAATTTAATAATATCAAACTTATTATTTCTGAATATTGTGACCCATATGGAAATGTTGAGATATGAAAAGGATGAAAACGTGTGCTTGGCCACATCTACCAGCTCTATCCACCGCTTGATACTCGGTCTGTGACTCGGTTATTTTGCGCGTCTTTATTAGGTCTAGCAATTGTTAGAATGAGCTTCATAGATTTCGCGCAATAACATTGACATACCTGCTCTCACAACCGACAAAAAAAGAAAGAAAAATCCTAGGTTTTTCGTCAGCGACCAGCGTAAGCAGCATGACTATGGCAATGCATACAAACAACTCGTCAAAGAAAACGAATTCTAGATTTCGTCAGCGACCAGTGTAAGTAGTATGATGATAGTAATACATACTCACAACTCGACAAAAGAAAGAAAAAACAAACCTGCTCGGATGTTAGTTATTATGTGCTGATTCATTTGCTGATTGGAGCTGGACTGACCACGACGTATTCGTCGTCGTCGTCGTCCTTCTTCTCCCCCTCCTTCTCCCCCTCCTTCTTCTCCCCAAGGGAAATGGCGGCGGCAGCCTCGGCCTTCTCAGCCTTGGCTTTGGCCCGTTGGGCCCGGTTCTCGGCGAGGAGGCGCTCTCATCTTTCAGTGACTTGTTCTCTCAAACTTCTTCTTGACCACGGCCTCCTTGTAACGATTATTAGCTGGGATACTCAGAAGAGAATTAAGAGTGGGATAAACGAACCTCCTCGGCCGCAAGGTGCTCAGCACCCGACGCGTTGGTCATCTAGCAGGACCAAAACTCGTTGTTAGACTGTGAAATTTCGTCGTACAGGCATTGGGACGCCTCACCATTGACGCCGAACGCTGAAGCGGATGGTGTCAGCTATCATCAAGTTTTATGGGAAAAGTGAAAGCGAGTTAATTAATCGTACCTTCGAAACACTGGCCTTGCGGCCGTTATCGTTGGTCTAAATATATCTTAGTTAAATCCAATCCACCCAAAGCGAGTCGGATCTCAGTATCAATAATATCAATAACATACCTGGTAGGATTTCTAAAAAGATTTTGGCGTCGGATTCAAAGATGGTCACTAGAAAGGAAACCATCATTGAGTTCGTACCTGGGGCATTTTGTTTGCTTCATTTGAGTCTTATGTCAGTTTGATACATACACCAGAATAATAATCAGTATACGTACAAGTCTCGAGAAAGGAATTTGAAAAAATCTATCCCAAAGTGTCGGCGTCAAATTGTTCATGGCTATAACCCAAAAGGTTGGAATTCACCTTGGTATCTGCGGCTAGGTAAAGAGAGAAGAAAGAAAAAGAAAAGCCGGACACGAACAACGCGTCAAGGTATAGGTACCCACCTGTAGGAGCATACCTGAGGCATCTACGTTCAATTTGCTGGTACCTGAGGCATCTAAGGTATGTAATGGGATGTTACGGCTTGGGGAGACCTGTCTGTTATCTTATCGACCCCCAATGCCCTTTGCTGTGAATGCAGCACCTCTTATGAATGCATTATACATCCCTAAATCTTGAAGACACGCAAAAAAACCGAGCCACGACCGAGTATCAAGCGCATGAAGTCCACGATCAAGGCGGGCGGCAGATAGAGGTAGCAAGAACAGCGGCCAGCAAAGTTGTCCACATAGCGTCTGCACACCAAACGACCAAGTGTAGTGGCATGTCATTGAAAGAGGCGTTTTTCCAATGTCTTAATATTGACTTGTGCAAAATAGAGTGACAACCGGGCTTGATAGTCGCCAATCGTTGATCTCAAGTCGCCACCTGATCACAGTGGTACCAATGGAAGGGAAAGCAAGGTTGATGGTGTGGACACAAATTTGGGTGGCAATGTTAGAATGTTTGGGCTGATAGTAGGATTTGATATTTGCGGGCTGAATTTCTACGTACATTATATTCCAACGAACCTCTGTCGCCCCAGCACCCCCTCACTGTGTTGTCTTTTATTGTGTTAAAGGTTTAAAAGCTTTTTTTATTATCGCTATCTTCCGAACCGTGATTTCTTCTATATCTTCTCCTCCCTTCTTGTGCTACTGCAGGCTGCCCTACTTGTTCTTCTCGTTAATAGTATTCTGTATAAATAACACCGCTTTAGGCATAAGGAATTAGAACTACTCTAACCCCTTGCTCCGTAAGGCCGAGATAGCCTTATTATCAAGTTCATCCTTGGGTATACAGCCGAGGATATCCTTGCTAAAGTAATACAGGGCTTTAATCTGCTCCTCAGAGAGGTTATTAAGAATAGGTTGATCTAGCTCCTTAATATTATTAGTATTAATAGCCTTTATAAAGCCAGTAAGCTTATAGTTACTAGTACTGATCTTGGGCTTCTTTATACTTAGACTGGTAATCTTATTACCTTTAAAAGAAGGTACTAGGATCTCATCTTTTGCTATAATCCGGATTATCGGTAAACAGCGAAGGCTGCGGGCGTATTAGTGTTAGTGCTCTGGCCAAGGGGCTACTGATACTCACTGGGTTGGTTAGTATCTGAAAAGATTCCCGCTCGGTGTATTGAAGTGTATGGATTGGCGTAAGATAAGAAGCCAGGTGAAGAGGGCAGCTTTAGTAGTTATTCGATGCGCAGCTCGTCCTGACGGTAAGCGAGTTATCGGTATGAAGGTTTGTAGAATTTTCTGCCGTATAACTGCAGCCTTGGGCTAGTAAAGCTTTTTTTTAACCTTTCGTATTTATTGTGTTGAGTTGTTGGGTCTGACTTCTTCTTTTCTTTTAACTTTCTATCAAAACTCTCTCCGGTCGCCCCAGCACCCTCCTTGTCCTTCCACCAGCGGGGAACGAAGAGTAAGTTCACATTTCCGTACTAGTTGAATTGGTTGGGAATCACTGGAAGAAACTCCTCTCGGAAACTCTCGCTTGACGTTTCCCCATGGCTTTATGTCACACCTGACGACTCACCTAACCGGAAATTTTAGCCTAGCATCAATATGTTTGATAATCCTTACCCTTTTTCTCTATATGACTTATTCTCGACCTTGGCGGTGACAGAGTTCGAGTATAAAGTAAGAAACAGCAATAGAAGAAGCTAGACCCGACATCTCAACGGACAAGACAAAAACAAGCTTTGTTAGCCGAAGGCTGCAGTTATGTAGATGGAAAATCCCGCAAACCTTCATACTAATGACTCACTTCCCGTCGGGACGAGCCGCTCATCATATCACTATTTATTCAGCCCTCTTTCATCTTGCCGCCACACGCACAACTTCCCTCTGACACTCATCTTCTACCACGCCTACCTATCTAAACACTTCAGCCAAGCTCATTTTCAACGTTGACCGAACACCAAGATCATATGATTTCTTATTCTCTATTTCTTATTCTCTACCTGCCCCTAAAATAAACCTCCTAATCATCCTAAAAGAAATCATCATGGCTTCTTTCCACCTTTTTCCCGATCTGCCGTACGAACTTCGGGAGAAGATTTGGCAGCAGGCTATTCGACCATCCGCCAAGAACTGCTCCGGCATACAGCATTTCTCCATCCGCCACAGCAATATGAACTTGGAAAGCACAGCCTCCAAGCCCAAATTAATACCGTCATCTAGAGGTGTTCCAAGGTGTGACAAAGGAACGGCCTTCGCCGCCGAAATACCAGGGACAGAAGGAGCTCAAGCCAACCGGTCCGCGTACATGTGGGATGCTGGTCTCTGGACCGCTTGTTGGGAATCCCGCCAAATCATCTTGCGTCACTGGGAAATGAAAAAATGGCAGGAGAAGAGACGCTGTTTCCTCTCCGAGAAGAGAGGGTTTTGGTACCGGGAGGCAGAGTGGCGTGAGAATCAAGATTTCTGCATTACCATCAACGCCCCGTCTCTAACCATAAATGATGGGGGCGAAGAATGGCAGCTTATGGTCCGTCCATACGACGATGCATTCTATTTCGACCCGAAGAGTCTCAAGGACGCGCTCAAACAACCAATCTCGAACGGACACTGGGATGAATTGGTCGATATCATGCAGGACCTGCCCTTCTCTGGACTTGATTATGGCTGCCAACCTGTGCAGCACCTTATTTTTGATTTTGATCCAAACTGGCTCAATAATCTTCCCAGATATCATGCAAATGTGGATCGCGGTTCACCACAGGAGTTCATCATTGACTTGCTATGGCTGCTGGCGGGGAGAAGAACAGAAGAAAGAGTTTTCCATATCTGGCTGATTGATCGCAGCCGTCGTCAGTCCAGTATCACAAATGGGGATGAAGTTCTCCCAGCTGATAGCGCCGGCAAAGAAGCTCGGGTGTTTTACAACTGTGATGAGGAGTTTGTCGACCTTGGGACTGCCGGACACAATCCGTATGCTAAGTCTAAACTTTTTGATCAGCCTTGGAAGTTTGAGTATGATGAGGGCGGTTTCCCGAAACCCACAAATATTCTCAAGTGTGACGAAAACAAGCTTTCTGCCGCCTTGGCTGGAGAGGAGAACGAGTTCGCCGGCTGGTTCATATGGTGGCTGGCCGAAAATCTCACTGAACCTTTGTCTAAGGTTAAAAGCTACCCCTATACGATGGATGAACCGCACTTGTGTGAAAATTTTTACGTGGAGGATCATATCAGCATTCTTGGTTATAGGAGCTAGGTTTGCAAGGCATGATTCATTTGTCTCGCCGCAATTATTATGCGATGCCAAAATCTCATGTCGTCAGATAGTTCTCCCTCTGAATAACAATCTTCATCACTCAGACATGTTTCGCTTCCGTTGCTCGACGACGACCCTTCATCTTCACTGTCTGGCTCTTGAGTTTCTTCCTTAGAGCCATCTTGATAGACTGTGTCTTCTCCGCTTCTATATTCTTCCTCGATCTTACCAGTGAAATTCTGGCCTTTGACCGCATTGTGCCCTCATAATCAACACCATCGTAGCTTGAGTCCGCCAGCTGATCTGCCTATTTTGTTCTCGGTCCAGAATATCCTGGGCTGTGAATGCCGCACCTATTAGAGATAAATTATATATCCTCGCCCTTCGATGACGCGCATAATCCCCGTAAAGCAGGCCGAAAGATGGCACAGGAAGCATGCGTACGTGTCGATCAGGTAGAGTGACAGACCTAAGTGAAGGCTCTTCCAATCTTTGTGTAAACTATGACCTGCCATTGTACCAACCTACCCAGTTTGATATCTCGCTTATTGGATGCTTTTTGAATTGGATGAACGACTCTTTCCGTAGGTAGAGGTCAAAACCCTTGTTGTAAAATGTGGCTAACTCCGTTCCGATCCATGAGACAAGGATGATGCAGCGATGGTTGATCTGTCTTAGTCGGCCCGCAGCGTAATGAATTGCTTAGATAAACTATAGTTGACAAGGGACTCATGCAGCGAAGAGAGCCTTATCCGGACCACTCAGCCAGTTCCTTTACGTCTGTGGTGACGAAGTCTGTGCAATTGCGGTGAGCTAGGACCCCGATTCTTTCAAAGGATACGCTGAGGGCAGAGAACGAACAATTTCAGGCAGTGAGTGGTTCAAGCAGTATAGGTAGCTGCCCATCGATGCAGTTGCATCAATCAAACCGGACAATTGAGCCCCTTCCGGCATTTCAATTAAAACTGGTCACGTAGGCTGCTCTGAAAATCCCGATGCCTCGCAGAAAATCGCTTGATCCGACCTCGCAAGTCAGGTTAGTCGGGAGGGGAAGGAACAGACGCCTCAGCACGATCATGTATGACGCACACATCCAGGCAGCAGCCCAGAAATGGGTCTAGGGGCAAAGAGCAAGTTCTTGCGCAACCGAGAGAGTAATGTGCGCCATTTGAGAGGAAAGCACAACAATCCGGCAATAATTCTACGCACTACCACAGTGACTGCAGTCTACGGGTGTTCGGCAGGGCTGTCTTGCTCCCGGGTGCCGAGATACCAGCACCGATGGCATCTTAAATCATGTCTGTAGCTTAATATGTACTAGAGAGATGGTGTAAAAAAGCCTGTTTTCATTGCATTGAATAGTTTACTCATCGCGGTAACGAAGCTAGCTCTTGGATACCCATCTCGTCAATCATCCAACCGAGAATCCTGTTTCACCATCCAGACAGACCACTATCCAAGCCTCCAATCGCGACACGGCTATTGAATCGCTCATCGTTTTCCTCAAAACCTAGACCCTACAGACAAAATGGAAATATTCTGCGTCTCTTACATTGCCTGAAGCCCATCTCAAAATCAAGAATTGGCCAGGTCCCCGGGCGGCACCACGAGGAGGTTGTAAGAGTCCGACTTCGCCGCCCGTACCTCCACCACGCCCCATGGTGAAGGCACCCCCTCTTCAAGTAGTTCATACGTATATGACTATTGAACAGAGGAATTCATGCCACCATGCATGGACCGGTTCGCAAGCGACCGCCACAGGTGGACTTCACAGCTACCGGTACTCAATGTAAATGTTGGAAAATGGTTTGGCTGTGTCTTGAAGTCATCCTACTTTCCCTCAGAGTATGGACTGGGAAAAGTCTGGAATGGTTCGCAAGCGACCTCCAGTGGCGGACTTCACAGCTACCAGCACTCAATGTACATATTGGAATGGTTTGGCTGTATCTTTGGAGACATCCCACTTTCCCTCAAGCGTATGGATTGGGGAAATCAGGTGCCGCCACTACTTCCCGTGACAAAGCGTGGTTGGCTCAACTTCATCATGTTTGGCCACGTTCAACCAGTTTCTTCAAAGAATATTTGATGGCTGACATATGCGCTTTAGCTTGCTCGGCATTGAATATACCGGATGCCTCAGAGTTTCGAATTTTCTCAATTCTTGTCTCCGTGTCTTGCTGCCACTCTCGTATCATTTCTTGGGAGGGCTGATCGTCTCTTATGTGCTGACTTTCTGTCGCATTGAGAGATCTTAGGGCGAGGGAAGGTGCATTGCCAGATTCGGATTCGAATCCTTTGCCCGCTTGGCTCGTCTTGACGGCTTGTAGGGCGGCGCTGCTGTCAACCGCTTTCACAAGGATTTGAGAAGCAGGTTGTTTGGGGCCTAGGCTTTTGAACCTTTTAGCTTGTTTCAAAAGGTGCCTACCTTTGGCTCTGAAGTCTGAGCTTGGCTCGGCATTCTCCAGGCACCTGGTGACATTGGCCTCGACTATGCCTGCATCTCGAGCTGCCTTTCGGCGCTCTTCTTGGCGACGAACAGATTTTGTAGTCTTTGCCGGCATGTTTGGATCAGATCTCTTCAATTCAAGTTTGTTTGATGGATTGATTGATTTTATAGCTGTACTAAAGTACGCAATGTTGGATGGTGGAAAGAAAGAAAAAGAAAAGCGAGGGTGGAAAGACGTGTTAAGGTAGGGGACTGTATATACCTGAGGCATCTACCTTCGCTGGCACCTGAGGCATCTACCTTTGCTGGTACCTGAGGCATCTACCTCTCTTGAGGCAAGTGCCTTAGGTACCTAGGTAGGTACCTAGGTAGGTAGGTAGGTGGGTATGTAATGGCCTGTTACGGGATGTTGTGTGGGCTGCGACTGCCATCTTTAGAGCTTGGATACCTAGCTATGGTGATCATCATTCCAATTCATCTGCGTTTCTCGTTTTTCATCTCCTTCCATCCTATTCCGTGGTCGTAAGCTTTTTGGGAAGACCTGCCTGTTATATCTCAATGTTTCCATACAGGCCACAACATTCAGAAACAGTGAGTTAGGATATCACTAAATTATTGTGTGCCACTAACATTTATTATTAACCAATAAGAAGCATTAGTATTAAGCACGGTTTGCACTATGCCACAGCTATTCGTTGTTTGAGTAGCCTCTACTGTCCCTCTTTTTCTGTACCCGAATTGGTCGTAGTAACCCGATCTAGCTGAAGGCCCTTCCACGTATCATCTGAATCATGAACTGCCATCCATGAATTATATCCGCCTGCTTTGGTATCGAGCCCAATGAATGCTTGTGAGACCAGGTGATTGGTAGACTAAGACAAGGCCGTCAAAATCCCGGCCATCAAGCGTGGCTAGCCCTTGTTTTGATCCACAGCAGGACAAGGATGATAGACTGATGATCAATGTGTCTCGGCCCGCGCTTAGTGTATTGTTTAAATGGACATTCACTAGTGGGGGACTCATGATGATGGGTTGTCATGGCGTGATGGATGAGTACGTGCTGTTTCCCAAAAGAAAATGGCCTAGAAAGCCGGGTAAAAGATCTACGATTCAGAATCATTGCCGTGTGTGCCACTGAAGCATGCATTGGGGTCAATGTTGCGCATCGCCATAGGCCGGAACTATTTAGCTAACCAGATGTTTTGAAAGAATCTGCCCTTCTAACCTCCGCGATTACTTCAAAGGAGATTTGGCCTACTGAGTGGTTCGGGTAAGAATTTCTTCACTACACTCTAAACACCACGACCGAATAGAAGCGAAAAGAAGTTTGACAGCCGGCAGCGCGCCCTCCATCTCGAAGCGTAGAACAACCTCCTCGAGAGCGAGGTTGTCCACAAAAACCGAATCCTAAATCTTTTGATTCCTTGAGATGATAGTCTTACGGCGAATGCCGATTGGTCCTCGGCTTCCTGCTGGGGATGCTATCAAAATACTCGTCAAATGTATGACCTTCGGCCTCATAAGTCGTCTTGGGCCCTCCTATTGCCGTCCGAAGAATTTGGTTCGAGAATCCTAGCATGTCGGTTAGTTGGAAAATCTGCTTTTGTATATCTTTCCGAAGTCGCGTTGAAGGATAGTAGCTTTGCCGTTTCGTGGAGCGCTGAATGCTATAACCCCAAGATGGATATCAATTTTTGAAGTCGGTGCACCGCCAGCAATACCGACCATAACGTCAATCCTGATATTTCGGTTTGCGTCAGGTCTCTCGCGACGGCTATAGCGTTGGCTTCGCGGTGCTGAATCTCAAGCAAGACCGCGATGGCAACATTGTGTCTGCCTATTCTGTTTAGTGTATAATCGTTGACGTCGCCTCTCGCGAAATGTTCCGGCCCTTCATGCAACTCTTCAAGGAAAGGCTTCGTAGTAACATATTCCTGACTGATAGCGCAGATCCAACCGGCAGTGTACCATCAGGCTAAAAGACGCCCAGTCCGAGAGTTGTAAGCAAGTCGGGGGGAGAGACTATGGTGCGACTGTTAACAAAATTGAGCGACCAGTTGTTGTTGTGCTCCTCAGTTGATTCTGCGACTGAACTTACATCATGGAACTCGGATCATTGACACCCAAATAATCTCACGTAGTGGTGTCAACGAAGGTGGCTGGTTTGGAATTGCCGACCGCAAGCCCTCCGGCCCCTTCTTGCTGCTTGCCCACTTGGATTGAGCGTTTCCTAGATGGGTGAGGTTGTGCTCGACGGTGAGCTGACAGCCTTGACCCTTTGGGCTTGATGGCCTGAGCGGAGCTTTGCGTTGGTATCTTTGTAGTAGCGTCAGAATAATTTCCATGGTTTTTTTTTGTGAGTAGTAATGAGAACATGAAGATTCAATTGAAAGCAAGGGGCGTGCAGGGGTTTGTTGGATGCACCTCACTGCTGGCTCACCTTGAGGGGCTCGTCTCACGTGAGCACTTTATTTTGAAGTCGTTGCTGCCCAATGCAGAACCAACAAGCACAAAGCAAGCCTGAGCCTTCGGCTTTAACGATTCGATCTGGAGGCTTGGCCCCGGCCATCCATCTTAGTCCTGATGGAGGCGACAAACTGGGATCGGAAGGTCTTTCGCTTACGCAGGATCCCAGCGTCCATTTCCACGGTCGAGGAGGCCGCGAAGCTGCTAGCGACTGCCTTACAAATCCATCCTGGCGACGTGGTGATTGGCTCCATTGGAAGAACCGATGAGATATCGGAACGGTTCCCATCCAAAGTCGCGACGCTGCAGCTTAAACAAGTACCGGCCTGTATTCGAAACAACTCCGCGGACGAGGAATGGCACTTCCCGGTCCCCGGTCAGCCTACAGCCAGCCCCCTCCTTCTTGACACTCACTTCGGAGGCTGGACGGCTCTCAACACGGTAGATCCGTCTACACACCACGCTGAGTAAGTCATACTGCGATCACATGTATTCATACGAATTAATAGCTTCGGCGCAGCGTCATTGCTCTGTCTGGCCTGGGTAGCCACCCATTCGGGTCCTGGCAGCCACGCGGAAATGACAAGTCATTCATGTGGTTGAGGGATGCTCTGCCTGTATCCATTCCTGGAGTCAGATCATTCATCTACGGTTACGACTCCAAGGTGCCAGCAAGCCATTCTTTCCAGTCAATCAGTGACATTTCTACAGGCTTCATCTTGGCTCTGAAGAATGGGGGCTGGAACCTCAACTCGAAGAAACCAATCATATTTATCGCACATAGCCTTGGGGGCATAGTCTTGAAGGATGCTTGTGTCCAGATCGCCGAGGCACGTGAGGCGACCACGGCGTGCATCTTGAACAATATCCAGGGTGCCATTATGTTTGGAGTTCCCAGTCTTGGAATGGAGCAGTCTCACCTCTTGGCAATGGTAGAGGGCCAAGCAAACGAAACATTGGTTCAGGATCTCTCGCGAGGAAATGGAAATAATTATCTGCGGCAATTGAGGGGCCGATTCGACGGCATTTGCTTCACCAGACAAGCCCGAATCATATGGGCGTACGAGACGGTAGAGTCCCCCACCATAAGGGTAGGTTTCTATTCTATTTATCTCTATTCTCCTCAAGATAGTCTATTTGTCGTTATGCTAAAGATGTTCAAAGCAAATGCCAGACCAGTCATGGGACAGGAACGGCCCGAGAGAGGTTTTGGTCAACCCTGATTCAGCAACAAGTTACCATAACCGCAAGGACAAGACTTCAATTCTCCCCATCAATGAGAACCACTCCAACATGGTTAAATTTTCTAGTGGCAACACAAACCTGGGGTCAATTCTAGTCCTGCTTCGGGAAATGTGCTCCTCCGCCATGCCGATGCCAGGCCATTTCTTAGACATTGAAGCTGCTATGCGTGCGGATCAAGACAGAGACTTCAGAAAGCGTTCTACTACATTGGGAGACGCCACCGGCTTTGATGACAGGGCTATCACGGATCTTGGGAAGCTTCTGTCGGATGCCCAAAGTAAGTTGCGTTGATTCACTTCATTCCCAAGCTGATACTGATGCAAGCCCAGAGATGCATGACCAATTATACTCACCCGAGCTGGATTTCCGCGTCCGCCAAATTGAGGATCCATTTCAATCCACCTTTCAGTGGATATTCCAAACCCCAACCTTTTGTGACTGGCTCCAGAATGACGATTTCAAGTTGCTTTGGATACACGGGAAGCCAGGTTCGGGCAAGTCGACACTAATGAAGCATGTGCTTGAAAGCAAGCAAACCTGGGAACTCTTACATAATTGGAGAAGACCTGGTGAGATCGTCTGCAGTTTCTTCCTTCATTTACGTGGTACAGCCTTGCAAAAATCATTCGAAGGAGTGCTCCGGAGTCTTATTATACAAATACTCGCACCCCACCGGCTTCCACTGGAAAAGAAATTCCAACATATCTTGCAGAAATATCGGAGATTGACAGGTCATATCAAAGAGTTGACGATTCAGAAAGAACAGAAGGAAAGATTTTTGATAAAAACTACCAAATCAATCGAAGAATTGGAGGCGGCCTTGACCTCGTTTCAAGAAGAGGAGAAGACTTCAAAAGAAAATTCCGAAAATGACAAAATAATACAAAAATATCAAGAACGGTTGAAAAGCCTAAAAGGATCTCGGACGGAGGCTGAATCCGAATTGGAGAGCTTTGTGGAGTTATTAAGTAGCGCTCTCTCCGACTTGCTAAATGTTCTTGACATAGCAAAAGGCCTTCAAGACAGCCGAGAAAGAATCCTTCTGTCCAAGGTGATGGAAGAGTTTAAAGAGGACCACGAAGGATTTATACACCGACTAGAGAGAGTTCTTCGGTTCCTTGTCGATCAGGATATAATACAGATGGACTTGACGCTGTTCTTCGATGCGCTCGATGAATTCGATGGCCATATCAATCTCATTAGTCGGTTTATAAAATCCCTGGTGGATGGATCTAAAAGTTCAGCGACTAGAATCAAGGTCTGCTTCTCTAGTCGACCCTGGGAATCCTTAAAGAGGGACTTTGCGGGATCTCCTTCGATTAGCTTACAGGAACATACCGCTACAGACATTGAGAATTATACCATTGGTTCTCTAGTTGCTTCGAGCGCGGCTGACCCTTTGATACTGGATCTTGTTCCCACGATCGTCGAGAAAGCAAATGGGGTATTTCTATGGGTTAAGCTCACAATACGGGAGATACTCCGGACAGCATCAATGTACCAAAATCAGCCCAAGAGGCTGCGAGAGGAGCTAAACAGAGTTCTCTCACAAGTTCCATCGGATCTTCAGGACTACTATGAGTTGATAATTTCTCGCATAAGTATCTCTGTTCGCCGGTATACCTTCGCGCTTCTAGAACTGCTTATTCGCCCAAGCATTGGACCACCTATGACAGCGAAAGAACTGAGAGATGCGGTCATGGTATCCCATTGCTCAACACCAATGGATGTTTCTCGTGAGCTTTCTAAAATCAACAAGGCCTCAAATGCATCTTTCGGGAGAGAGCGGGTCAAAAACGACATTAACATGTGGAGCGGAGGACTTGTTGAAATTGTGAGCGGAGAAGACCGAGACCTTCCGCAATTGATGCATCAAACAGTGGCGGAGTTTACAATGGCTTTGGCATTTAAACAAATTGTGCTTGGTGGCTTGTCAACTTTCATCAATGATAACGGGCATTCTTTCCGGGTGAAGTACTGGATCTCTTCGACTCTTCTTGATGAATCTAGAAGAGCCGAATTGCAGCAGCTGGTTGCTCACCATGCACAGCTATCTGAGCATACCACTGGGCATAGTCAGATAAAGTTCATCCAAGAGCTTCCCTCAACGCCATTTTACAAGTGTCTTAGTCAACAGATTCAGTACGACGATCCTTCAGCCACGATCGTCGCATTTATGGCCTCGAGTGGCCTTGCTCTGTGTCTCCGTGATTGGGTTTCAGAGCACCAGGGTGACCTTTCAAGACTTTCAAGGGGATACTTGAATAATTTTCTGCTGAGGAACCACTTCTTATCCGCACCATCCGTCCCCTTTGATAATAGATTACCCATACTTCGGTTACTGCTTGAAAACGGCTTTGATATCAAGCGAGAACTCTTCTTTTTTGAGAAAACTCTTTTCAACGCTTGGGATAGGGAAGCCGTCGAGGCAATTAAATCACATGAGTCGAGCAGCGCGCTCCAGGAAGGCAAAGCAGACCTTTTATACCACAACTTTGCTGCCGAGTTTCTCAAGCACAAGCAAGACCCCAATGTTGTTCTAGACGTATGGTGGGTGGGCACCGCTGGCATTCAGGTTTCTCCGCTTCACATTGCAAGCCCATCCATCGCAGAAATGTGCATTCAATGTGGCGCCGAGACAAATGCCTGCGACTCAGCAGGGCGCACTCCTCTAGATTGGTTTCTCAAGTACCCGGATGAGGTTGCCAAGCACAAGCCACCCATTGAAGATAGATACAACATGTGTCTTCTTCTCATCCAAGCCGGAGGGTTGGCTTCCCGTTGGGATGAGACAGTGTGGTTGAACGCTCTGCTTGAGTTTGAGGCGGAGGGTTTTGATACCGCAGCACTGCGAGAGCATTTTGAAATCCAGAAGAAGAAGAACACCAGGCTTTTTGCAAATATTTTTAATCTGAGTTGGATTAAATAAGATGGATACGAGAGAGGCTACATGAAGATTTAGATGAACGGGGCTGTGTCTCATGTTACGTCTCCCAAGCCTGAGACTCCCTGGTGATGTATATAGCGTCATGCCTCAACAAAGTCAAGACGGAGAGTGGCAGAACATGTATTTATCACACCCGGCCCTGTTATCACCACGACGTAATTTCTTATGATCCAAAGGCACAATCACATCAAGGTGTCTCGGATGGCATTCGTATAACACCATAACACTCTGTAGCTGCCATTTTGATTGGCGAGCCTTCGCGTCGCAATACAAACGCAATACCGGCGAAGCCTCGCACCAACACTGCGGTTTCGTAATGCAACGATGTGGAAGGAATACTCTAAGCGCGAAGCCCATCTCTTGGACAAACGGCAGGTTTCCTCCTTATGAAATAAATACACTCAATCACACTTGGCAGCAAGAAAAGAGCCATGGTGGAATTGACAACTTAAGATGTAACTGTAGCACGTCAACATACTACTGGATGCCCACGAGCTTGATTTAAGCGAAGACGAGCCGTGGATATTTATATTTTTAAGGTTAATCTTAGAGAGATGTTCCTTTCTCCAAGAAAGACAAACTCAACTATCATTTGGGAGATGGCTCTCATGACGTTTACAACTCTAGACCATCGAACAGTGTCTCCCAGCCAGGCAACTGATGGCACATGCGATGAATGCTTCTGCCGCCTTCAGGAAAGAAGCAAGCTCTTTCCCAATCAATTAAACCAGCCACGGCATCAAGATTTGGATGCAAAATGAGGTTAGATAAATCAAGATCCATGTGAGAGAAGACAGGCCTGCTCTCAGGGAAAATGGCGCTCAGTACGCCGTGGTCAGCATAAGCCTTAGTAAAGTCCTCGGTAGATTTGAAAGGTCCCCGATTGGGTAGTTGAAGATGGAAGATTTGACCGGATGGGACGAGCGATCTGACCTCGCCTGTGAGGTTCGGTATAGCTGCAAGTTGCTGTATGAAACCTTGAACCTGGAGACGGATCGCCTCCCGCTGGCGAGGATTCACGTTATCCCAAATGGACTTTTCGTTGACAGTAATGCCCTGAATACGTTCGAAGACATTGAACCTGTAAAAGTCCTACTCGTTAGAACGACGGGTTTCTATTATACAATCTCTGCTGGACACTCACCCTTCACCACGGTGAATGACACGTGGGATGGGAACATTTGTGTACTCCTGAACCAGCTTCATAGCCTCGATCTCGTTCTCATCACGTTGGAGAACGGTCTCAACGTCTGTTTTTGTAGCCTTGGTAGCCAATTTCACCGATAGAAAGTGGTTTTTTGACAACGTAATTTGGGAGCACGTAAATGTAGCGATCGAATGGGGGAACAGGCATGTGCTCATCCTTGCAACACTTGAGGTAAGCTTGATCGCCTTCAGCCATGTTAAGAGGAGGAAATGTATGGTAAGGTGGGTTTTTGGAGAAGAAGATGAACAAAGAAGAAGGCGGTTGGTCCGACTTCATGGGGGATATGGGTTGCACAACCCATAACACATTCTGTTGGTACAAATGTGACGACGTAAGCGCCAACTGGGAGGTTTTGCTTTGGCGCCTTACTACCCCGCAGCTCATATGAATCCGCTAGTGAAAATTGGATCGTGGGTCGGGCATTTCTGGCTAGCTGGAAGCAGTTGGGTGCGAGTTGTTAGAGCCAACAAACAGAGTGTTCTGTGTTATCCCTCTATTGACAACCTTTTCTCGGATTGGCCTGATATTGAGGCAATGAAAAGCCCAGATTCACAATCGTCGCCGGAAATTAAGTATATTTCGTCCTCAGCTTGGATCGTTTGGCAAGGGAAAGAAGGGTCGCATCAAAAAGTACGATTATTAGGCTCGTTTCGACGGTGACAGAAGTTGTAAGATTGATACAAGGTGAGTTGGAGATAAATATCAGCCGCCCTTCGTTACCTTTCGATTAGAAACGTAACTCTTTCTTGAAAGCAGCCAATCCCTATCTCAATGGAATTTATATCATTAATTATCATCCAAACTTCCGACTGAAATACCAATATTCAAGTCCCTCTCGAAGGCTACGTGCCTTAGATGCGTAGTTGTTGCTGGTGTAATAGGCTTTCTAAGTAGTATTAAAGAAGCTTTCACCAAGGCAACTGTATCCAGGTTGAGGTCTTTCACCCTTAGAAATCGCCCAAGAATGGATTGCTGAGAGCTTTTCAGTCTTTGTGCGTCAAGACCGAATAAGTATCACACCTTCACTTGGGTTTATCTAACTCAACAATCAGAAAAGCCGCCCGTAGCCACGACTGAATAACCCACGTTCGTGTTTAATCCACCATTAACACCTCTTGTCTCTCGTTACAGTGCCTCAGGTCCGGGTAGTTTGAAGGGTGGTCTCCCGCTAAGGATGACACCATCCAGCATCTCGAGGCGATCCTGGCCCCAGAAGGGCTCGTCCCGGTAAAAGTACGTAGGTGCGCCGAATAGCTCCCTATCTATAGCCTCCTGAGCCAAGGCTTCTTCCTTTTCTGCCAAGCCTGGCTCAACCTTTGCACGCTCTAGAAGACGGAGTCCGTCCAGCCCGGACTCGTTAGCAATCTTGACGATCGTATCTGTATCTGCAATATCCCCCTCGTCCGCCCATACTGTATCCAAGCCCCTGCGGGCTAGCTCCTGCACCGATTCATTATCGTACCCAAGCTCTTCGATAGCAGCTAGAAAGACCCGGTGCGCTAATGATGGGTCCGCCGGGTAATGCTTGGGATGCTTCACGATTGGTAGTCCTCTTATGCTTGTCCAGCGGTCCATCTCTAACAGGCGGTATGCCTGGCGTTGCTTGGGCCGCTGCTTGACTGGCAGTCCACCGGAAACAGAGAAAAGCCTCAGGAGATCGATAGGCTTGTAGATGATCTGTGCATCATGGTGCTGAGCTAGCAACTGTAGGCGGCGGCTGCCAATGTATGACCACAGCGAGATGAACGAGAAGTAATACTCGATAACTGGTCGAGACGACATCTTCTTGCAATGAGAGGTAGTATTTGGAGTACCAGGCTGAGAGAGCAAGACAATTCGTAGTGTTGTCTGGTTCGCACGCTGACAATTCTCACTTGATGAGTTACGGCGCCTGGAACTTTGCTCTTGTACGAGACTTGCTTTGCTTGATATGCTGGCTTCTAGCAAGGTTGGCAACTCTACAAGGGGCTACATGAAAGCGCTCTTATATTTCTCTACTGTTGTAGGATCCTCCGCTTGAGATCTACTCTACGGCTCATCCCTGCCTAGGTGGATCATCACGTCATGGGCTTCATGGATGTTGCCATGCCGTATTCGCGGAGACGAGAAGGCCCATATAAATCTCGATAATCTCCGTGTGTTTGCCCCCACTGAGTATAGATTTAGGAACTGGTGTTCACATATCAATGCTAACTGGCTGCTAGGTAGATTCTTAAATGGTATAAGATAAGTTTGACTAGGCATGAAACAGGTAGTGAATATTTAATCTCAATATATATATTTGATTATTGCTACTTTAACCACGGCTTTTGTACCAATTATTTTCAATCTGCTCAATGTGGCCTACTGGCATCTACTTATGAGTTTTTCATGGCCTTAGCCTCGTTTCCCTCCTTCTCCCACCACTTTGTTCTGTAGCTTACGAGTCCCCAAAAAGCATCTGCCCATTGTGGATCATACTTGGGTAAGATCCTACCTGTTGTACCTGGAGCTGGCTCTCCGGCAAGGGCCCGGTAAGATTCAAAAGGAGTCTCGAAGTCTGGGTTGAGGACCCAGAATGGGATGCCGTCTCCAACTACTGAGATTCTCTCACTCTCCCACCTTTCCATTTCCTCCCGTGAAGGTAATCTTGCTCTTCCAGCAAATACTCGAGCTACGGCGACTCCCTGCCACTCAAATATGCGAAGTCCAAATCCACCAGTTACCTGGAAAAAATAAGATTACAAGTCAGATCTTGTTTAAGCTCACTGGTAGCACCCCGGGAGTAGGGGTAGTTGAAAGAACTTACCATGCCTATAAAAGCAAGACTCGGATCTCTGGCAAGGAATACGTGTTGATACAGTCCTGGAATCCTTCTGTTGACGATATTGATATCCGGTAAAAATGGAAAGTCAAATTCGTAGCCTGTTGCAAATAGCACTATATCTACATCTTCAACAAATCCTCCATCCGTAAAGTTGATTCTGTCAGTTTCAGAATCAAAAGACGCGATTTCTGAATGGTTCTCAATGTGAGGATGTTTGAATGGTGGCGCGCCAAATATAGCCGAGGCCTTTCGCATTGACGATATGACGGGGTGTTTTGAAGTAGTTCTGATATCATGTAAGGCGTCGAAGGCAGACACAGAGCCACCAACTACCACCACACGCTGTGCGAATATCCAATCAGTATTACTTTTTAAAGTGTTGAAACAGAAATATACATGCTAATCACGTACTTTGTCCTTGTAATCACTTGGATCCGTATAATGCTTGGTATGCCTGATTCGTCCAGGATATTTGGCATTGTAATCGGCCAGACCAGGGACTTTTGGCACCCAGGGCAGGTTATAATGGCCAGTAGCTACGACGAGCGCATCGAAAGTTTCCTGCCACCAGGATTCCTTGGGTTCGCCTCTAACAGACTTGCGAAGTGTCAGAACCCATTGATCTCCAACTTTCTCAGCAAGTTCGACCGAGGTATTAAATTGAACGAGCTTCTCATTCCCTCCTCTGTGAATTATCGTCTCTATCCATTTGCGGATGAGCTCCCTGTGACGGAACGGTGCATCTGCACCGTAGTGGTCTAGAATATGCTCAGATACCACCTCGGGAATTGGCTCTTGTGTGAAGCACATGATTTCAGGAGGTAAGTTGCTGTGCAAGTTCTCATGGGCAGCAGTCTCCCAAACATCATCTTGTGACTTGGGCAGCTCACACGGAAAGCTCAATGGTAGTTGCTTAGCCTCTGGTGCGGATCTGCCCTCGATGGGAAGGAGGATGTTTTGAGGAGCAGGTCGGTCACCATGGAAAACCCTAGTAATCAGAGCTATCGTTAGATCCTTGACTACCGACGATTAGGAAAAACAAAACTGCAGATATTCGATTTACCAAGTTCCTCCAATCTTGTCTTGTCTCTCGAAAACCCTGATGGTCTCGAAAACTTGTTCCTTCACTAAGGCGTCCGTCGTGATAGCACCCGCGGGACCGGTACCAATCACCGCGACACGTCGCTTTGTCTGAGCCATGAAGAGCGCTTCTAGACTTGAGGGACTCTATGCGCTCCTAGCTGGATTGACTTGACTTAGTGAAGATGGAAGTGGAAATGGAAACAGAGCCTGATTGCTACTGCGATATCGCAGCTTAGCCTCCTAATCCTTCCACAGTCGCTCCACCATAGGGATTCATCCCGGTTTCATCCATCGAATCCACTTGCTCGTAACATCTTGGAATGTGGATGAAATGCGCCTTTTTTCTTATGATTTCATCCTTATTTTTCGGACGATGGCAAGCCGAAGACACGTGGGTTCTCTGTGAACAGTTCTTAAAGCCGGTACGGATTAGCAGGTGGCGTCAATGGGACCCATTAAGATGCAATTCAGGTACGGTAATTGTATAACTGTAATTGGTCACATCTGGAAATTATTCTTCTTAGTTTTGATGGAGCCTAGGAGGCCCCCTTGCTAGTTTAAATGTGCCACAATTAGAGTCGTCATGCGTAGACACGGTCGAGTGGCTGTCAGAAAAACAGGGACTGCAAAGTCGCCTCGAAAGGATTATTGTGGCAGTCTGTCACATTATAATGCTTCGTATTGTATGCTATTATGTAATAGTATTCAGATCATAATTCCCGATAATTGCTCAATAATTTATTACTATTATTATTCTCAACTATTGTCTATCCATATCGTGGCCAGTTTGGAAAGTTTGACGAAGACACCTTTGCAGTCCTTATTATTCTGACGCTCACTTGGCAGTATGGATAAATTGGGAACTTTTAACAAAACCTACTAGTAAGAGTAATGAGCTTGTTACCAAGATATTGTCTAAGATACTGTCTACATACTGACATCGTGTTAGAGGACACCTCTGTATAGAATTGCGAAAGTGTCTAGTAAGAACAGTGATGTATATGTTTTGGCCCTGCCATGGTCTTCATAGGGCATATCTAAAATATGGGTTTTCCTTGTCCGTCAAGTCTAGGAAAGCAAGTCTATCCCGTTCATGATCGTCTGTAGCTATCTGCTCACGTTTCTTGTTCTCCCTGTAGAGCACGATATAAAGTGAAGCTGCGGACAAAATTGTAATAACGTAGCTATAAGATGAATGGTTAAAAAGGCCCAAAGAGGAGGAGAAGAGGAAGGCGCCGCATACCAGATTATTAGGCCAGTCCAGAGCTCGGGGTAATGCTTGCCACGAGACTGGCTCTTGACCAGCTGTGGCCCCACGATGTTGCCGACACAATAAGCCACGAAGACTGCGGCTGCCATGAAGCTCTTTTTTGTCTCACCAGCGACATTGGCGGCACCGAGAGTAACAGTCAAGCCTACAACAGGCCCGAAGAAGCCAACAATGGAATAACCAACGACAGGAGCGGCAGGGCGATGGCCCCATTTAGATTTCCAGATAATAACGAAACCCGCAATGACGGGCAGGCAGCATAAAATCAAAAGAGGGATCCGAATGTTCTTATAACGTGAGCAAATCCACCCAGAGAGGGGGATACCAACGGCACAGATGGCACCAAGGGGAAACTGAAACAGGATACTCTCAAGAGAAGTATAACCAAACGTTGAAACGATGAGTGGACCAAAGCCCGAGACGGCGCCATTGACAGTGTATCTGATGAGCGGCATTTTGTTAGCTCTCTCTTCTACAAAGTAACAGGTTAGAAGGATATGAAGATACTCACCCAGCAGCCATAGTCAAGGCGACAAGCCAAACTTTGATATCCAGGGCGGCCTCCCTAATTTGAGACCATTTGACTTCCTGGTTCCGCACGCCAGTCTGGCCTGCACGTAATCTCTCAACCGCAACGATGCGCTCCTCAGGTGTCAAGAACCATGCGTCTAGGGAGGAGTTGGGCAAGGCGAAGCACCAGAGGCCAAAGAGGAACGTGAGGCCACCGGCAAGGACGTAGATATACTGCCAGGGTGTAAGAGCGCCACCTTTAATCTGAGCAAAACCGTAATTGAGAGCGCCACCAATGATGGTGAACCAGCCAGTCCCAGAAAACCACCAGGACTGGCGGAGGGCTTGCTCGGATTGGGTGTAGTACCCGCTAACAGTGATCATAAACGCTGTTGGGATGACAGATTCGGTGAAGCCTGAAAGATATCTCTCAGTTAGACCCTTTATTCGGTTTGTTTCATGAAAACTGATTGGCACGGAGCTCACCAAGAAAGAACCGTTGGACAAGAAGACCCTGCCATGTGGTCACACCAGCGGTGGAGGCGCAGATGATGGCCCAGGTCATTACCACAGGACCAAGGATGTAGCGGGTATTGAAGTATTGCAAAAGATATGTCATGGGATAGGAGCCGATCAGCTGCCCAAAATAAAAGATGGACGTGGCCCAGCTGAGGCGGGAGGTGTCAGTAGTCGGCGGCGTGGTCGAATTGTCAACCACCGAGAGCTGCAGGTCAGCGGTCATGCCAAAGAGAGCGGCGCTTCCGAGAATTGCCTTTGGATAATCGTCAATTAGGGTAACAGTCTGAAAGTATGGAGACAAAACTCACCTTGTCGTAGTAGACAAGTCCATATCCTGCAGCATTGTGTTAGTAGTTTTGACACTCGAGCCGACGGAGACTGAACTGTACCGAAAATCATGGCAGGCATGAGAAACAAATCAATCTTGCGCAAGACTCTCCTATTGACCTCGGGATCAATCGGCCGTGACTCTTCACCCATTACTTCCAGTACGGCCGTCGCCGGCGGCTTCTCGTAGACATCCCGTTCCTGGTCTGCGCTGGCCGAGGCCTTCTCACGCGGACTGGAGTCTACCATTGTCTCAACTTGCTATCCTTCAACGAAGCAGTGCTGATTTGACCTGCAGACGAGCCTTCTATTTCTTCTTAGCCTGAGTTGAAAGGGGAGTTCCGGTTATATAATATATATATGCTTGAGGCCTTAGATCACCGCCAGTCCCAAATCAAGACAAATTATCTCTCAACTTGGACCAGAGCGTTCGCATTAGCTAGGTAGGTAAAGGAACATAACATGGTGGGAAAAGGTAAACTAATGATGGGGCCCGAGTGAATGAAGCATGACTGATTGCGCCAGATTCAATCTCCACCCAATTGTCACAAATGAACTTCGAATCCAGATTGTCGGGCCTGGCTGAACCTTGCCGGATCCATATTCACTATGAGGAAAGGTGCAAGCCACTCCGATGTAACCAAGTGACTGACACATACCTAGACACTCCAGCGTTGAATTTCACAATAACAAAGCCATTAATCTAATAATAAATACAACATCAAGCTGGATATCGCATAATAATTTATTAATCTTCTACTATTGCGTTTAATAAAAAGTGAGGTCCCTGCCCTACGTGAAAAGAGCTTCCCGTCCAGGCTCACTGATGAGCTTGGCTCACTCGAGCAGCCTCATGATGGGCAGTATCGTCGGGAACTCGCCGAACGAGTCATGACTGAACACTTGAAAAATTTCCGCTTTAATCAAAGAACTCTGATCTTGATTGACTGCTAATCATACGAATTGATCTCGTCATCGCAGTGGTCGGAGCAACACCCATGCGTTCCCCACAACCACGCTCAGGGCTATGCGTTGCCATACCGGGTCCGAGTTGCGCCATCCAATGCATCGGGAATTTCGAGATGTCCGTCATATTTCCAGCAGAAGCGCAAGATGTGACTCTTGTTCTAGGATCGCTTGATGGGAGGAAAGGAACCCCCACCTCAAGTTTTGTAAAACACAACCAACGGAGAAGCAGGAGCGACTTGTTTCTAGCCTTTGATAAATATATTTCAGTTTCAAACTTCACAGTAACAGGAGCGTACGTCAAAAAGGACGACTCTGAGGCTCGCTTAATCGATAGAGAAAGAAGCTAGGAAAACGCAACAATCAAACTCATGATGGCGACTGCTACACGATCCGTCACATTGCCTTATGTCCAGGAGAAGGAGACGGGAGAGTCTTTGGAATGGGCTGATTTAGCCTCTCTTGACCTGTCCAAGTTTGATCAACCTGGCGGCAAGCAGGAGCTAGCCAAAGCACTGACAAGAGCCATTGAGGAAGTTGGTGAGCACCTCATCTCACTTGCACTACACTCACTTTGTGACAAGCTACGTTCCTCTTCCGACTCTGCTACTAACGGTTGCTCTCTCACACATATAGGATTCTTCTACGTCATTAACCATGGTCTCAGTCCCGATGATATCGACACACAGTTCGCCATAGGCGCTTCCACTCTCTCCCTCTCCGACGAAGAAAAGACTCCCTACCGTGCCGCCCTCGAGAAAGGTGATTACAACGGCTGGAAGCCTGCGGGAACCCGTGACCTTATTCCAGGTGTGAAAGATAATTTTGAGATATACAACATCCCAAAGTTCAATGAGAACCACACTGAGCGCAAGCACCCAGCCCCAGTTACCGAACACCTTGCTACTATTGAGAAGTTCTCCAGACATATTCACGACCACATTGTCACAAAACTTCTCGTGATCTTCGCTCTCGCACTGGAGCTTGAAGATGAGAACTGGCTGGTAAATCGTCATCGCTACGAGCAGGAAAGCGGTGACCATTTGCGTTATATGAAATATTATCACCGCACGCCCGAGGAAAATGAGAAGCTCGGCGGCGTCTGGCTCAAAGGGTATGCCACCGTAGTTGCGATGGTACGGGGTCTATGGCAACGATTGACTGACTGTAATGTAACAGCCATTCGGATATGGGAAGCCTGACTCTACTCTTCCGCCAGCCCGTTGCTGCTCTGCAGGTCTTAGGCAAGGACGGTTCGTGGAAGTGGGTGCGCCCTCAAACCGACGCACTCACCGTTAATATAGCCGATGCCCTCCAGTTCCTCACCAGTCAGTTCCGCCTCCTCCTGTCTGTTTCCAAGAGAGTATCAGACGTGGGCCCCATGAAATAATGAAAAGGTATTAACACGAAGATTTATTACAAGATGGCTTTCTCAAATCTAGCATTCACCGTGTTGTTGCTCCGCCGAAAGACCAAGCACACATTGATCGCCTAGGGGTCCTCTATATGGTCCGTATCGAGGATGACATCGATCTCCTCCCCATCCAGGAATCTCCTGTTCTTCAGCGCCTCGGTCTCATTGGAGACAAGGTTCTTGGAGAAGACGGTAAGCCTGTGAAGGCCGGCGAATGGGTAAAACAGCGAGTCATCCGTAACCTGGGCGCTAACACCGGCAGCGGAAAGGGTGACAATGAGGAAGCTGAGGTGGAGATTATTAAAGGCGTCAGAACCACTTATTACAACTAGACCACCGTCAATGAAATCAATATTGGAGCTAAAATATCGAGATGAGTTGATGTATGATGAGGCTAAACACTTTATTCCTACGGTGCGAATTTTCAACGGCCTTCAAATTCCGACTTGGATATTTTACCTTTGCTTGAGCAAAGCAGATGAGGAAGATGTATAAGAAATTCTGACTACTACTATTATCTGTATCTAATTGACAAGCAACCAGTAGTCAAACTCAACTCTACTTTGTGGTCCAAGACTACTCATAACCTAGAGCAAAATGCGACCTGCAAGGTGATAGCTAAGAGCTTAAACCTCTCTTTCTTTTCTGTAGTATGAATCGTATCAGTAGCCGCAGATTCAAGAGTAGTTATCTTTATTAGTGGTACTGAATTCACAGCGACTAAGAAGGTTTCACATATGAGATGAAGACCTAAGCGGGATTGTAATTTGACATAATTCAACTATAGTCGTTTTAACTTTTAAGAGCGCGAGGCATTCAGCCTCCCAAACGGACAGGCCAAATCTAATCAATCAAGTCAATTTCCTATCAAATAACTTGTAACAAGTGGTTTTATTCCAACTAATTACATATTGAACATAGTTATGGCCTGCCGAAAACGTTGCTCGCCTCGATACCCCTGCGTGCCGGGACTGTAACCTAGTTGCCAGAGAGCAAGAATCCTTCAGTAAAGAACGCCTCATAGAGACCTAGGCTGCCACACATTGTACTGGCATACATTTACTAGGTACTTAAACATAATCCACGCACTTCTGATACGGTAGAGGGGATTCCCCAGCCTCACTGGGGAAGGACAGGACAAAGACGCAGCTAAGCCTCCACCAGCTTGTGGCTGAATCTGCCTTGTTTGCGCGTTCTAGACCTACAAGATAATACAGATCAACTAACTCACTCTCCGCTCGTACTATTCAGAGCAGTTACCCACAGATAGCCTGCGCATTTGTGCTCTTGCCCGGTTACTCGGCCCACTAGTCTCCTGAGGCTGAGATGGACCGGCAAAGTTAGCCGTAAGAGCCCTCCGCAAATCCGCGATTGTTGGGGTAATTTGCATAGATTCAACTATATACAATAGTAATACACATCCTGAACACAGTTATTCAACTACTACGAATGGTTATTGCCAGCTGTGCAACGGATAGGTTGAAAATATGGCTGATTGCTGTTGCTGAAGGCCCTTAGTTGCGGTAGCTAAGTAAGACAATATATCTGATGGATGCAGTTAGGCGCGCAGGCTGTTGGCTTTATCTATGAATGTCAGGCGTATCGCGGCACGTTGTGCCGATATGGCTCATCTTCTGATATGGCCAGCTGGATGAAAGCGCCACTATTGGCATTAGCGGCACGCTTTCTACTCCTCGTGTTATACATATAGATTTCAGCCAGATGAGTGTAGGGAGAGCATCAGCTGACGTGTTTCCAAGATAGAGTCCCGCTAATGGGCATATTAAGGAGGAAGACCGACGCGTTTGGTGGTGAAATTGCCTCGGAATTCCTTTCGGCAGCTGAACACTTCGCCTTAAATCCCATCGTGACGCCAAAAGCTGCCTGGACTACTACGAACCGCTATCATGAGCGCCTACACTTCTGGAAACGAGGAGGAGGCAAAGGCATTCGAGTATTGGGGCAAATTCGTCCCCGACCCGCCGCAAGGGGATCCGGACATGGTGGTTGATTCTTTCAGGTTCAGCAGGCTGATTATTGGTACGCATCTCGAGTCCACCAACCTTTGACAGGTTGTCTTCAGGTAGCATTCTTCAAAAACTAACACCGTAAAGCATTGACCGACCTGCTGGTGTCCTCTTCCCTCGTCCCGAACAATGCTATGGAAAAGCGCGGCGCAAAAGCATACCTGAACCCAGAAATGATGCGGCAGTGGGATAGTCTACTCGACTTTGAAGAAGAGTTCACTCCCGCCCAAGCCGAGTACCTTGACGAGCACACGCGTGACAAGATTCTAGCCCTGAACTACAAGATCTTCAGCTTGGAGCACGACATGTCAACTCGACGTATCCCGGACCTGGGGCCGAAGGGAAATATGCCATATTTGACGAGAGGAGGCTTTGCATTATCGATCGTCGTAAATTGTATGGTCATTCCAGTAAGTTTTCTCGTCGCATCTACCCGTAAAATACCGCCTTGGCTGCACGCGCATGATTTGATATGCAAATGGTTGATGACGACGCAGCCATTCGAGGAATGACTCTTGCGGATTCAAAGATGGTTGCTAACGACGTGGCTTGTACCATTTATTTAGGATACCTACCTTAAAGCATTGAACAAGGTCATTCTCGACGAGAGCCTCTATATTGTGGACTCGTTTTCCGACGAACGGTTCAAGTATCCCATTCCGAAGGCTTCTCTACCAAAAGCACCGGACGCAGCCAGTGTTAAGATCATTGATGATAAGATCAAGCTCTATCATGAGAAGAGAGCAGAGATCTTGGCCCAGCGCCGTGCTGATGCTATTGTCACTGGTGACCTGAGCGAAGTACAGAAGAAGGATCTTCGAGGCAAGATGGAGGCCCGCGGACTCAATATGGAGGGCTTGAGCACATCCGACATGCTTAAAATCATGATGAATCAAAGCGCACAGAACAGCATTAACACCAGCTTGAACGCGGCGCACAATACGCAGATGATGACCTTGGCAAACCAGATGGCGTTGAATGCACAGATGCAAGCCGTGTCAGTGAACAATGCTTATGCCACAATGGGTGAGTCGACGCTTCGTATTCAGCAGTACATCTTGGAAATGACATATTTGGCTAATAAGATTTCCAGCCTCTGGTATCTTTTAGAGTGTGATATACGCCTGGAAGAGTGAGACGTGTTTTGGGAAGACTTGAGCTTGGTGCATTATAAGAGGCTGAAGAACTGAGAGCTGAGAACTGAGATAACTTGAGATCGACAATCTTGATGAACACTGGGCTAGCCTTGATCGAAATATTTAGCCACTTAGCTACCGTAGATAATATATGTAGTAAAGAATACAATAGTCGCCAAGAAGAACGTCATATGTCCTGAGAGTGGAATCATATACAATTCTAAGTGATAACTAAGATAAGATGCATTTTTTCTAAACCTTGTTCCTGCTCACCTTTATCCTGATTGACTATCTATAAGCTTTAATATTCCTTGGGAAGCATGCTTGCCCAGCCCCTCCAGTGTACCCATGCCAGCATCTCTAGGACGGTGATATCAAACCCAAATGTCTGTCTCCACCAGCTTCGCATCTCTACTCCAACCAGGGAATCAAGCCCGAGAGATGAAAGGGAAACAGATATATCAAGCTCATCTTCAGGCTTGAGTAAGAAACTGAACAATTTTCGACCAATCTCGACAGCCAGAAGCTGCACGGACCCATTCGCCTTCAGCACTGATGCATCCTTCTTCGCATTAGATAGGAAAGCCTTGAGCACGTCACCGCCAGAGCCGGATCCATCCGAGGCATCAGTGGACGAGTTGTGATACACGGCCATGCGCCTGTCGTTCCTCCAGAGAGCGCGACTTCCGGGCTGCTCAGGGGTATCTCGGAGAGAAGACCAAGAACAAGATTACTCTGGTCGACAAACTTGGTCTCCTCAGTATTCTTGGTAGGCTCAGGCTTCACGACTGATTTTGAAAGAATACCCATGGAGACATGAACTTCCAACTCGGTAACACCCTTTGAGCCCGTGACTTTCATTCTCTTCAACAGGGCCTCATCTCTTGCGACATATCCAGCGTCGCGCACCGCTCCCAAGTCGATAGTGGTGGCGGGAAGTCCAAGGCTCTGTCTATACTGAGCAAACGCGTCAAGGAAGGTGTTGGCGCATGCATAGTTGGATTGGCCTGCTAGTCTGGTGGTCCCTGACATGGATGAGAAGTAGATGAAATTATCGAGGTCAATCTTGGCTTCAAGCGTAGCATGGTGCAAGTTCCACGTGCCTTCAGCCTTGGGTTGAATTGTTGTTCTCCAATCCTCAATCTTCATCGCGCAAAGTACAATCTTTACCTGGCATTCCACGTTAACCAAGCTGGTTACTCAGGCTACCCGGTCGTTTTTCCAGTGGTACCGAAGGGACAAGAGCGAGTACGATTCCTATTCCAAGCTGCGCAGACAGATGAGCATGTCAAGGCTTTCGCAGATTGTATTTGCTTTTGGGTTGAGGAAATGCTTGAAATTGAGGATTCCGGTGACCTCAATAAGCTTCCAGCGGCCGCTCGTGATGCTTATGCAATTATGGGTGAGATAGAAAATAACAGTAAATAGTATAGTCTTTAGATTAATTTTACAGTTTTATTATTTTACATTGACTATGCTAAGCTGCTTCCTAGTAATAGCCCTCCTATTGCTTTGTGATTTGTATTCGACCAAACTTATCCACATGGGCTCGCTCATTCCGAAAAAGAGTAAGGGAGCCACCCTTAAAACTCCAATCTAGATCCACGCCCGTCTTTCCATGTGCTTCCTCCATCTCTTGGCGGGTCTTTGTCTTTGGCTTTCCATTCTTGATGCGCTGCTTTTCAAAGAAGACATACCCGGCGTAGAATGCTGGGCTTGTATTGCCATCCATGAGGTGTTTCTGTTTCATGAAGGTGCCAATATTCCGAGAAGAAACTTGGCCTTGACTCCCGGGAAGCATCTTGGAGAGAGTCCGGCTCAGTGCTGCCTGCGAAACACCCTTGGCCAGGAGAGCTCGGATCTTGCGCCGGATCTCTCCACACGTGTCATATACTGGGACGCTCCCTGTATCCTCGCCAGGTAGCGTCACATCACCTGTGTCAAGGAGAGCATCAATGTCTGCTTTCTTGCTCTTGGTGTGCTTCGCCGTCTTGTTTGGTCGCTGTTCGCCAGATGTAGTGCTATCGGGCTTGCGTTTTGTTCCTTGTTGCGCGGGATTGGAGGGCTTGTTAGGATCCCTATCGCTGAGGGGCGTAGGAGCAGAGGTAGCCGGCATTTCGAGACTGGAGGCGATGATTGCGGCTAATCTGGGTTGACGTGTAGAAGAAGACACTAAATATTGAGTGAAGTGGATTGATACAATGGCAGTGTTAAAGTGCGATGGTGAGTCCCAATTGCGGTTCAATTGCTTGTTAATTAATCCAATGCAGCATCTCCTCTCGGCATGTCCATACTTTATACCAAGCTCACTCTACGTCAGGGCGAAACCGTCAATGATGTCAATAGTATACAGGGTCGATCTTTGAATGATATCAACCTTGACGTCAGTTTGTTTACTCTTGGTGATCTTTTTTGGCGTCGCCGCCACTGAAAACGCGCTTTGACCAAAACAGATCGGCGACGGGAAGTCCAACCTAGACATGGTATCTCACCTTTCCCTGACGTTGGTCAAGGATTTGAAAGACTGATCATTTTTTTTATAATTCTTAGGTTGAAGATCGAGATTTAACTGAATGAGATTATAGGATAAGTAGTCATGTCTGCTTATGCTGGCAACCTGTAGACCCTCTTCTGCCTTTCAATTACTTCAGCCCTGGGAAACAGAGTAACTTAACTGCTATCACTGGCTCGCCATTGGCACGTAATTTGCTGAAAAAAAAAAAAAGAAAAAAAAAAAAAAAAAAGGACGAGCGAAAGGTCCCAGCTTATTTATACGCAGCCCAATTCCCTATATCAGTGCAATGACCGAATAATTTCATCAAACCTAGGCTATATTTTCACGTGTAGGGTAATCACCCAGCCCATGCGGTCCACAACGGTTAGATAGTCGCACAAGTGGGTGAAATAAGACGTGGCACACCAAAGCTCTTTCTGCGTGAGACAGTGACCTCGTTTTTTAACTAAACACAATAAGAAGAGAATAATAAACTATTCTATAATATTTAGCTTGATATTATATTCAGTACTAGATTATTTTTTTATAATACTATATTGAATTTCAGTGCTGAACTATCTTGATGTGCCATGATTTATTTCACCCACTTGTCGCAATCAGATAATGATAATTCCGGATACAAGTCTGCAGTTTATTGAAGAAGTCTAGATTTTGTTACAATTCCACCAATAGCCATTGATTGAGTAACTATTATATAGTAATGGATACATGATACTCCGACAAAAGAAAAAAATCTCAGAAAAAAATCTCAAATTTAAAGATTACGTTCTTTAAAGTGTACCTCTGCTAATCCCAGCCAGACGACCGATATACTGTATAGAAAAGTAGGTGCAACTTGGTAAACCGAAATCGTGTTTCTTATCTTTGCGTCATCTAGATCATTATGTGTTCTCTTTCCCACATAAGCAGGGCAGACGGGATTTGGCCAGCGGCCAGACCAGCCAGTATTTTGATCTGGAGAGTATATCCATCCCCGAATGTCGATCGAATAGTCTCCTGAATATCAGCTGGAAACGATCTCATTAATTCAGGAGACTTCAACAACGCGTCAAGCTCGGAAGAGGAGATTAGATCTCCAAGCCGGCTCCTGATAAGCCCATTGAATGCGGAAGTAACTATTGCCAGCCCAATGACACCGTCCATCACACGAAACTGTCCGATCGAGCCCAATGCAACCGCTTTAAGGATTTGAATTAGCTACCAACTGTTTTGTAGACACAACGAGAGTCATGTACTTGCCTTTATCACGATCTTGCACTCGGAATGGGATCATCACGAGGAGTAGTGAAATATTTATGCCACAGCCAAACCCGGCGATAACCTGAAAGCCGTATTGAGCGGCGGGGATATTGTGTGAATTTGACACAGTTGATAATAAAGAGAATCCTATTACTTGTAGGACGGAAGCGAAGACGACCCAGTAGAGAGGAGCGATCTTGGCGGCCTTAGCCAAGGCTGCGGAGACAATAGAGCCAATCGGAGCAGCAAGAGTAAACGGGATTAGTCGAAATCCTGCCTGAAGAGGACTCAGCGAGTTGACAATTTGAAATCTTTGGGGAAGTTGGAAAATGGAACAGAACCAAGGCCCGCCGAGAAAGATTGCACTCCTGCAGAAGGGTTTGGTCAGCCTTGCTCTTGTAGACATCATGAATGAAACTCACAGAATCATGCCAAGTAGGATCCGACTTTCCATAAAGCGCCAAGGAAACACAGGTTCGCAAACTTTTGCAATTTGGGTCATGTGCCGTTCCCATAGCAAAAATCCTATCCAAGATAGACCGGAGATGGTTAAAAATGTGATGACGAAGGCTGACTTCCATGGATAATGGACATCTGCTTCTTCGAGCGCTGCTACTAATAGCAAGGTGGCAGTGAGAAGCAGGGCTGCTCCTAGGAGATCAAAACGGGCCAGTAGCCACTTTGAGGATAATTTGCGGATAGAATTAGGTCTCTGTTCTTTGGGTATTCCATGAAAAGGAAATCCGTTTGGCATTGCAAACACTATGATCCCTAGAGCCACCGCACCAGCTGGCACACTGACGTAGGATGTCATGTTAATAGGTGGCCAGAGCATAGAATAGCGACACTATGCATGTTAAGTGAGGTTTCGTACTTGAGCAGAAATATCCATCTCCACGTTGTATTTTGAGTGATGATTCCACCGAAAATCGGTCCTAGGAGCAACGAGACAGAATAAAATAGAGACACAAAGGTGGTATACTTGGCGTACTTGTTGGATGGGACAAGTTCGACCAAGATTACTGCGCTCAATGAGTAGTTACCCGCGCCACCAATCCCCTGAAACGCTCGGAAAACAATCCTGTAGCTTTATTTAGTCCCATTCAACATAAAATCGTGTTTAGTACGTTAGAGAGTCACTGACAGTTGTTCAATGGTCTGGGCTGCTCCGCAGGCGCCAGAGAATATTATGAAGATGAGAACCACAAGGATTAGGATTGACTTGCGACCAAATACGTCACTGAGTTTGGAGAAAATAATCAAGACACCTGAGGCGATATTAGCTTCTCAGTCATTCCTGGAACTCTTTTTGAACGAACGAACCGACGTAGCCGAGCAAGTAAGATGAAATGACCCAACTGGCTTTGTTGAAATCCCCCAAATCGTCGGTGATGCCAATGAGAGATGTTGTAACAATAGGAATTTCTAGATTAGTGAGGAACAAGCATAAACAAAGTCTTTAAATGGGTCATTAGCCACGTTTCCTTTCATTCTTTTGCTTTTCTACTTTCGTAGTGAGGGGAGGGATCGAGAGCGCTTACGAAACCATGATCAGGTAGAGTCTGACGCCCTGGAGATAGTGCTGCTGATCTTCATATTCTTTGCTCGTCGCGCCCAGAATGGCCTGTTCAACAGCCTGTGGCTTTTTCACCGCTTCATCAGTGATGGAGGCAGCATCTTGCATCTGCTCCTGATTCTTTTGAGACATGGCGGAAACTTGATTCATGGATAGGCAGGATCGTGGAAAGTTGCTGCGAGAAGACTAAACTAGGGGAAATTTGCTTGAATCTGAGTCAAACGATCCCATTTAGCAATTTCTGCGTGATGCCCCGGAATGTATTGTAATGATACCTGACTTCGTATTGGGTGGCCAACAAATAATGCAAGAATATGAATACTACAGCATGATCTTTATGCGATTTGGTACTTTTTTGGGGGGGCGAGAGGGTGAGAGGTCAGTTCCCACGCGTAAGGTTCTATGATATTGCTTGGATATAAGTTCCCATTGTTGGTAGTAGGCAGCAAGGTGTAGATATGTGATACTGCTCAGAGCGATGGGCAATACTTGATATAGCTCGAGTAATACACCTCGGCATGAAACAAGTCAGCAAGTTCAGGGATAAGACGTCAAATGCTTCCCGATTAGGCAGATTTATAAATGGGGCATGATATTTGTGTGCTTATGCCACGCAACTACAAAAAAAGTACCTAAGAGAGCGGGTGACGTGAGGTTCAAAGGCACGGTTTCAGTGGAGGACGGCTTGAATTCCAATTTGCCATAATCACAGGGGGTCGATACCCTCCAGAATGCCATCAAAACCATATTGCACTACAAGTACCTTATACATCATTGATATTGCTGCGTGGCGAGGTGGTTGCATTATGCCATCATTTCCAGGGGTCCCCCAATATAAATTGATCCGTTGCCCCTTGAGCTTCTTCGCTCCATTTTCTTGGAACAATAATTTCACATCCAACACCAAGAATTATATAATTATATACTTCGAGAAATATGGAAAGCGATTCGCAAAGGCGAAATAATGATAACGGAGCTCTCTCCTTCATGGAGAAGCTTTCACCGGCCGTCGCTATCTACCGACCAACCACTGCCTCTACCTCGAGCGACATTACATCCGATCCAGCCCTAATCATCGTCGCCACGTGGACCGACGCATCAAGCACGCACATCGCCAAGTACATCACCAAGTACCAGGAACTCTACCCCAAAGCACAGATCCTACTTATCCGGAATACAACGAAGCTCTTCTTCAACCGATCGTCCATCGGCCTTGCCGTACAGCCTGCTGTCAGCGTCGTCCGAGCTGCCGTTGCCGCCGTGCCGGCATCAGCTGCTCCTCGTTCATCTTCACACATCTTGCTACACATCTTTTCCAACGGAGGCTCATCGAGTGCCGGGTCCCTCTATGAACAATGCACCGCTACAGCCGCAGAGGGTCAGGACAAACAGTTCCCTCGCCATGTTACCATCTTTGACTCTGCCCCTTCCACCAACTTCCGCATGAGTAAAGCGGTGGCCTTTTTCACCGTTGGACTATCGCCTATACAACGCATGATTGCGGCAGCGGGCTATACACTGGTGCTTTGGCTCAGACTGACCGCTGATATACAAACAAGGTGGAGCAATCACCACAATAGGCCAGATCTGGTGCTGGAAGCCCGCAGGATATATATCTACAGTGACACTGATGCTATAGTTCACCCAGATGATATCGAGCAGCACGCACAGGAAGCAGAGAAGGCGGGTTATGCGGTGAGAAGAGAGAAATTTATTTCTTCAGCGCACGTATCACACTCTAGGAAGGATGCAGACAGATACTGGGAGGCTGTGACAAGCACATGGGATGGGAGCTACTCTGAAAACTAGTTAGGTTGCTTAGATTCATTCACTTCCATTCTCTATTACGTTTGATTCATGTTTTTTTCTTCCGCTTTTCCTCCCCCTTTATTTTCAAAAAAGTAATTCAATACTAAGTGCTCTATTTTCCCTCCTCATGATCGAAGCCTTTACATGTGGTTTAGAAGGGGGGTAGCGATACTAAAAATGTTCTTGCTTAACCAAATAAAGAATGGGCAGTTGACTTATACTCGGCGTGACAAGCGTATCAATTTTGAACGTTGATTCTTGTGTTGGTTGATTGATAAGAACACTGAAAAAAGGAAACAAAAGCCAGCACTGATGGTTCGTGATGCTATTCTACTTACGATATGCCACTGTCTAGATAGGTTTCACGAGAGTGATTGGAAATTGCATGACAGACATTGAAAATACGACTCGGCAAAGCAAACAGGCATTTCGGATTCGTTCTGGATCGCCTCTGGATGCATTGCCGTGAGAGGATTGTATTCCTTGCCAGACACAAACATGGTCTCTTCCCAGTATATATTACCAAGCCTAATGGTCAGATGTCCAATTGTTACCAGGTCTCTCCTCTAGTAGATTCCCTTTTGGTAATGAAGTTGATGTAACCTCATCGCTTTTGCAATTTCAGCTTCTAATTGGGCGAATGAAACTGCATCAAAAACCACTCGCCGTAATGCCAGGTGTTTATGAATGAACCTGCCCCTAGAAACTTGAATCTCTTTCACAGACTCTTCAAAGGTCTTTTCGATGACTTCCAGTGATCGAAGCTCAGGATGAACATGATCGATCACCCCTATCCAATGATCTATAATACGGCGGCTGAGATGTAAATTTTGTTTTTCGCTACATCTCCAAGTGATTGTAGGCTGGCGCTGTTCGATTTCGTACTGAAAGAGGTGGGCAATGCCATTTGGGCATGAGCCCCATATCTCCATGACCTGTAGCTTAGGTATGTTTGGCACTGCTCCTACAGCTAGTTGAAGGAGATGATGTATTTCTTTGGTATCTGACATTGAAAATGTCTTCGCCTTCAGACAAAGTTGCCGTAGATTGTTCCACCGATATCGGGGGCGCGTTGAGATCGTCGCCACCCGGTCTTCTCCCGGCTCGAAGCGATGAGATTGAAGACCATCCAAGAATGCGATGGCACTCATTTGGCTGGTGGCGCTGAACCGAGATAGTTTTCTCATGCCAATCTGGCTGCTGACCATAGCCTTTGCCAACTCCTCCTCCTGAAAGTCAACCATCTTTAGTGGTCGATTGTGCGTGTAAATGAAGCGGTGACCCATGTGGAGCTGTTCCAAAGTGAGTGGTAGAGAGGGTATTAGTGTCTTGTTACAGTCTGATAATTGGTTGTTATTAGTACATTGTTAAGGATGCCATCTTACATTGCAGTTCACGTCTCACTTACCATCGATAAACCTCATCTCATCAAGGTAACTTCTAGCTCGACATCTCTCAAATCGGATCCATTTCAAGGCTACCAAGCTTTGCCTCAGTATTCGCGCTAATGATCTTACCTCAATACTTCGATATGTATAGCGAGGAAGAAGGAGCCCTGTTACAATAGGAGCCTTAGGAAGAACCGGTCGTACCAGCCGCAAATCAAGAGGTGTACCATATAACCTCCTTGCGCTCTTATATCGCTCCCTAATGTACCCAATGTATCCTCGCAAATGATTGATCTCTCGTCTTTTCTTTGCGTCCTGATATTTTAGCAGGAGCGGCTTTAGTTTATTCAGATCATCTGGCGTGCGAATTGGGAAATCTTGCTCTAGTCGACTTGAAAAGAACATATGCTGATTGTCACTTGGTGACGAAATAGCAATTTCAAGAGTTAGTCCCTGAGAAGATCTTCCAGTATATCTTCCAGCATATCCACGCGTTTTGGGCTTCCAAAGGGAGAGGATTTTGAGCAGATGTCGGATGCTAGTGGAGAATATCTCATGGTGTCTTCATGGTGCAGATTAGTAAAATGTTATCAATGAGTGCATATGTTTGGGGTATGCAGTTGATAAAGAGAAAGAAAAGAATGGAGTAAAAGAAATCCACATACCGGTTGATTGTGTACTGATCTTCTTCTTCCTTACAGTCATCACAGTTGTACTCTGGCAACTGGATTTGAAGTAGGACGTAGTGCACATAGGCGAGTCTAACAGGGCTTCTCTCTACCACCTCCTGGAAAACTGGCAGGTCTGAATGAACAAGAACCAACTGCTTGAATGTATTTCTTTCAAAAAATACCTTCCATTTCAGACACACAGTAGCCAGGAAGCTGATGTTATGACAGGGTGTGGCGCCAGATGCCGAGTCGTTGGCGGCGTATTTATTCGCTCTTGCATCTAGCAGGACTGTATGTAGAATCATATCCTGAATCTCATTGTGCAATAGATACCAAGAGCGACATAGTTCTGAGTCGCCCTTGACCATAGACCTTGTTTTGACCATTTTTGTATAAGTTTCTCAGATGTGAATAAGCTTATAAATGTAGTTCTGTTTTCCCAACAGAGAGCGGAGGGGAGGAGAAAGAGAGAAGAGGGGAGGGAAGGAAAAAGAGGGAAAGAAAAATTGGCAGTGGTTTGGAACAACATGCAGCAAGGGGCAGCTTATTTATAATAGAAGATATGATTGCCTCTGTCAGTCACGAAACTATATTTTCCCCCACTCTGTCTCAAGCTATACTTTTGTTGGATCCGATCCGATGGCGATACTTTCCATGCTAAGCCATACTCAAACCTTGAAAACGGGATATTTTGACGGGACGGGACGGTGGGCTGCACAATATCTAATTTAGTATTGCCATACACGATGTCTTGACGTAGCGGGACGGTTTGGAATGCAATGAAGATCAAGAGTCAAAATCCAAAGATCCATTGCTCCATTGTTCAGGCCTAACCCTAGGAAGAATTTACCTAGAGGTCTTAGTGCGTTCAGGTACTGCGTAGACAAGGCGCACGTCAAGGTTGAAGTTAGAATGAATCGTCCGTTAGCTGAGATGGCGATGGTATTGAACTTTACTGGTTGATATTCCCCTTTTTTACTAATTAACGCGAGATTGAACTTTAAGGTGTGTCAGATATTAGCTATATGTGCTTGGTCTGTAATAAATATCAGGCACAAAGAACCTTGTAATTAATTACCATGGCGTTTGAGCAAGCTGGATCATATATAAGACATCCACATGTGAGGCTCACCCCGCGATGTATCGCAATCAATGGCCCTTGACAAAAAGGATGGATTGACCACCGAACTTGAAGAGGAGGAGTTTGTCTTTTTCTTTGGTGGTAGAAATGTGCGTGAGGGTTGTCTTTATGTAAAATCTCATCAGCAAAAATGACGACTGTTCCTCACTACGCGTCTTGAACTCCATCAATCCCGTCAAACTAGGTAGAGAATACCAACTCTTTTCAATTGAGAGAGAAGGCGGTCTTAGTCATTCAACGCATCGTCAAAATCTCCCCGAATACAACCAAAATAGACTCACTGTACTATTGAAACAACGAGGGAAGTGGTCGGCTAAGCTCGACGCGCATCGAAAAATGGCGTCCTCTTTGACCAGCTTAGGCAATTGGGGGAATTGGAAAGCCCCACCTCTGCAAAATCAGGAAGGATCTCACAGAGCTTAGCGAGTATTTCGGGAGATTTCGTCATCTTTCGTCTTTCTGCAGGGTCTTTCCTGGCTTTGTGATGGTAAAGGCGAGCAGAAGCGCCTGCTGCGTTTCTAAATAAGATAAAAAATCAACCTCCCCAGCGTAGTGCGCTTCCCCCATCGGCAAGCGCTTTCCTCACGATGACTACGGACGCATCCTCGTCCTTTCCCTTTTGCCCCGAACGTTGGCTTTCCAAAGGGATTTGGAAAGAGCGTGAAATCCGTGGGTAATGTCTGGCAATGAAGGTTTGATCGTTCCCATTTGCTTTTTATCTTACAACAATCACAACAACAACAACAACAGCAGCCGCAACAACAGCAACAGCAACAAAGAAGAAGAAGAAGACCGAGACCAAGAAGACGACGACGACGACGATGACGACAGGTCGGGCCCTCGAGGCCTTTGACGAAGGAGTGGCCGCAGCTGCGGCCGGCGACGAGAGGGCTCGTCGCCGGGCACGCCGGGCTCTTGTCCGGGCGTGTGAGGAGGAGGAGAGGAGGATTGGGAGGGAGGAGGAGAGGATTGAGAGGAGGAGGGATAGGGAGGAGGCGGAGGAGGAGGCGGCGGCGGCGGCGGCAGATGTTGCTGTCGTACGAGCGAGGGAGATCGCGGTGGCCAACCGCGAGGCGGCGGTGGAGAGGCGGAAGGAGGTGGTCACGGAGCGTGAGGACGCTGTGGCCGTGGAGATGGCCGCGCTCCACCAGGAGCAGATGGCGGCTGGCGGTGAGGAGCAGTCGCGGGGTGAGGAGGAATAAAGGTAGGTCCTTTCTTTTGTCTTTCCTTTGTCTTTTTTTTCTCTATTTTTGTTTTTGTTTCCTTTCTTCTGTTTTGGTTTCCTTTTTTTACAATATTTTTAACCCGCCCATGTTGTCTGCCTCTCCGTGGCGGGCGGGAGTAACTCCTGGGGTGGCGCCCAGGAGGCCAAAGACAACCTCTACAATTATCATCGGACAGCTTCTCTCTCTCTCTCCAGCTTCACTCTCTCGACAGCTGCTCGCTCGACAAATTCTCTCTCTTCACAGCTCCTCGTTGGAAAGTTTATTTCTCTCTCTTCACAACTTTCTCTCTCGATAGCTTCTACTTAAATCTTCGTCATCTTTGTCCGCCATCATAAGCTGCATCACGACGTGGCACTACCTCTGCTGTTGTGCTTCATTGACTCTCAGCCTATTCATCGAACTTCTGCTCCTTCAATTTCCGTCGTCTAGGTCGTCTCGTCAGGTCTCTTCTTCACGCTTCGCTCTCTTCTTCGCCTGTTGCTTGCTACCGAATTGCTTGTTGTCAACCTTTCTGGTTTGTTGTTGTTGTTTTGTTCCCATTACGTTGCTCAACCATCCTCAACTCTCCTATTGAGACTCTTACTTGATCTCCCCCTTCTTTCAAGTATGAGACCATCTGTCACCTACCTCAACGCTATTACTCTAGTTGCCACAGGGCCGAACGCCAATTGTGGTAAGAGTTGAACAACTCATTCAATGGCCTTTGGCGCAAGGTTTATGAACTAACCCCGAATCCAAACTAGTAACTGCAATTTCGCCGCCCGAAGGCGCAGACCTCAATGTGTTTTGATCAGTTACACATGCCCGACTTGATCATAAACGAATCAAACGCTCTCGCGTTGTACATAGCAATTATATAGCCCGATGACCGCCCAGTTTACTTAGTTACCTAGGTAGTATGCTCGTATAAATCTCAATCAATCTTCAAGTTGACACCAACGTATCATTGACCCCAATCAATCCTCGCATAGTAACCTGACATACACCTCGTTCTCGCTGCTTATGTGTGCATAGTACCAGGCTGTTCAACCGAAAATCCAACCCTCTTACCTCTGCCGGTGGAAATCTCACTGTAAAGACATGCGACTTATTGAGAACACCCTTGGCTAGGACCAGGTGTAAATATTTATCCCTACTAAGTTGAGGCCAACTGTTGTGATTCCCTATACCTATATTGAAGTCTAAACTCTGATGAATTACGAGGCCGATTAATGATAAAAGTTTGTCTACATCTTGACACACCAGGCTGTCAAAATCAGTGTAAACACTTGTCTTTGGATCTATGCGTTCATCCTCTTCATTTTCCATGCGATGGCATCATTTCTCAGCAAGAAGATCTACGGAACCATGCCTAGGGACTTCACCCGCCAAGATGTCGTTGATGACAATGCTGCCGTGTCGACAGTTCGAGTCGTGGCTCACATCCTAAAGTTTATCAAGAACGGCCTTATTGGGCAGGGTACGGAACGTGATTTGCAATCTGTAGACCTTTTGCCATGAGCGCAGAACACACAAATCTAAATGCAATATGATGTGCCGTTGCATCGCTAATTATTTCATGGCCTTGGTTTCCTCTTTCAAGGCGGCAGGAAAGACGACCGGCAGCATTCTCTCCTCGATGTATCGTACTTCTTTTGTGTAGCAATACCGATTGCACACTCCTTATAAAAGTGCTTCAAAGCTTCTCTCAAATTGAAATAAGGTTTCATCCACTTAAAGTGATCCCTTCCTTTCCTACCTATGCTCAGGCCGCCGCGAACGGTGCACCGTTTGGAAGTAGACAATGCGTCTCAACGACGGAGCTCCACCTACACCCAACGAAAGCTTGACCTTACTGGACCTTCTGTGGGCGATATAATAACATAAAACTTTACATCCCTTCACGGTGCGATAATCTGCCCGCCTTGGCCACATCATACCCAATCGGCGAGTTTCTTAGTTCCAGTTCTTGGTCTTTGCGCGACCCCAGTTGAGCCTCGACAAATCAGAAGTCAATGAATACGACGTCGGGACTAGCCCAGTGGGCATATTGTCAGATCTCCAATACAAGATAATAAAACCATGCTCGATGTATTACAGTTTTCTGAGGCAAAGCGTGTAGGAACTTCCCGTGTCATTGACTTAAAACCTGGCTCTCGAGCTCTACGCTGCTTCCATCTATCCTAAATTCCGCAGCACATTCTTACGTATTTTCCAAACACAAGCTCCCCGTCTACACCGTTCTACAAATATGGCCGTCGTTCCTCCTGGGGGCTTCGTTCTTGTAACAGGCGTCAATGGTTATATCGCCGGCGTCGTTGCCAAGACATTTCTCGACCACGGATACAAAGTCAGGGGAACGGTGCGTTCAGTTTCCAAGTATGGCTGGATGCCTTCATATTTCGGCCCCAACTTCAGCCTTGCTGAAGTCCCCGATATACATGCCGACAATGCCTTCTCGGAAGCCGTAAAGGGCGTTGATGGAATCGCCCATGTGGCGGCTAGCCTCGATATGAGCCCTGATGCCACCATCATTGATCGAACGGTGAAAAGTACCATTGGGCTCCTTGATGCTGCATCCAAGGAACCAACGGTCAAACGAGTCGTCCTCACTTCATCTGCAAACGCATGCCTTGATCAAATAGCCGGCACCCCTTACAAGATGACCGCTGAGAGCTACAACGTGGGAGCAATCGAGAAGTCAAAGCAAGCCTGGAACGGAGAAGATCCCATGAGGCGCGGCAAAGTTATTTACGCAGCTTCCAAAGCTTTGTCCGAGATGAAGGCATTCGAGTGGGTTCGCGATAATAAGCCATCGTTTGTCTTCAACTCGATTATCCCCAATTTCAATATGGGGGCGCCTGTAGCTCCATACAAACTTGGATTCGGTAGCACCACTGCCATTCTTGCTGCTCTCCTCCGCGGTCAATCATCCCTTCTGGCGCTGTTTGGCTCAGAATGGTATGTACATGTCGGAGACACAGCTCTACTTCATCTGGGAGCTCTGACAGTCGCGGATGTGCAAAATGAGCGTCTCTTCGCATTCGCTGGGCGGTTCTCTTGGGGCGCAGTTCTCGAGATCATACGCAGACGCTTTCCCGAGAGGGAAGGATCTCTGCCAGCAGTTCACGAGGCAGCTATTGACATTGGAGAGGTGGAGAACCACCGTTCTGTTGAAGTCCTGCAGAAATTAGGCAAAGATGGGTTCAAAAGCTTAGAATTTGCCGTGGTAGAGACCTTCGAGGCTGTGATTGCCGCTGAGGGGCAGGCTGATGCTCCAAAGTCTCGCGCAGAGGAAACAATTGAAATGCTTATCAAAAGCTCAGCCCAGTAGACACCAGGATGCTCCTCGAGGCGAGAAACAGGTCGCATATTAGCTCATAAATCACAATTACAGTTTGTTCTGGTCTACCTTCATTCGGTCTTGGTGTACTTGTCGCCAGGCTTGTAAAAGTAGGATTTTTACTAAATGAGCAAGTTTATACTACAACTGCTCCAAATTAACGCTCTTTTGAGCGAGTGGTCATTTGGGACCTTCTAAGAAAGCCCCTTTCCATTGAGACTGTATACGTGCTTCTTCACCACCAAGGACAAGCCTCGGCCAGCAATGAAACAAAAGAATGAACGTATTAAATTACAGTTTCGCGTCACCTGGAGGCAGTGTAAGACCAGGGACACAGTGGAGCAGAATTCATGCGCAAGCACAGAGGAGATTCTGACCAAAAGTCAAAAATTTGGTTTAAAAAAAGGCGAGGACTCGTAGTCCACATACCAGGTTTTAAACTGGTAAGAACAGATACTACACTTGATCTAAGCCGAAGGCAAAGAGAGCTAGAGAAGAAAGAAAGAGAGGAACAGAGTAAAGTTGGGGGATCGGGCTGAATTTATAGACATTTGGGTGCAGTGGGATGAGAGCGCAGTGGCAAATTCCAGCCAATTAAAGAATGGCGATCCTGCTGCCTGCTGCCTGCTGGTGCCTTGCGTTGCGGCTGACCAGATCAGTCGATGTACACCGAAGTGTATACCAGGCACCAGCGGCTGGAATGAAAATTAGCAATCGTGATTCCTGATAGGTAGACGCAGATTGGATTTGCAGTTTTTCTACCCAATACGTCAAGTCAAGTTTTCTACGCAAAAGGCGGCGATCAACACATAACAGTCTAGTCAGTTCACACGAGTTCTAATATTGAAGATTTGCTCGTCGACAAGTTGATATATTCAGAGAAGTAATGCTTCATGATAAAGCCAGCTAATCATGATGAAACCTCATTTCCTAAACAGAGTAGATAAAGCAAGAAAGGAGGACAAGAAAACATAAAACCCAGGTTGAAAACAAAGACAACCGTCCCCCCAATTTCCGGCCGGAAAATTGGATCCCGTAGTCCCTTCATGGATCATCCAGAGAAAGCTCCCTGTTGTTGATTTATTTACCCACCTTGGGTATTGACTCAGACCTTGCTGGCGAGGAAGTCCGCAGCCTCACCACGAGCCTCATCGTTGTAAGTCAGGTGAGGAGGGGCGACAATCAGAAGTCCTTCGCATACAAGGTCGCCAACAGCGCAGTAGACCTTTGTACGGTCGGCGGGATAGTTAGGGATGCGGCCGTTGTTCTGTTGGTTTTGGGTGTATCCAAAGAGAGCAGCGCCCTTGACTTGGTCTCGGGTGGAAGAGTCGAGATCACTAATTGCGGCCGCTATGAGAGCAGCACCTTGACTATATGGGAGATAAGACAGGCATGTTAGGTTTTCTCTTGTTCAACATGTAAACGGAAATCGTCATATTGACATACCTGTAGCCACCCGCCACAACTGATGCGTTGGGGCACTTGCTCTTGGCCAATTTGAACAATCGGACACCTTCAGCGATAGCCCTCGAACTTGAGCCTCGCGGGAGCGCATTGTCACCTAGCGCAGCATCGTACGGGCCGCCAACTCCCTGCACCCAGATGCCTCTGACTTTCTGACTCAGAGCACCAGAGAGCGCTGGGCCAACGCTCGAACCCTACTCTGATGTTAGGACGCGTCGAATGAAAGAGCTACAAGGGGAAAATCTCTACCATGTTTCCAATCTCAGTCGACCCTCGAGCGAAGATCAGAATAGCACTCGGGCAATTGGAGCTGCTTCCTCTCTCAAGATCAGTCGACGTGCTAGACTGGCGAGTCTCGAGGTTCCCTATGTCCAATGGAGCGCCAGCAACAAGGGCGGTAAAGAGAGTAATAGCAGTGAAGAACTTCATTTTCACTTCGATATGGGGTACTTTGAGTTGTTGGTCAAGGTCGGATTTCCAAAGCGGGAAGTGTTGATTTGAAGGGTTCTTTGAGCTAGCTCTCTGAGATGTCGATTTGAGATGGGATGACTTTCTTCAGAGAACACATCTTGACGCTCTCTTTATACACTGACCTTCATATAGTGAATTAGACATCATGATGCTTCATTCTCAGGTTCAAGACAGCAAAAGAACAGCGAGCCTCGGCTTGGATAGCTGGAAGAACAAACAGCCTCGGCTCGCTCGAGATTCTAGACTGGAAATGGCCAGCAGGAGATCCTTCCTCCGCATTTTTGAAGCTCCATTTGACGATTAAACTCAGACTGTCACTCAGATCTCGTGGGGTTTGATGGAGATCTGGCGTAATCCTGGTAGAGGAAAGCTTGCGATTGGATAACAGTTAGAAACGTCCAAACCTGCACCCAAAACGCTGACACTAGTTCCGAAATTTAAAACAGTGTCACCATGCTAACATATCGCTGGTGTAAATCTAGGCCTTGGCGCTTACCCAAATGTCACTCCTTTGCAGTTGGAGGGTCACGCGACGATTTCAATGGCGGGGAGAACGTAATAATTATCACCAAGGATCAACTCAAGTATGGAACATCCTACCGATTAGGCTCATAAATCCCTGCCCGTGATAATTCACACAACAGCGGCGCGAGTGAAAGGGGGGGAAGATCACTCCTAAATTCGCAAGAACTTCCTGGGGAAGAACAATATGGGTTACATTCGGAACGTACATGTATCTAAAATGCGGAGAAAAAGGTTTCATCCCTCAAATGACACGTTATTTTAAGTCTAGAGTTCTAGACTAGCCAGTCTGAGAAACTAAACAGAAACCCTGCTTAGACCGATACTCATCAATGTGGTAGTACACCTTGCTTGCAGTTGACTGTGGGTGTAAGTCGGCGTACGTCTTTTTCACAGAAAGAGGATATCTTCACATTAGTGTTCGCGTTTGAACTCCACTAAATTCTGATACCAATCGTCCATGGCCTGAAATGGATGAACTTGTCTATGCGTGATTGTTGAAACTCGTGTGATGCCCATGTAGCGGTTTCTTGGCAAGAAATCCCAGCCCACCATTCTCCACCCACACAATCGCAAACAAACCTCCAAAAGGACTAGACGACAGGTAGCTGTGTGGGAGCTCTCTTCTACCCCACAGATCCCCCTGGTCCAACGGCAATCTACATTGTACAAGCATTCTGATTCAAAGGGTTTCGGGCCAGCTGGAGGTTGATGGCTTCAGATAGACTCTATTCCGCTGCAAACAACTTTCTCCTCGCTCCAGAATCCACTCGTCTACCTCCATCACAGAGCCGATAGAAGGCGGTAAAGTTGATTGGAAACGCCCATTACCCTACCCCAACAACATAAACTTGCATAAACTAGCTCCTCCGTGGCCGGTAGATAACTTCTCAATTGAACATTAGAGAATTTCTGTTCAAGACTTTTAGCTTGCGCTTTAGTCTTCTATTCTCTAGGCATGATGCACTTCTTCCAAGAAACCACTTTAGTTAAGAGCGATGAAGGCCGAGGTCGGAGGCCAAGTTCTCTTTAGCTGCCTACCCTATGTAAGGCGCTTGAGATGCGTTATGAAATAATTATAAGAGTCCTACGGATGACGCAAATATTTGAATCAATTCATAGAGCATCGGCGAGTGATCTATGCCTTCAAAAGCCGATGCATGTGCGTTTTTGCCTTGCCCGCGAGCCTAGCATGGTGATAAATATCCTAATCGAACTTGAAGTGAGCTGATTATGTATGTGCGCAACTTTGGAAGCTTCATAACAATAAACACTATCCTGAACTCAATTCCTATTCTCAATCCGAACGTGTTCAAGGAAGCTGCTGCCTCAGATGACCGTCGTGCTTCCGGCCAGGCGGGGCGCCTTGAGGGTATCCCCTTTACCGTCAAGGACAGCTTCAAAGTCAAGGGCATGACTGTCTCCTGCGGATCGCCGGCTTTCAAAAATCTCATTTCCAGCGAAGATGCCTTCACCGTCAGCAGCATTCGTGCAGCCGGCGGAGTTTTGATTGGAAAGACAAACATGCCGTCCATGGCATACGGGGGAATGCAACGCGGCATCTACGGCAGGGCAGAGAGCCCATCCAGAGTTCCTGGCGGCTGCCTTTACTTCCGGCTCGTCGAACGGGTCTGGTGTTTCAACGTCGGCTTCTTTCGCGGCTTTTAGGATGGGTGAGGAGACCGTATCCTCAGGGCGTTCTCCAGCCTCCAACAACGCGCTGGTTGCGTACACACCGTCCAGGGGCTGGATCTCCATCCGGGGAAATTGGCCCCTGTACCCAACTTGTGATGTTTCGGTCCCACATACTCGGACAATGAGTGATATGCTCACACTTCTTGAGGTAATGTCTGCCAAAGATCCAGTTGCCGAAGGAGGCTATTGGAGAAGCCAGCCATATGTGTCGATTCTAGAGCCATGGGGAGGAAAACCTGCCACCAATCTCTTTCAAAACGTCTCCAAGTCGGTATCACTTAAGGGTCCGCGTATAGCAGTTCCAGAAATGTACATCGGCGGCAAGAGCCCTGAGGGGGCAACCCCAGTCACTACTAGTGAGGGCGTGATCACGGTATAGGGCAAGGCTAGAAAGAGGCTTGAGTCTCTTGGAGCAGAAATTTTACTGGTGCCCGACTGTCCTGCTGTCACAGCCTACGAGAATCCTGAGTTGCTACAAGGCGTCACAGGACTGCCTGAGAAACGGCAATGGACTGAAAAGGGGCCGCTTATTGCACATGGCTGGGACCTCTTTCTCCGCTCAAATGGAGATCTAAACACTCCAAACTTAGCCAGCGTCGATGAAAGCAACATTTATACTGATTCACTGCGAACACCAGCCGAGCTTGAGAATCAGCCAACGCAAAATGTCATTCATTGGGGCAAGCTTGTCGGGTATGTGAGAGAGGGCACCGGTTCAATGTTCGATATCAAGAATCTAGATGCTGCCTCTATAGCACTCGACTTGATGCGCAAACAGCTCTCGGATGATTATCTCGAACGCTACAGGTGTGACTGTTTCGTTTTCCCGGCAGCTGGAGACGTTGGGTCCGCTGATGCCGACGTTGACTTAGCTCATGCTGCCCACGCCTGGGCTAATGGTGTTTTCTGCAGCACCGGGAACAGGGCCCTACGCCATCCGGGCAACCCGATAGTGACCGTCCCAACGGGTATGATACCAGGCAAGGACATGTCCATTGGTTTGACATTTACCGGTCGCGGATTTGATGACGAACATCTGTTGAAGTGGGCAAATGCATTTGAGGCGCAGACGAAACTAAGAAGCCCTACACCGCACACTCCGGCGCTGCCGTCGGATCTCATCCAATTGTCGTCTAAAAGCCTTTCATCCAAGACTAGGCCACACCTCCTCGTTACGAAGTGTACTTCCAAACGGTCCACGGAAACGGCAGTATTACGAGTTGAGTTTGAGGGAACAGTTGATGTTGATTCGACTGGCAGCAAGCGCCCACCCGCAATACAGGTCGCGGTAGACGGCCAAGACGTACCTGATGAACAAATTACTATTGATCGTGTGGCCAATGAATCGGGAGAGGGCCATAGCTTGTATGTTTTCCGAGGATGGGAATATACACCTGGGCCACCAGAAAGGCGTGAGAAAGATGCCGCAAGGGAGCAAGTATGTGGTGACCAAATCATGGTCGTATTCTTGACTAGATCTTCCCCAAGTGGCCTACCCGCGGGATTCTTAAGTTTGATGTAGCAGATTTGGGCAGATTATTCTCTGAAGGGCCAACACCAGACTAATCTCCATAAACCTATCTGGCCTTTCAATACTAGTCCGAATATCCTACCAGTGTAAACCTACAGGAATTATTTGAATCTCCATCAGTTTTACGGGTGACCGAAATTGATTTAATACTTTCTTTTTACTTTTCATGCCGTCTATCGCCTACATGTAGCCTCCTATCCCTGCCATCGTCGATCCTGTCTCGGCCGAAGCTAGAGAATTTTCCAACCGTCAATTTTCGGCGTGTAACTGTTTTCATTTCTTTTTTCATTCTGTATCAGTGGGGTCAAAGAAGCTTTGATCAGAAATAATTCAGAATTCCCTGCTTCAAACATCATAATACGGTAAACCACGATTATGGTCAAAGCACACCTAGAAGAGTGGTGATGATACAACCTTTGAATGAACACTTGCTGATGAAAGCCCCGTAACAATCAGGGCCTCGGCCTAGCACATAATAATCAAACTTCGCCAATATTTTGATGCCAGTGTATTTGCTAAAAGGATTTGTCCTGAGCACAATCAGCGAGAAAATGAGAGTGGCCGAATATGATATTGGGCCACACCACTATGATTTACTACACAAGCGGAAAAATCTGGACTCTTCCTCTAAACTTGAATGACTTGTCTGTGATTGACAATACTGCCAGCAATCCCGCGTACGTAAGAGGAAAAGAATAAAGTTCAACAGCAATGGAAGCTGCGAGGGTCCAACAACTCAACACAATGAATAGCCAGCAATTCCGCATTGGGTTGAGCCAGAAGGTCGGCAACGATTCAGATTAAATTAACAATCAATCACAACAAGATAATCCCATCTTTGCGAGGCGTACGCCGATGGGTCTATATGGGGTTGAAACCTGCCTTGGATGTAGATTTTTCAGTATTGAAGCCAGCAATAAGGAGCTCATGTACAAAAATAAGACACAAACATAGCACATGGCTAGTCTTTCTTCTTTAAAATGCACTTATCCAATGCAAACTGCACAGTGGATTCAAAGCTGCGTACCGTGTTGGCAGCCTGGAATTACTGGTCGCACCAACACGTCGTGTTGGTGCGACACGTGTTGGTGCGACATGAGGATGCGGGGGTTGGTCATCCGCCCGTTTTCCTCCTCTTTCACCTTTTGATCTTGGGTTACCTCGTCGGCCAAAGGTCGTCACCGCAAAATGGCGAGCAAGCCCACTATTCGGCAGGTCTTGGAAGACCTTGAGACTTCTGCCTTTGAAGATGCCGGCTACGAGAGCGAGTCTTTCGACGTAGAACAAGAGGAAACTGCTCTGAGCTCCATCAAAAAGAGCCTCACCATCTGCTTTCCCATTCGATCCAACTACAGCCCGAGCTGGAATACCTCAGCAGCCTTCCGCGAGCTTGTGCAGAATTGGTACGTCGTTTTACCCTCATCCCTGGAGCTGGCATGGACTCTCTCTAACTAGCGGGCGGCACTACAGGAGAGACGGTATCATCCAGTCATTCAAATTGAAAGAGACCCAGTTCTATGTTGCTAAAGAGGACAAGTCGACCGATCTGAAAGCAGAAATACTCTTCAAGGCACTAAATAAAGCACCTGGAGTCTCTGACCATGATTCCTGCATGGGTTTCATCAGGTTTTCCGGGCGACATGGCACCGGGATCGTCGAGATCACCAATCGGGCCGCGTCCCTGCAGCCAAAACACTTGGATTTCGGACAAAGTGACAAGAGGGGGAACGAAAATCAAGCCGGTGTCCATGGGGAGGGCCTGAAAGTCGCTCTATTGGTTTTCCTACGCCGAAACCATCGCGTCCGTTGCATCAGCGGCAACGTCATGTGGAACTTCAACTTCACTACCGCTGGCAAGCTCGTCGCGAGGCTCAATAAAATGCAGCAAGAAGCCGTCATCAGAGAGAAGCGCTCTGCAAAGAAACTCAAGGATGACCATGCTGTTCCTTTTCAAGTGTCTCCCTATCATGACGTGAGATTCTTCATTGGCGAAAAGGGCAAGGGTAGAGATGGGATTGGTGAATCAACACAACGGCAGCACGTTTCGTTGGAGACTTTCAACACGTGGTGCCGCTCAGCCTTGTTCTTGCGTGACCTTCCCAACCAGGAGGAAACGCTCATCACAACGAAGCACGGCGAGCTTATCCTTGATGTTTCAGTCCAGGGAAACCTCTACCTAAAAGGCCTCTTGCTCATGGAGTCCAACCCTGATTACTCCGCAAGCATATCAGGACGGCCGCTCAAGTACGCATACAATTTTCGGCATGGCGCAACCAACCGAGACAGAAAATCTATCGCAAGCTCAAATACAGAATGCTGGACGATTCTCAACATCTGGAATGACGCGTTGCAACAGAAACCAGACCTCATTGCGGCCCTACATGAGATGCTTCTCTCCACAGATCCTGGATATGCGGATGTGCACTTGGCTGAGTCGCTCATGGGAATTGAGTTGGCAAAGAAATTGAGAGACCATCTCTTTTCTGATCAGTCTAAATGGTACTATTCCGATAAAGAGATTTCCGAGGTATGTTTATGACCACTCGATGATAATTTACCCTTTCCAAATCCCCATTTTGAGCTCCCTAACCAACTATGCCACGGTACAGGATCCTCGCCTCAAAACGATCATACAGGGATTGGGCCGTACGGGATCCAGGCTTCCTGATTCCTACTGGTCGATTTTATCCAGATTGCATCTCATCCACACTGCGAAGGAAGAGCAGGAGGACCAGTTTTTGAAGTCAAGAATCGCAATGGTGCCAGCGGACAAGTTTGCCGAGAGTCTCAGCAAGGTTCTCCGCTCATGTATACAAGGGATACCTGCCGCAGCCCATATCAACGTCGAGTTTGTCCAGGCGGGTCAACTCCGCCTCCACACTTATTTCAAAGATGTCACTTTCAAAATTCACCAGAGATGGCTCGATAATGACCAGGTAGTGAGAGAGCTCGGGCTACCCAGCGACGTCCCGGAAAGCGACGTGCTCTTCCATGCCATCCAATGGCTGGTCAGAGAGCTTATTGACCAGATGCCCGAAGGCCAATTCGCTGGAACCGAAGACCACACCGTAGAATGGGACAAGAAAAGGGTCACCAACTGTGCTGTTCAGAGGCTGTTTGAATACATCAACATCAACAATAGTGTCACGCTACATCAGACTCCGTCGGAGGACGCGAGCAAGCTCATTCTGGAATGGAATCGCTTCTCGTCATGGTGCCAAGAAGCAGTGGTCAATGTACAGCTGCATCATAAGGCCAGTTGCCAGGAAATTCATGATCGCCTTCTCTCCAAAGAATGTCAGTTAAATCCTTTCTCCGCAGAATAGCGTACTTACACCATATACTAACGCTGTTACCTCCGACACATAGTTGATCCAGAGAAATTGCCTTGTAAAAAACTACAAGAGGAGCCAGCAGAAGACGTCAAGCCAACGGCTTGCTTTTCGATGAATGTCCAGCCGGGACTTGGCTCTTACTCCTTCGAGAATCTGACCCGGGGCTCAGAGTACTTTGGTGTTATCGTCAAGCAAAGCGAACCAGACTCCATTGCCTTAATATCAGAAATGTGCAAGCTCCCCCGCCTGCCTGCAGAAGTAATCGATCTCACTATGGATGAGGTTCCAGCACCTACACAATCCGAGATTACTCTTCATTTGCCGGTAAACCAGTCCCAGAGCGACGAAGACCAAGTGTCTCTCGCCTCCATCGACGACGTGCGAAGTGGCTCAGAGTACGACGACGAGGAAGAAGAGGCACCATCATTCTGTAAGTGCTTGATGATTTCTTTTAACTCTTGACATAATATACTAAGAAGAGCCCAGGCGCTGTAAGACCGATCGAGAATCTGGACATTCTTCAGCCTCGTGATTGGTACGAGGCACGATCACACAATGTGGAGGGTGCCGTTATAGGGATCCTCAAGCCTAAATCGACAAGAGGCCGCAAACGACAACGCGAACAACACGAGGCTCTCCCACGGCCCAAGCGAGTTGCTAAGTCTACGCGCATCGGGCGACTCAGAGATATCTCACGCGACTCTGCGGACCCGCCCTCTCTCAGCTCCATGTCCAGCTGAATTAAGTAATGGACCTTCTTTCATGGAGCATCAGAGAGCTCAGTGGTTGGCAATATATGTTGTTCGACCGCGGATTAAATGACTCAAATGGGATGCCGGGGTTTTGTCTACTATTCTCTAGATGAGGCGTTTCAAGGGCCTTTCTCTCTTTTAGCCAGTCCGATAGGTAGCGATGCGCTAGATTGCCAGACACTCATGGTGTATTCAGAGGTGGGCCATGATCAGTTCATAGCTACGTGCATTACATACACTAGTCATAGGATACTTCTTTTCCTCATCGATCCTTATCTACTTGCCCTCCAAAAAGGCATCGGTAAGGCCTTGTATCTTGCGAATAGCCTGTCAAGCGGGTGACATTGAAATTGAGACACTCAAACATTGAAATTGAGACACTCAAACATTAAGCTGCTTATTGTCAAGTCTACGACCGGTATTATCACGTTATTAGTACCCAATAATATATACTCTAAAGATAATCGTAGATATTATTACTTTTTCTTTTTCTTAATACTCCTAAGTTTCTCTTTTCTTTATAGAAAGTAGTCGGTTAAGAACTATTTTCCCCTCAGGTGTCTTATTTCTCCTGTCACCCACTTGCCTGTCTACCCAAACCACCCCTAATGCACCAGGGAGGTCAAGCCTAGATCGAAGTTGCCTCCAGGGCAGATCGCGAGTCCTCTCGTTGTGGCGCAATGATCGTCTGGGGCTCTTCGAACAGGGGTCTGTCTTGTATTTTCTCAGCCGCTCGGGCTTGGCTGGGTTTAGCTAAAGAGGACTCGAGCTACAAGAGGGATGGCCTCATCTAGGATCAGCAGGGGGTGGTCAGCAGCTCTGCGAAAGGTTGAGGTCCAGCGGGTGTTCGGCAGCACATTTGCGTGACATAGCCCTGCCAGAACTTGTAGGCGAGCCTCTTTGCTCCCTCCTTCTTGGACGCTAAGGCAGACGCCTGACAGAAGGAAGAATCGGCAATGGATGCCTCACGTAAAATTCGCTGTGGCTCCAGAGCGGCTTCGAGGCGCCGAGACAGGGATCATGCAGCTCAGTGGGATCACGAAAACACCCCATTGGACACGCCTTTTCAGCTGCTGGGTCTGGTTGCACTGCCAGACTGCCTAACAGACTGAGTGGATGCACTGCCCCTTCTGCCATACAGCCAGGGCGGAAAGACTGAGGGGAGAGATTGACGGCTGTTGGTTTTTGGGATTGTCTAGGCACGGTCCGAAGCCCAGCGATAAAAGTGCGTCAGACCCCAGTTGGCTTCGAGCCGCCACGAGATTCTGTCCAAAGATTGACCAACAATCACAACCCAAATCCACACAGAGGCACAGAGGCGGCTTTTATCGCGCGTCATTTAATTAATTCCGTGTCCGCGTGTACACTGAGCTTGGAACCCACGTCCCCGCCCGCCAGTGATCAAAATGAACGACACTGTTGATGCCGTCGACGGCTTCAGCGTGCTCAATCGAGGGCTCATCTACACCAGTCTGCTGCTGGCTCCTGCACAGGCCGTTGCAGGATATGACAGCAGCGGCTTCACCAGTCTTGGCTTTCTCGCCTTCAACTGGTACCAACAACTGAAATGGTACAATGACATTAGGGCTCACCACCTCCACGCCCTCTCCCTGTTGCCCGTCCACTTCAACACCATCTATTCCATCTCCTACCTCGGCGGCGTAACATCAGGCAACATTTGGATGGGCATCCTCCTTGGCCTTGGCACAGCCGGCGTCATGATACTCAACACAGTCGCAGCCTGGATGTCCTGGGCCACAAACCAGGAAGCCGGTTATGGCGAGTACCAGTTCTTCTTCTTCGGCTGGCGCACCCTCACCGACGGCTGGCACAAGTTCATCCTGGTCTGGCAGATTGGCGACTCCTTCTTCGCCTTCACCACCGTCATCGCGTGCCTCGCCATCCCGATCTTCATGGAGATCGAGCGACGCGACCGTGGCGCACAGGAGAAGGCCACATCTCTGCTCAAAGGCTTAAAGACAATCTCCAATCTGCGCTACCCGCTGATCATCGTCGGCTCGGCGGCCATGCTGCTCGTTGCTTGGCCTCTTATCCTCTGGGTGGAGCTGATAATCCAGCGAAACAAGATCGAGTCGGACACGGATTGGATCGCCGTCTGGCTTTTTATTGTCCAGGTGGGACTTCTTATGATCCCGAGCTTTAATGGATATTTTGGATATTTGGCTAAGAGAGCCTGGTCACGAATGTTTTAAGTCACTGATATAGACAAGCAATGATGAGCGAAGGATATTCATTTTCATGAAGGCCTATGGGCTCGCAAGTGGGTGACATTGAAATTGAGACACTTAAATATTCAGCTGCTTATTCTCATGTCAGCGACTGATATTATCAGATTATTGACTACTAATAATCATCAGAGATAATACCGCATGTATTCTCACTTTATTTCTCTTTGATATTACTGAATTTCTTTACGTAGGTATTCATTGCAGAAAGTAGTCGATTAATACCACCCTTCCATTATTATTATGAATCCCGGAGCCAACCCAGCCAGTAAGCCCCGTATCTCGAATTTCAGGCAGCGGCAGAGGCCCGGAAGGTTTTTTAAATGATAATAATATTATTAATTTATTAGGTGCCTCATTCTCCTGTCACCCACTTGGCTCAATATATCTCTCTATTTTAATTTTTCTCCAGGACGATAACTCAAATTAACCCAGCTCTCCCTGCCTATGATAAAACCCGTTCATGCATCCAGTTCACTTTTTTTCTTACAATGTTCTACATCCTTAGCTGTGTCGGGCGAGTCTCTGGTGAAATAATTCCTTCGCTGTGCTTAGAGACTCGAATCACCCAATCGTCCTTCGCCGTCCTGTTGCCCTCAGGTGGGACTGTTGAACAGTAAAACTTCGGTGTCTGCGACTCTTATTACTGCATTCTCACGCCATGCCAAGGTGACGTTCTAGGCTGCGTCACTCTGCATGATTAAATGTACTGTCAGAATAAAGCGAACCACGCGTGGCGGTTCGCTCAGCTTGGGCATCATGATTGGGCTGAAGTGCCGATGTTTCTCCAACCGCCGGCGAGCTGACAACAGCATCAACTTTTGGCTACCTCCGTTGAAGATTCCTGCCATCAAGTAACCATCAAGGTCCTCCTCCATCATGGTGACTGTTAATCGAAATGGTTTCACTCTGCTCGGAAACGGCGTGGCAAAAAACGAGCCGCCACGATGGAAGTTGGTCGAAATGGCTCCCCCGTACCCAAGAGTTCTGCTGACGCGCCCAAGCATCATCTTCATCCATGGTCTTCGGGGCCATCCAAAGAATACGTGGGGCCGAGGCTCTGACGAAGGCCGGGATACCGAACGAGATCCTCCTCCCAAATCTACATCGAGACTCAAAACTTTCTTCAAGCGCGACAAGTCCCGACTCCGATCCGATAGATCCAGTTCTGGCCAAAGCAACCCACAGCCCCGTCCCTTCTGGCCACACGAGTTCATACCCCACGATATCCCCGAAGCCATAGTATGGACGTACGGATACAATTCGGAAGTAATAAGTGGTCTTTTTATGCCAAATAATGAAAATAGCGTATTCCAGCACGGCCGTGATCTTGCTGGGCGGTTTGAGCGGGAAATAAACAACGAGGTCATTCCCCATCCAAGTCCTGTTGAACTTCATTAGCTAAGGCTTCGTAGCATCCAGTTATTTTTGTTGCACACAGCCTTGGGGGCATCATTCTCAAAGAGGTATTTAACTTCCCTGATCTTGACAAGTCTATACTCTAACATGGGATTTTTCAGGCCATACGAAAGTCGCAAGTATGCCGATCAAGAACCAAGCTCATCGTCTTTCTCGGCACTCCTCATCGTGGGAGTCGCGCTGCTGGCTGGGGAGTGACCGCAGCCAAGCTGGCGCGCCTTGCCTTTTCTCCGAACATAACGCTCGTGGAGTCCCTCGACGTAAACAGCCTTGCACTTGATACGATACATGATGAATTCATAAACATTGTGCATGATTCACAACTACAAATTCACTCTTTCCAGGAAGGGCGGCCCATGTCGACAATTCCAGGACATGTTGAGAAGGTTCGATCTGTTCAAGAACTTGATTCTGGGACCAGCATATTGACCAGTCCTTAGATTGTTGACGATTTCTCATCAAGGCTTGGCCTGCCCCATGCTTTCGAGAAGGTTGAGACGCTCGATGCTGACCATAAGCAAATGGTCAAGTGCACAGACAGGGAAGATGACCGCTATCGAATTATTCGTGCTGTTATACAGCATTTCATCCACCGTCCACCGGTAGAGGCAAGCTCGGCTACAAGAATCACCAACATGACAGCCTCGCTCTCTTTAGAAGCCAGAGCACCTCACTTAGACGCCATAAAAACAGGTAGGCTAACCGTCCAATTCTTTCGATGGCGTTTGCTTACCTCTCTTAGACCGGGTGTTCTTTTGCATTCCGTTCATGTTGAACCCCCGCTTTGTAGGACGGGACGACATTCTATCTAAGATCTCGACAACCCTATTCACCAACAACGGATACAACAGGCTTGCCCTGGTTGGCTTGGGGGGCATCGGTAAATCGCAGATCGCCATCCAGTTTGCGTTCTGGGTCGAAGAGAACAAGCCCGAAGTTTCGGTCTTTTGGCTTTCGGCGCTGAGCAAAGCCAGCTTTGAGCAATCTTGCCGGGAAATCATGACACAATGCGACATTCGTCAATCTTCTGCGACTGATGATGCCACGGCATTAATGCAGCAATACCTAAGCTCCAAAGCTTCTGGGAAATGGGTTCTTATTCTGGACAACGTAGACGATGCGCAAATTCTTGGACGACCGATACATCACTTCCTCCCCAAAAGCAGGGATGGATTGATGCTTTTTACGACACGGTCTCAAGAGATCGCCAGTGATCTTGCTACCAGCGAGGTCATCAGAATTCCCGAGATGTCCCCCGTGGAGGCGAAAAGATACCTGGAAAGGTTGCTTATTCAGAAGGACTTAATTGAAGATGAAGCTGCCACGGGAGCCCTATTACGAACACTCACTCATTTGCCTTTGGCAATTACTCAAGCTGCAACATACATCAACAGAAATAGTGTTTCAATTGCCCAATACCTTGACTTACTCGACCAAGCCGATGGGAATATGGTTGAGCTTCTCAGCAGTGAGTTTCCAGATGAAACAAGATACCCTGAAAGCGCAAATGCCGTGGTTTCGTCCTGGCTCGTGTCTTTCAATCAAATTAGCGAGATAGACCCAGTTGCAACCAGATTTCTCTTGTTCCTAGCCTGGATCGAGCCAAAGGCAATCCCTAAATCCATATTTCCAGAAGAGTCTGAGATCCAGCTATGCCGAGCAATTGGGACACTTCTAGGATATGGGTTCTTGTCGCAACGAAAGGATAATGATATATTTGATATGCACAGCCTCGTTCACTTGGTGACTCGGACGTGGAATAGCAACCGTGGGGTAGATGTGTGTCCTTTGAGAGAAGCCATGTCTCAACTCATTATGGTCTTCCCAAATGTCAACTGGGAGAATCGCGAGATATGGAGACAATATCTTCCTCATTCATTGCGGGCTCTGCAAAATGCTGCTACGCTCGACCATGAAGGGTCCTGTTTGGGGCATTTAGTTGGAATGTCCCTTAATATAGATAGGCGCGATCAGGAAGCAACTGAAGTGCTTGAGAGTGTGTTACAATTCCGGAATGAAGCTCTTGCAGAGGACCACCCAGACCGCCTAGCATCACAGCATGCACTCGCAACTGCTTATCGAGATAACGGGCAGGTGAAAGAGGCAATTAGCCTACTAGAGAAGGTGGTTTTTATTGAATCAAGTCTTCTTACAGAGGACCACCCGGACCGCCTAGCATTACAGTATGCACTCACAACTGCTTATCGAGATAACAGGCAGGTAAAAGAGGCAGTTAGCCTACTAGAGAAGGTGGTTTTTATTAAATCAAGTCTTCTTACAGAGAACTACCCGGACCGCCTAGTATTACAGTATACACTTGCAACTGCTTATCGAGATAACGGGCAGGTGAAAGAGACAGTTAGCCTACTAGAGAAGGTGGTTTTTATTAAATTAAGTCTTCTTACAGAGGACTACCCGGACCGCCTAGTATTACAGCATACACTCACAACTGCTTATCGAGATAACAGGCAGGTAAAAGAGGCAGTTAGCCTACTAGAGAAGGTGGTTTTTATTGAATTAAGTCTTCTTACAGAGGACTACCCGGACCGCCTATTATCACAGTATAAACTCGCAACTGCTTATCGATATAACGGGCAGGTACAAGAGGCAATCAGTCTACTAGAGAATATAGTCTTAATCAGGTCAGATCTTACAGAGGACTACCCGGACTGCCTAGTATTACAGTATACACTTGCAACTGCTTATCGAGATAACAGGCAGGTAAAAGAGGCAATTAGCCTACTAGAGAAGGTGGTTTTTATTGAATTAAGTCTTCTTACAGAGGACTACCCGGACCGCCTAGCATTACAGTATGTACTCGTAAGTACTTATCGAGATAATGGGCAGGTACAAGAGGCAATCAGTCTACTAGAGAATATGGTCTTAATCAGGTCAGATCTTACAGAGGACCACCCGGACCGCCTAGCATTACAGTATGCACTCGCAACTGCTTATCGAGACAACGGGCAGGTGAAAGAGGCAGTTAGCCTACTAGAGAAGGTGGTTTTTATTAAATCAAGTCTTCTTACAGAGGACTACCCGGACCGCCTAGTATTACAGTATACACTTGCAACTGCTTATCGAGATAACGGGCAGGTAAAAGAGGCAGTTAGCCTACTAGAGAAGGTGGTTTTTATTGAATCAAGTCTTCTTACAGAGGACCACCCGGACCGCCTATTATTACAGTATAAACTCGTAACTGCTTATCGATATAACGGGCAGGTACAAGAGGCAATCAGTCTACTAGAGAATGTGGTCTTAATCAGGTCAGATCTTACAGAGGACCACCCGGACCGCCTAGTATTATAGCATGCACTTACAACTGCTTATCGAGATAACAGGCAGGTAAAAGAGGCAATTAGCCTACTAGAGAAGGTGGTTTTTATTGAATCAAGTCTTCTTACAGAGGACCACCCGGACCGCCTAGTATCACAGCATACACTCGCAAGTACTTATCGAGACAACGGGCAGGTACAAGAGGCAATCAGTCTACTAGAGAATGTGGTCTTAATCAGGTCAGATCTTACAGAGGATCACCCAAGCCGCCTGGTATCACAGCATGAACTCGCAGGTGCTTACCAAGATAACGGGCAGGTACAAGAGGCAATCAGTCTACTAGAGAATGTGGTCTTAATCAGGTCAGATCTTGCAGAGGACCACCCGGACCGCCTAGCATCACAGCATGAACTCGCACTTGCTTATGAAGATGATGGGCAGATCAGAAAAGCGATCAAGCTCCAGGAGCAAGTGGTCTCCATAAAGCAGAGGACACTTCCAGAGGACCACCCAAGCCGACTCGTTTCGGAAGGAAATCTAAAATCTTTTCATCAAGGTTATCGCCGATAAGCCATCAGACACTTATTTCAAGTGCAAAGACTTTAAGGCTGTTCTGTATATAAAGCTATTCAAGGATTGAGAAGAAAAACGGCAGGGCCCAGAAAGAATACCGGGGTTTTATTTCAGTGTTTAAGAATCTCTCAGATTGAACAAACTGGATTTAGTAAACTTAGAACCAGCGCATATAGTTAATAAATACCTACTTTACTGCCCTAGTTTACCTTAATATACCTACCATCAACAGCCGTGCTATCCGAGCCAACTCTTTTTCCGTTATGTCACCTAGAGTAGTCTAGATGTATTCAACAGAAGCTTATCTAGTCGATCAACGGCTATTTATTGTGCCACAGTAAGGGGTGTTGCGGGCACGGAAAAATTAAGCAAAGAAAGCTAGTTAAGATTTAAATATTATGGAAAGGAGGCATCTTATGAGGAAAAAATCCCTCCTGAATTCTCGAAATGAGTTTTCCAAACGGCCTGAAATATTGCCAGGGTTGCCAATCCTTTTACCTGGAACACTAGTGCCTCACAACAGACTTCGGTAGTGCTTGCTCACATGGAGTATCTTGTAGCCGGTAAACGAAACATTTCCGTTGCTCTTGAGCTCTATCCCCTCCCAAGCTACCCCACTGTACTTTCGTTCATGCCACATGAAGCTGGGGTTCAATCCTCCTGATGAAAGATACAATATCGGCGTTCTTGGAATGATAAGATGGAGAGAAGCAAAAGGAAGAGAAAGGACGTTATTTACTTTTCAGCCTCGTCATTCTTTTGTCAAATTCCAAATGCCCATTCTCGAGATCAATAAAAGCAAACTTTCAGTCTGGCTTATAGCAAGACTTCTCACAGTCTGCCAGCCTTCAAGGGACCATCACCTTGTCGGTGGCCCGGGCAACCCCCTGCTTCTTCACAGTTTCATCACCCAACGACTGCATGGTAAAGCAAATATTTTCGACATCCAGCAGCGAGTAACCCTTTTCAATACACGATTCGCAGTTACGACCATCAACGATGCGCTACAGCTTCACTTTTCCTAGTATAGCCAGAAGATTCCAGGTCTAGTGCCCCGCGCAGCTACCATTGTCTTTCCTGCCCTCCTGCTTTGGTCAGGCATGATGATAGCGTCGATATTTACCTCCAAAGTTGCTACTACTATTGGCGCTGGCGCAAGCCGATGTTTAGGGCTTCATCAGAGATCCATAAGCATCTCAGACTGAGGAACCAACAATAGAGCAATTACCCCGGATTGATCAACAATAATGGCAACCATGAGAAGCTTTATCTTGGTCCCTGCCCCGATGATGCCGAGGATATATTTCAGCAAGACTACCACATCCTCCAATATCCCCATATAGACGAAGCGGCTTCGCGTAGTTCAATTCGTCGAGAGCATCAAAGATCAAGCCATAAAGTCAGAAAGACTTTTGTATCAGCCAAGCTTTCTGGCGACATAAGGTCCAACACCATTTTTGATATTATCACCAATCGATAACGTTTGTGCGCTCTCAGTTGAGTGGATAATATAGGTAGCGCCACAAAGGGATCCCATGTAGATTTGTACGTGGTTCAAAAAAAAAAAGAAACTGCACATATTGGTTGCCATGCTGAAGTTGGCGGACCGTGGGATCCATTGCGTGAGGTGGCTGAAGATAGGTATCCTCAAGTAAGCAAGCTGTAAACAAGCCGTGCTATGGCAGTATTGCTATTGAAATCCCACAATGTCGATAAATCATAGGGTCCTCATTAGCTCTGAGAGGGATTGGACAGGGAAATTGAGAACTAGGAATAGATGCACAATTCAATTATCACATAGACGCTCTGGGCTCATCCACATTGAACTATGAACCTGGAAATCGTTGGTTTTATGTGTGAACAAATGGAGGTCGGGAAAGAATCAGGGGATGACTAAAGAGAACCGTGTTGTTAGACATGCAGTACCATGGCAGTACCATCCCTCGGAGGATCTAGTAAATCTCGCCTGACTAGAAGAGATTCCTACCCATCCTTCACTAAAGACCCTTTGATGTGTATGGCCAGTATCCTGCAAGGGGGTGGGTTCTTGGTGTGACAAACAACCAAAGTGCTTCAAGCCACCCGAGAATGCTGCTCGACATCTATTGATATCCGTATGCCGTAAGGGGCCAACTTCGTAATATGCTGATCTCATGACTTTATGCTATTCTAAAGGAATAGCATAAAGAATTGAAATTAGTCAATTAGATCGCTCGGGGGGGGGACCTGGGATCACTGTTACAAATATAGTTCCCTATATATGGTTGCCTCATTACTTATAGTCTCTATTAATGATTTTCTGGTCATTTATTCTTTCTTCCCTATCGTCTTCTCTTCTCCACCCAATTCGACTTCATTATTTATTCCCATCTGCCAGATTCATATTCATCTTTATGAAATTTGCATTCAGTATTTGTTTACTATTATACTGTGTACCATTATACAATATACTAGCTAGGCCATCTAAACACGCATCAATTTAGCAAATCGGAATAATGCACTTGCTACGATGTCTAATCCTCGCTTGCTGCTTTCTAGGCTTGGTGCAATGCGTTCTTGAGCAACGCCTCCTTCATACTGTCGCTGCTGAGGGGCAGACTGTTCTACAGATCGCTAGTCTGGACAATCCAACTGGGACAGTGTGGCATAATTCGATTCCTGCACCTACTGGCGAAATGACTTTGGCCCGTCTATACGGCGAGGCCAGCAAGCCATTCAACTGGGTTAAGACTCAACCAAATGCGATGACATAAAAATCAGGCACTCTGATAGTAGCTGCGTTTTACGATGACAAAACTAAACAAATATATTTATCTACTATCCTCCGAGGCAAATACCTGGCTTTGATTAATTCTGAGGGAGGTAAAGCTCCAGTTTGGTCAAAAGCGCGACAGAAGAGTACAGCTGACGATGCAGAGGACGGTGCATTCTATTACGGAGAGGCTTTAAGGCTTCCGGTTGGCATCGGCTTCAACTACGGAGATCCCATGACAGGCAATTAATCGGGTAGCTTGATTGTGGCTTGGGGCATGAAAGTCCAGAATCCCGCAAGTCTGAGTATGGCTGAAGGGAAACCGCAGCGCCTGTGTCTGCAATGCCAAGCTCTATCGTACGAATTGGGTGTTTACTTCGACGACGCCAACCGAGCCAAGTTTGGCAAGAAAACTCCCCAGCATGATCCCAATAAGCCCCAGCCCTCGAGTGCCCCTCCGCCCAGCCGTATCCCTGTTCCCGTGAAGAAATCACCCTGCGGCTCCTATGATAATTGTTTCCTTGACGACATGAGCCCAAGCGAGCTTGATGAGATACTTGAAGGAGTTGGTGGCAAGAGATCTGCCAGCCAGTCGCCTCTGGGCTCAGGACAACGCAAACCGAAGAGCCCTAGTACTACATCTTCCAGGATTCCTGTCGTAATTCCGCGCAAAACGACGCCTAAGCGCACCAAGAGTAAATCGCCTTCCAGGCAAACCAAGCGTGCTCCGAGTCGAGCTCCTAGGCGAAGAACGCCCCACTCCTGAAGCATGAGCAGGAAGCTTCGAAAGCTGAGGTCTCCTCTAGTGGTAGCCAAACGCTCAAGGAAGCCATTTATCTAAGTATGGGATAGTCGGGGTGATGAGTTAGACCTAGAAATATAATAGTTAGCGGACAGAGAGAGGGAAGGGGAGAGAGAGAGTCTATCTAAAGTTATGATATGAAACTTCATATCCGATCATTAGGAAGGATCGAGGTTAAAAAAAGGCAGTCCACTCCAGTCTCGTTTATGTCTTGTCGGCTTTGTAGTTGCGATTGCAATGCGTTATGAGAGGAGCCCAATCCTTGACTCTGTCACATGCCCATGAATACACTTCTTCCACTTTCACATAGTGTTCGCGGTGTAAAGGCACTTTAAATCTCTTTCAATCGCGCCCACGCTTGTTCGGCATTCAAAGAGATGTCTATTTCAGCAGGTTCCGAAACGCCAAACATGTTCTCCTTAATGCTTTTCAGAGAGTGCACTACCATTGCCACCTTGATTCATGCGGCATCCGGGCTTGCGTGCTGCCATCCGCAAACAAACGTGAGTCTTTTGAAGGAGAAACTGGTTAGTCCGGCTGGCCGCCTGACGAGATATTCCAACTAACCAGCATTCCTTGAAATCGAAGAGCGAGAGTTGGAAGAAGTTGGCTCTCTACGCAGGTCAGTCAGAGGATCCGAATATAAAAAGGGGAGAAACGGTTTGCAAGCGCGCAGCACGTGCTGGGTCAGTTGCATATCACATGGCTGTGGGAAATATGAACCTCCGCGACTCGTAGAGCGTGTTTTATGGTGTGCTGTACGACTTCACCAGCAAATCTAAATTGTTAAGGAATGCTGGCGATGCCTCAGTGAGCCATGGACTAAGGCCACTTTCCAGCCCTGCCTTGTTTTCTCGTGCGACCATAGAATCTTGCATTTTCCGAGGACTTTCTGTCATTCACATGACCACGGCACATTATTCGTAAGTGATCGACCAAAACGTGTTTCGAGGTGCACCCCTCATTGGCCGGCATTTCCGAGGTGCTTCGCGAGGCAGAATCAGTCTCTTGGCACATACAGTGGCCCTCAGCTCCTCAGCTCCTCAGCTCCTCAGCTCAGTCATGCAAGCCTTCTTATTACGGGCCTGCAGTCTATTTAGTCTGAGAGTGCAACTGCTGGCTATTCCCAACATAGCCTAAGGCAAATTATTACAAGCAAGTAACGTCAATTCTAACCACTAGAATCTTCACCAGATCCGCTCAATATCACTACATGGAGGCTCTTGGCGCCGTCGCTAGCAGCATAACATTGCTGGAGGTGTCACTCAAAACCTTAGGCTTCGTGAGGCAGATCTCCGAGGTCCAGGAGGACTTTGCAAACCTGAGAGAAGAGGTAGGCGCCCCGTGGGGGACGGTTATTGTAGGGATTTCTCTAAGAAACAAGCCACAAGATCATTACGATCAATACCCTTATCCAGGACTTGCAGTCTCTGCCGGTCCTTTTTCATCGCAATCCATCCTCCCTAAAGGCAGCTGAGCCAAGATCAATCTTCCGAGCAGCTAGCCAATTGCGACAAATTAAGGATGACCTCGAAAATATCGCAGCGTATTGCGCAGCCAATCCGAACAACGGGACCGCATCCCTTGCAAGAAAGCGAAAATGGGTGCTAAAGCAGAACAGAATATCCAAGCTTCTTGTCAAGGCGCGTGACGCGAAAGAAAATGTCCAAGTAGCCGTTAACCTGCATCTTGCTACTCTGTTTGCCCTTCAATCTATGACAGACAGCACGTGAGAAATTTACAAATGGTCGTGATGCTGGGCAGTACTAATATCAAAATTTATCAGATCTCACTCGGAGGGCACATCAATGATCCTGTCTCCAAGAGGTGTACAAAGCCTTCCCACGAAGGGTTTACATTTACGAGTCGATGGGTACACGGTGGGGAATCATCAGGACGCGAAACTCAAGCCCCAAGAGAAGATATCAGAGTCAATCGCCGTTTCTGGAGAACCGCCGAATGATTTGGCACCGAGCCCAGGTAGGAGGCCAATTGTCAACCCCCCAGCCCAAAAAGCTGCCTTCGAATTCAGGCCTTCAGGTCAAAACTCCAGATGTACCGTTGAATTTCAACCAGCACGCTCTCCGGCATGCCAATGTCGGCCTCTTCTACACCGATATCGCTATCCCGGGCCAGCCGTCTTACAATTACTTCTCGGAACAGTAGGATTTTCTCATTCCCATGACTGTGAGGGCTTAAACTTCGCTTGTCCAACTTGTTCTCGTAAAACCGCTCAAGAAACCTCGATAAACGTCGAGTACAAACTTCCAAAATGGCTTTGGGCCGGGGTATTGTTGCTCAAAGCCTCTTTCAGCAGCTCTGGCTTGCACTTTGCATTGCGCCCAGCTCGGGTCGTCGACTCCAACCACGTTATATGGCGCCATATAGAACGACCAACGACTGATTCCGCTCTTTTTAACGAACTTACATTCTATCCTGAGGACCAGAATGAAGCAGGGCAAGGACTGATTGAGGTGAGAAAATGATTGAAAGTTCAATGAATCGCATCTAAAGCAGTGTAGTACGCCATAAGCTACCGCTCATTCAAAGTGGTTGAGAAATTTATTCTAAAATGGGAGGGTTTAATTTCGAATCAACGGCTGCCGACGCAAGTCACATACGGCTAGGAGAACATATCGGATCTGACAGTTCGCAGAAGAGTTGCCTCCCAGATTCACCAGGCTTTAGATTGGGGCCATTGCCAAGCGGATGAAGTCAACATCCTCAGCAAGGTCCTTTCAATCATTGATGATGTGCCGCAGTACAATACAACCCTGGTACACTTGGCGACCCTCGGGGAACTGGAGATGATGGAGGCCTTGGAGGAAGAGCCCTGGGCAATTGATCAGCCTGATCGTTACGGAATGGCTCCCATACACTACGCGAGTATGGACGGTGACTTGGAAATCCTGAAAATGCTGATTTGGGCAGAAGCCGATGTCAACATATCAGATCTTGACGGTTTGACACCTCTCATGTTTGCAGCATTGAACGGTGATGTCGACTGTGTCCGTCTCTTGGTAGACAGCGAATGCAACATTGAACAAAGGTCGCATACCGAATTCCGAGCCATACATTATGCGGCGCAATTTTGTCAGCCGAGATCAGTTCTCGCGTTGGTTGCAGCAGGCGCTTCAGCCTCAGCTCGCGGCTGGCTTGGACAGACACCTCTACACCGACTAGCCCGATGCGAAATGAACACCAGTTTCGAAGCCATCAAAGAAACAATCTCATCTCTCCTAGTCAGCAAAGGGGTGAGCATTGACGCTCGGGATTCGAATGGAGACACGCCCGTTTTCCGCGCAATTGCCAAAGGCAACATTCCAGTATTACGATGTCTGGTTGAGGCTGGGGCTTCTCTGCTTCCGGTGAATGACCGCTCAAGAAATATACTCCACATGGTCGCTATGTATCCAGATGATGGAATCTTGCGATATCTATTAAGCCTTGATTCTGGGGTTTTCTTCGGTATCAACACCGAGCATCGAGATGCTGATGGCCGCACATCCATGGACCTCGTCCCCATCCATGACCCTGGTGCAACGCAGAGCCCCCAGAGGATGACTGAATGTGGATCTGTAAGGCAAGAGATTCAAAAATTAGATTGCCTCGTTCGATATGCAAATCTGAGGCATCGAAGTGAACAACTGCGCACGATTATTCGGCTGGTGGACCAAAAACAAGCGTCATGCGCCAGATTGCAACTTGCACATGTGATCAATGAAAAAAAGGAATGGGGACAACTTGAGTGGGCTTCTTGGTACCGCGGAATTGGCCAAATGATACAGGCGCTAGACTACGACAAGGTTATTATTGCTCTTGAAGATGATGTACAACAGTTGACTGCACAGATTGGGACTATCGCGGCCGCTGGAATGAGCAATGAGGGTGGTGTTTCAGAAATTTTCAATTGGATCCAATGATGGAGAAGCTAAAATTGATCTTGGCCCAAATGAGTCTTTTGTTTGTTCATGGATTCATGTTTACTAAGGAGTTATCAAGAGCAGAAATTGTCATGAGATGAACAAGCAAGTGGGTGAAATAAAACATTGGCCACCGAGATAGTTCAGCATTGAATTTCAACACAATATCAGAATAAGTAACCTGGTACTGCATACAATATCAAACTGAATATCATAGAATAGTTTATTATTCTCTTATTATTGTGTTTAGCTAAAAAAACAAGGTCCCTGCCTTACACGGAAAGAGCTTTGGTGTGCCACGTTTTATTTCACCCACTTGACAAGATAACCCCTGGATTCCATTCTATACTTTCATTGCTCCTTCTACTTGAAAGCGCAATTAACGAGCAAAATCTCAGAAATCTGCGAATGTATAAGATTCAATAATTCATTCAAACGCTTTGACGGAGAATTCAAGATGCTCTCATGCGTGTCCAAGGTAGGGAATTCGTCAAAACCGTGCTTGGTTGGTACGAAGCACGTCCCACACCTACGCTACGAATCACGTTGCTAGGTTAACAACTTCATATGAAAGTAGCTAGAACAACTGACTAGGATGCTTGTCTCTCAACGGAGTCGGTGTTATTGTTGGCCCGGTTCATGGGCAGATGCTCTGACACGCTCAACCTACAATCTAAATCCGGCTCTCGGCGATTAAAGTGCCGCCGCCCCATCACATGAGATGTAGAGATTGATAAGATCAAATACGAAATCTCCACTTGGTGTGGTTTCTAGTGCAAGCTTCTCTCAACCGCCAAGGTTCGTGGAAAAGACGGGTAAATCTGCTCGACAGTGAGCCAATCCCGTTGGAGCAGCTACACTCCGGCTACTAGCCTGCAATTTTCAACGAGTTTATATATGCATGACTGGGGCCGAAAATGACCACTTCTACATGATGGTGGGGAGGAAACTCGGCGAGGACCCTCCTCGACCCCTTGCCAATACTGTGCCGGTGATCCTAGTAATGCATTCTACCCTCCTCAGCCGGTATGCAAAAGCTCTCCTTAGCGGTGTTTGCAAGGATCTGTTTGGCCAGATGAAAACGGAACGAGCAAACAAACCGCGCATAGAGTCAAGTCTTCCAGGCAAACACCACCATCCGTTGCCCCATTTTACCAAAATGAACTTACCTAGGAATAGCAGGAGACTGGTGCAGTCCTCAAATACAAAATGTCCACTCGATTCCCTTGATTATTGATTTACTTTACTTCTGGTAGAGCTCTATTAGATTAGCACGCTTTAGTAGAATCCAACAAACTCTCATTTAAACGCTTTCACCATGGCCTCCGATCCCAAAGACAGGAGAGCTAGCCCGACCTCGGGTCAGAAGCTCCAGCCTTATGAAGACACAATCCGAGATGATTTAGAGAATCAAGAAGAGAAGCTCCCTGGAGTTATTCACATGGAAGCTTTCAACGACCAGATAACCCTTACAGAGAGATACGTCCTTTTCTCTAGCATTTTCATCATAGGATATGCTTTCGGCTTGGATGGGCTTGTTCGGTCCACGTATCAAGGATACGCAACTTCTTCCTACTCTCAACATTCGCTGCTCTCGACCATCAACGTCATTCGCGGAGTTATTGCCGCGGCGGTCCAACCTTTGGTTGCTAAACTTTCTGATCTACTCGGCCGCCTACCTTTATTCATTATTGCTACGCTTTTCTACGTTGTCGGAACAGTGGTCGAAACGTGTGCCACCAGAGCAGATCACTTTGCCGCTGGCGCCCTCTTGTACCAGATCGGATACACATGCACTCTCCTGGTATTCGAGATAATCATTGCCGATATCACTTCAATCCGCAGCCGAGTCTTTTTCGTCTTTGTACCAAATATGCCTTACCTTATCAACGCGTGGATAAGCGGTGATGTAGTTGCAGCTGTGCTAAGAACCACCACTTGGCAATGGGGCATCGGGATGTGGTGTATCATTTATCCCATCTGCACCATTCCCTTCATTGCAGTGATGGCTATTGTTGGACGTCGCGCTTCAAAAGAAATTCCAGACAAGGCTAAATCGGCACTCTCCAAGGGCCAGAACAAATTTCAAATGCTGGTGGATCTCTTCTGGAAGCTTGACATCGTGGGCATCCTTCTTCTTACTGCAACTCTATCTCTTACACTCATCCCTCTCACGCTAGCTGGGGGAGAGAAACAAAAGTGGAAGACCGCCGGCATCATCACGCCTCTAGTTCTAGGCTTTGTCATGGTATTTCTTTTTGCCTCTTGGGAATGGAAGACCGCGCATCCAATGATGCCGAGATATCTCCTCCGGGAAAGAGGCATTTGGGCAGCGCTTTGTGTCGCCGTCTTCATGACCTTTTCCTGGTACACACAAGCCGACTTCCTCTATACCGTGTTATTAGTAGGATTTGACTTTAGCATTGCTGACGCCACACGCATTGCCTCTGTCTACAACTTCTGTGCTGTGTTTGGGGGAGTATCTCTCGGTTTGATCATCAGAAAGATCCGAAGACTGAAACCCTTCATTATTGGAGGTATCGGTCTCTGGACTCTGGCATACGGTCTTCTCGTCAAATTTCGCGGAGGCGCCAATCCAAGTGCAAAGGCGGGCGTGATCGCCGGCCAGGTTTTGCTAGGCTTGGCTGGCGGGTTCTTCCCGTACCCCAATTTGGCCGCAGCTCAAGCTCTAACCAAGCATGAGGACATAGCAGTGATGACCAGTATCATGCTCACCATGAACAACGTTGGAATGGCTCTCGGGAATGCGGTTTCGGGAGCTATCTGGACCCAGACTTTGTACGCACAACTTCAAAGAGACCTGGCTCCCAATACCCAGCTTGCGGAGCAAGTCTACGCTTCGCCTTTATACGTGGTTCCCAATTTCCCTGTTGGTTCTTCCGAGCGCGCGGCTATTATTGAAAGCTATCGATACATCTAACGGCTCCTGACCATCACGGGCATCTGTTTGGTGGTTCCGATGCTGGCCTCTGCGCTATGTTTGAGGGATACAAGACTACCAAAGCCCAAGTCATCTCACTAAGAGGCTTGCTATGACATCCTTTTCTGCACTGTATTAGAGGATCCAACTAGTGTCCATACTGATCTTCTACGGCTTCATCCCAAAGTTTGTGTTCAAGTAATGCCATGAAACCCGAGCTTGGCATGTATCTATCAGCGATTAAGTATATTGAGGTGGGTGTGAAAAACCTCATTTAAAACGGGATATAAGATAGCAGGTATTTCCTCTAGATTAGCTTAGTCCTTTATATAATAGACATTGCTTTGCTTGTTCTTATTTGTTTTAGGTGATTCTGTTCATGAGCGCGGACTTTTAATTTGATCTATCTAGGCTTTGACTGAGTAACATGCCTTATGATCCTAGAGTGAAGCCAGCAGCAGCTAATTATCATCCACATTCCTTGTTATCCGTCCATTCTTCCGCCTGGCTATTGTTCGAGTATATATAAAGCTCCTGCTCGATAATGTCCTGCTCGACGCTCTTCCAAATCTTGTTCGTACCTCTTCGCCTCTTCGTCAGACGGCCTTTGCTTATCTCTTCAGCAACTCGCGATTCTACACAAAATGAACTCCTCCCGCCACCACTAAAAATGTAAATAATGCGTGGCGCCAATGCGTCGATGAAGCAACAGACGCCAACACATTCCTCAAGCTAGAATCCTATGGTCTACATGTTGGGCTACCAATAAAGACTCAATAGAATCATCAATATCCTGCAGGTAAACTCTCAGTGATGTGTACGTCACTCATTGGCCAAGCGCATTGTTGCCTGATTCTAGCCCCTCAAGAGGCGTAAGCTGCCAAGAATACGGCATATACATAGCCTCTGCAAAGTAAGTTCTTCTACGCAAAGATACCTAGCAGTAAGCCAAAGTGTTCGAGGTATTGAACCGTTAAGAATTGGTACTGTTACCTCCCCAACATTGGGGCCGTTTGTACAGTAAATCGCAAAATCCCTCCTGGTCATTCCGGGTGTGCCCTGTGTGCTTACCAAAAAAAATACTACGTGTCGGGCTGTTGCCGTAATTCCCTCGCTAGTATTGTATATAAGGCGACCCAGTGCCGACAAAATCTACTAGTGAAAGCCTTGACTTCATCAGACTCATGAATCCCAAGCTGAGACTCGGCTTATGATTATGCTTCCTCGAAGTACTTGAAGAAAATCTTTAGTCAACCTCCAACGCCCATTTCTCCTCCATTGCCTTCATGGATGCTGCCGGTCTCGCCGTCGGTATTGTGTCCCTCTACCGTGCATGCTACGAATGCTATAGCTTCTTCACTGATGTGAAAAAGGCGGAAGCATCATCTTCTTTTCATATGCGGGAGCTAGAGATTCAGCAGGCCATTCTCAAATCCTGGGGCTTTCATTGGCAAATTCTCAGTGGGGATAGCACCGAGGCAGCACTTCCCAATGACGCTGAACGAGAGCCTACCAAACTTAACAAGTATCTCCTGAAAAACCGGCACAAGGCCGAAGCCGTCTTCAAAACTCTCTCGGCTCTTGTCGATACCCTTTCCGACCAGAAAAAGCTCGTCGGTCGCTATGGCATTCAACTTAAATCAGAATCGGAGATTGTGAGCAATATCGAGTTGATCATCCCGGACACGGCAGCCGTGCAAGTCGGGCCGATCATCACCGAGGTCAGGAACCGTCTTCTACTTTCACCAAACTCAAGTGGGCTATGAAGGATAAGGACAACTTCAAGAAACTCATCACTGACTTAAGAACCCATGGCGACACACTCTATCGCCTCTGTCTTGAGAACGCGGTCCCCTCAATGAACATATATTTCGTCATGGAATGCGTGGCGGGGCAAGAGTCACCACCAGTACTGAAGTGGACTTCTAAGCTTGCGAAAGATCAGGCAGAACTCGATGGCGACTTTTCAATGCGAGAGGCGTACCAGTTGCTGGCGTCGGCGGCGACTCTGAAAGCATCCGTCAATGAGAACAGAGCCAAAGAGGACGCAACCAATGGTGAGACTCTTGCCGCCATTAGTAAAACTCAGCCTCAGATGTTTTGTTTGGGGAAAGGGCTTGCCCTTTACGAAGGGCAGGTCGTCTACGTCGAAATGCGCGACTATCGTGGGCCGCCGCTCGACCTCACCCCTGAGCAGAAGAACCAAATCAAGGAGCAAGCAAAGAAGAAGCGTGATCAAAAGAAGCGGCGCCTCCTCAAAGCAATAGCACTTAAAGACGCTGTCTCGAAAGGTCTTTACTCTGAGGATGACTCGAGTTCGCAGAGCGAATTCGACAGCAGCGACAGTGAGGCCGAGGATGTCGAACCGATTCAAACTCTCAGGCCTGCCGATCCCAAGCTGCGCGCTCTCGTCAAAAACTTCTTCAATACCTTTAATGGTGACAATATGATGAAGAGCGTCCAGGGTCTGGATATCGCCGGCATGATCGACTATACAGAGGGCGAGCAGAAAGGCCACTGCAGCATCCTCTACAAGCTACCTGGCACGACGGGCATCCAAACCCGCCAACGGCCGGCGCAAAACCTGAAACTTCGGCCCCGTGACACTGCTATTACTCCTTGGTACCAAGGGCAAATCGGGTATCAATTCCACCCTGGGTGCACGCTTTGCCCGGCACGCAAGCTTGTGCGTGCCGTGTGTCTGCTTCACTCGAGTGGCTGGCTGCGCAAGAACATACGGTGCTCTACTCTCTCGATAGCACTGTAACCAGTAGCTGATTATCCGCGCATTATGTGGCGCGTCAGGAGGCCCTTGCAGCTTAATTCCTCAGAAAATTCACCCCAAAATTCTAACTAGCATTTGTTTGCTTTATCATGAAAACTATAGACGTAAAAGAAAAAGCGCTCCACTACGAGCCCAGGTTGCCGAGCGTGTCACAAGTCGCTACCTAGATCCGGGACATGAAAGGAAAGTATATACACCCTGAATTAAAGAAGCCATACGTCCGATCTATTGACGGTAGTGCCGACAGCGTTCCTCAATGCCTCAAGGAATAAGAAACAATTCTTTTGAGTAGAAAAACGAGCCTTCAAACATTTGGTTGAACTCAATCTTCGCATTACTCCGAAACCGTGATAAATAACGATAGCAACATAATGCATGACTCTCGCATTCGTCACCCATCAACCCAAAGGACCGGATCTACTACGCATTCGGCGATCACACCGTCTCGGTCCCCTCAAGGCCGACTCTCGGTCAGGCCCCGGACTGCGAGGTCGGACACCTTGGATACCTATGAATCGGACTTTGGTCTTATGACTACTTGCCGAGCTTGCAACTCACCAGCCTTTTCTATGCCCTGGCCACTTCGGACGGTAGGATCAATATTGTTCGATCAGCCCTTGTCTCGCTAGCTGTCGTTGCGCACCGCCTCGGTCTTTGCCGTGGTACACGAAGCCAGAGTGACAGGAATCGAAGATAGAGACCACGATCTTGACCACGAGGCCTCGACGAGGCGGCCACCGAAGGCACTGACGGAAGTTGGGCAGCGGGAACCGTGGCCGGCACCAGCCCAAGGAAGGCCTCGTATATAAATTACCTAGCCTTTCACTGTGTTTTTAAAGCTTAAAAGCATTTCTATTAATGCTATCTACTCTAACCCTTCCTCTCTTCGCGTGCTACTGGCTACCCTACTTGTTCTTTTTGATAGCTATATATAACTATCGTGATCTAGCCTTAGGCACCAAGAATCTATCCCTCTTCAATACTGCGATAGTATCTGTATCGAGCTCTTCTTAATATTTGCGACCAAGAATATCTTGGCCAAAGTTAAATATAGCTAATATATGCTCGGCGGAGAGGTTATTCAGCTGTATTAGCTGTTCTCTTCTAGGCTTTATTATACTAGGCCAGGTAATCTTCCCATCTTCAAGAGAAGGTGCTGGGATCTGGTTCTTTAACATGTTCGAAGGCTGCGGATATGTCATTGCAAGTACTCTGGCTAGCGGGCTAGTGGTACTTACTGGGTCAGTCGCCGAAAAGCTCCGAGCTTGGCTGAAGTGCTTGGATTGGTGTAAGACGAGTGTACAAAGGAAGCCAGGTGAAAGAGGACATCTTTAATAGTCATTCGACGAGCTGCTGTTCTGACGGCAAGTGAATTATCCGTACGGTTCATAGAATTTTCCTGACGCATGACTATATCTTGGGCGGACTAGGAAAGGCTATTTTGAAGCTTTCGTATTCATTGAGTTGAGTTGTCGGGCCCTGGCAGTTTCCCTGTTGTTGAACTTTATTCTCTTTCTCTTCCGTACTACCTAGCATTTCCCATAGATTCCTAGACATCTTGCCAGTCAGCAGAGTCAACAGAGGTATCCTAAGGCCATGCACACAACGATCGCTTCTTGCAACTTCATTTGCTCCCGTCATCCTAATCATCTTCCTGTTGCACCTTACAATGGTTTCTGTGAGGAGATTTAGGAGGGAATACGATACGAGACATGGTGCCTGAATAAGCGGACTCGAGACTTCAATGATGGCCAAGCCAGCCCTGAAATTGTCAGATACATCATTGTCGGATGGATTTCAATCCTGAATTCATTTCGGCTAAGTCCCATAGGACTCTATGTGTGAGTGTTGGAAATAAGCACCACTCTCCCACAATGCAAGTATTGTCATCTAGTACTATTATCTGTCTCAAGATCTTCCAAGGCACAGAAACCGACCCAAAGATCACAACGTGATCAGACACTTGTGAGACTTAGGAGTAATCAGAGTGTAGTTTTCTAGGTACATGTCGGCTTCTGTTAAAGTTTTATGTAGTCCAGCACCTTTAAATTTGCGAAAAAAGGCCGCTGTGGTGACACGAAGCTCCATATAGGCGAGATGGATACCGATACAAACTAGACGCTGTCAGAAATGTTAAAACCTTCAGGCGAATATTGTCTTACTCCGCGGTCCTCCGCCAAAAGGGATATATGCGTCTTGCATCTCAGGGGTTGGATTCAACCAGCGCTCGGGGTCAAACCTGAGTCTTTATTAGCTAATTCATGTAGGGCTCTTTTAGGTTTTTTTCTCGTACTTGTATGGGTTGATGAATATGTCAGGGATACGGTGTAGTGAGAATGCTTGGGTAAAGACTGTGGCGGTATCTGGGATAAGGTGGCCACAAGTCTCCCAGCCACCTGGTGGAACCTCCCTTTCATGAGAACCAGACGCAGCTCCGTACAATCTTAAAGCTTCTTTGACCACGGCATTAAGGAATGGGAGCTTGACAAGATCGGCATTTTCGTAAGCTGCAGGTAGTGTAGCAACTTCCGTCTCAAGCATAATTCGAATATTAGGATCTTTCAACACTGACCATAGCAGGTACGTTAGAGTATTTGAAGTGGTCTCTGTTCCCGTGATCATAAGTTCCACTGCCTCTTGTTGCATCTCAAGATCACTCAAGGCATTTTTCTTGTCTTTCGGGTTCATGATCTTCTCGAAGAAGAATGGTGTATTGAGCGAGCCTGCTTGCTGAGATAGCTGTAGACGCCGGAGCGATTCTTCTCCGTATCTATTGATACGTTGAAACGTCTCCAAGAACTTTTTGATCCGGGGAATCGGAAGTAGAAACATGAGATCGAAGAATGGCGCTAGCTCGATCCGTTTGTGGACTGTGGGCATAACAGCCTGGAGGTCTTCGACGTATTGACTCGTCTGGGAGAGATAGTATCAGCCGCATATACCAGTCTTGAAATTCTTATACATACTTTTCCCTGCTCTAGCATTTTGAATGAGCTTCCAAATGTCAAGTCGCCAATAATGTCATTGGCCATGAAATTTAACCATTTATAGCAGTCGGTATATCCTAGCTTTCTGTATTCCTTCTCCATCTGGTCCAAAGCTAAATCAACCTTGGCCCGCACGAGTGGCTCATATGCTGATAAAGAGGAGTTGCTAAGGGGGTGTGCGAGCAGTTGACGACGACGCGAGTGCTTTTGAGAGTCTCTCATTCCAAGCATCCCGGGACCAGTCTTGTCATACCAAGCCGACTTTTTGAAGCCACCTGCTACTTTCTGGATGACTTTGACTGCTTCAGGATCATTGATACCAACCTCGGTCGGACTCACACGAACTATAGGACCTGAAAATATATCCTTTTAGCTCTCATCAAGAATGTGTACCGAGAGTAAGTTCACTCACCATATTTTACGAACAAAGCATCGAGGTATTGCATGCGTCGACCCGATAGGGTGTGGTACTTGAGAACTAATGTTGTCCATCGCCCTATAGCGGGGCCCGGGATTTCAGAAAGAGGACCGACAAGGGCGATCTTTACCTTGATAATCAACTATGATAAGGCATGATAAGAGCTGTTGTCTACGATGATACAGAAGTTAGATATACGTACGTAAAAGACGAGTAATGCTATGCTCATAGGAAAGCCATAAGTCAAAAGAGACTGTAAGAATACCATAATGTTAGAGATAGTATAAGGGGCTGGTATAGATTTGTTGCCGAGATACGGTAAATTTTACTTGATTATAACGGTCAAACAAAAATCAAACTCGAGTATGGAAGAATATAATTATAGGTTCGTGTCCGGTAATAATAGTTCGGAACCCCACGTGGGGTTTTTGAATGGGGTTGTCGGCCTTTCGGATGTAGTACGGCTTGCCCACCGGTTATTCTTCAATAGCACTCTTCCGATGCCTATTAACCTGCAAGCTTCATAATGTCGCGATACGGCTTGTCCACCGGTTATTCTTTAATAGCACTCTTCCGATGCCTATTAACCCATAAGCTTAATAATATCACGATACGGCTTGTCCACCGGTTATTCTTTAATAGCACTCTTCCGATGCTTATTAACCCGTAAGCTTGATAATATTGCGATACGGCTTGTCCACCGGTTATTCTTCAATACTCTTCTGATGCCTTTTGACCTGCAAGCTTGATAATATTGCGATACGGCTTGTCCACCGGTTATTCTTCAATAGTACTCTTCGGATGCCCATTGACCTGCAAGCTTGACAATGTCGCGACTTGGACAAGCCATCGACAAAGCCCGTTGGCCTCTAATATACCGAGCTTCTGTACACACCTAGACCGTGAGACAGGTTCACTCTCGGGTGCCACATGAACAATTGTTTACTTTATCCATAATAAAATTAATAAAGTTCAAAGTATATAATATATATTATATTCTCCTCCTTTGAGCTGAACTTGAAGTCTAAGTAATATATATATATATTAAGATAAAGATAAATAATATAGATAATTATACTAGTATTATATAATAAATCTATTATATCTAACTATTAATTTATATCTTATTTCTAAGGTATTTATATTATCAGAGAAGGAGTACTTATCTACTATATTATATTAGATAAGTCTATAATATATTAATTTAGAAATTTAAATCTAGAAAGATATATTTACTTACCCTGATAAGGATATTATAAGGGGTTAGATTAATTAGTCTAATAAGATTAATCTGATAATTTTTACTATATAAGATATATCTAGTTAAATATAAGAGATTTACTTCTTTAGAGTAAATAATATAAGTTAGAAATATCTAGCTATATTTTTTCTTTAGTATTATAGGATTATTATAAAGAGTTCTTACTATTTAATCTATTTAAGAGAATAAGCTTTATTAAACTAAGTTTTAGAGAGAATTAGTCTAACTAATTTAAGGGAATTATTATGCTTAGATCTGGCTGTAACCAGCTTAGGTGTTATTAATAGGTTCTTGGTTATTAGCTATAGGGTAGCTGTAGTTGGATAGCTTGTGGTTAAAACCTAGGTTTATAATACCTTTACTTATATATGAGATAATATAATTCTTAAGGCTTGAGTTCCTTCTATCTGCTAGCTGTTTATAGCCCTTTTATAGGGGGCTCTATATAGCCCCTGTTTATAGTATAATAGAAATTCAATATCTCCTAGTTAGTATAATTAAATACTTTAAAATAAGAATATTCTAATTTAATAAATAATAATATTTATTATAAGTAGGCTAGTCTATTTATTTATTTTTATTAAATAGAATAAGAGAGAATAATATAATTAGATAGATTAAATAGAATAGATTAGATTAATTAGAAATAAAAATAAATATTATATAATTATTATTATAGTATTTTATAACTAGTATAAAATTATTACTAATTATTATATAATAAATCTATTATATATAAAAAGCTTAAATTTATCTAGCTAATTATTAGATCTAATAAATTCTTTTAGATCTATCTATATTATATAATCTAACTAATCTATAGAATTAATTAGATCTATTAGTTAGATTAAATAAATTAGATAAGTTAGACCAGTTAGTCTATATTAACTAGGGTATAGAAAATAATACTTAAAATAAAGTAGTTAGAGATATTTATAGTTTATATTATTTTTATTTTAAAAAGCTAGTCTATAGATAGCTTTTATTATAAATAATATATATCTTATATAAATATATAATTAAATAATTAAATTTAATATTTATTTTTATATCTATTTATCTAGATAATATTTAATTAAAAATAAATTATATAAATCTAGCTATGTTATGCTCAGAAGTAACTATATTAGTCTTCTGTATATAATCTCTTATTGTTGAGTTATCTAGGTTATCTAGGCAGCTGCGATCCAGCTGATATAAAGCTGCTAGACTGTTTACCTAAGCAGGGTTCAGCCAACAGCTGGCTGATCCCTGTCAGGACCCTTTTGACCATAACAAGCTAAGTTGCAACCCTAGTCAACCGCCTACCCCCCTTAACCGCCTACCTTTAATAATTATATTATATATTATAAATATATATTTTTTAATATAAAAAAATCTATAAATTAAAATTAAAGCTATTTAAGTTACTAGATAAAGTATAGCTCTTTAAAAATATAATTCTCTAATTCTAATATAAACTAATTAGTTTAACTTATCCAATCTAACTAATAGATCTGATTAATCCTATAGATTAGTTAGATTATATAATACAGATAGATCTAAAAGGATCTATTAGATCTAATAAGTTAGCTAGATTAATTTAAGCTTTTTATATATAATAGATTTATTATATAATAATTAGTAGTAATTCTATACTAATTATAAGATACTATAATAATAATTATACTATATCTTTTTATTTCTAACCTATTCTATTTAATCTGTTCAGTTATATTATCCCCTTTTATTCTATTTAGCAGGAGTAGATAAATAAGCTTATCTACTTATAGTAAATATTATTATTTATTAAATCAGAATATCCTTATTCTAAAGTATTTAATTATACTAATTAGAAGATATTTAATTCTCTTAAATTAGTTAGATTAATTTCTTTTAAAACTTAGTTTAATAAGATTTATTTTCTTAAATAGATTAAATAGTAAGAACTCTTTATAATAATCTTATAATACTAGAGAAAAGATATAATTAGATATCTCTAATCTATATTATTTACTCTAAAGAAATAAATCTTTTAAAATTAGCTAGATATATCTTATATAATAAAAATTATTAGATTAATTTTATTAAATTAATTAATCTAATCTCTTATAATATTCTTATCTAGTTAAATAGATATATTTTTCTAAATTTAAATTTCTAAATTAATATATTATAAACTTATCTAATATAATATAATAATTAATTATTTCTTTTCTAATAATATAAATATCTTAATAATAAGATATAAACTAATAATTAGATATAAGAAATATAATATATCTATTATATCCTTCTAAACTATAGCTCCCTTCTAAGTAATTATATATATATATATATTTTTTTTTTATTAGTTTTACTATAAATAAGAGTATATTCTAAGATCAGATAATATATAATTTAATATATATTTTTTAAGAATATAATTAGTAGTCTATATCTAAACCTTTAATACTATAAAATAAAGTTAAAATTAAATACTTTTAGTTTAGATATAGATATTAATATCTTAAAAACTCTAATAATAGGAGTTATTTATATAGCTAGATATATAAATAGCTTAGCTATAGCTATAGTCCCTAAGAGAGGAAACTTATTATCTAATAATAATAATTACTTTTTCTTTCTATTAGAACTTATCTTAATTAATTAATTAATTAAATTATATTATTAATTAATTACTTAATTAATTAATTACTTAATTAATTAATTACTTAATTAATTAATTACTAGATATCTTAAATAGTTATAATATCTAATATAAATATTCTAATCTCTTAAGGTTTATTTAATATTATTAATAAAACTCTTAAAGTAATAATATCTATTATCTAAGATAATCTAATATAGCTATTTACTAACTATATTTATTATATATTCTTTTAATTAGTTAAAAATCTATTTATAGTAATAAAACTACTTTTAATAGTATAAGTCTAGTAGCTATATCTACTTAGATTATTACTTTACTATATAGTCTACTACTAGTAGCTACTATAGGTATTTATAGAGAATTAAGATTAGCTTAAATAAATACTATATCTTAAGAATAGCTACTCTCTTATATAAGCTTATTATAATCTAATATATAATTTATAGTTTTAATATATTATATACTATATTAAATTAATAAGAGTAGAAATTACTTTTAAAAATTAATTATTTAAACTTTATATTATTTTTAATTATATTTAGATTAGAATATTAATTAGATTAGATTAAGCTTAATATTAGTATATTAGAGTTTATTTTAATTTAATCTAGAATTATATATATTTAGAAATAAAAAAGTTAATTACTTTTAAGATTATAAGTTAATTTATCTCTATAAGTATAGTATATATTTACTATTATAGGAAATTTTTATTAGGAATAATATAGATTTAATATTAATCTAATATCTATTTATATATACTTAGTTATACTATATAATAGTAATTATATATATAATAAATATAAAACTAATACTAATTCCTAATAAGATAATTTAATTATCTTTATTAGAATTCCCTTCTTCCTTTTAAAAAAATATATAAACTAATTAAACTAATTTAAATTATCTAATTAATTAATTAAATCTACTTAAGAGAAAAGTTTAAATACTTTTATTAATATCCAGATTAAATATAATAAATAATTAAAATAATATAGATAATACTAATAGAGTTAGCTAGATAGATAGTAATATACTCTAACTACTCTCTTTCTAAGGTTTCTTAGATATCTAGATAAACTAGCTAAAAAACTATTTTAAAGAACTATTTAATTAAAGAGAAAATAACTAATTAATATAGAATAATTAATTTAATTAAGAAGATACTATTAAGAACTATTAGAAATTAATATCTATTAGTTATTTTAATTCTGAGATAAATATATTTATATAATCTATAGCTATAGAT